TAATCTTTTCAAATTGTTTAATCCTATAAAAGTTTACTTTGTTAATCACTACTAATCAAAGCGTAGTTCTTATTATCCTACACTTTATAAAACCTGTACTCTGGTACATGTCTTTATCGATAGTTTTGCCACCGTCTCCCAAAAGATTCGGTATTCTAATCCATTTCTGTACACGTATGAATAGATTTAATTTTTTTGTATTCATGGGGTAAAACAGGACCCTATTACAAAGACTCCGCTGTCTGTCTGTCCGTCTTTCACCAGACTAAGAAACCGTGATAGTTAGATAGGTGCAATTTTCACAGATGATGTATTTCTGTTGCGGCTATGACAACAAGTACTAACAGAATAAATATTTTAGTGGGGCTCCCATACAACAGACATATATATTCGATTTTTTGCCGTTTTATAGATAATGGTACGGAACCCTTCGTGCACCAGTCTGACTCGCAGTTGGCCGGTTTTTAATGTTACATGTATATATCTAGAATTAGTTTGTTGACGGCGCCATTAAGACGTTTACTTGATTCGCTCTGATCAAATTACCATCGCCGTGGATATTTCTTTGGAGCTCATTCTTTGAAGCTCTTACATCAGTGAGTTTAATGTTTAAATTATTCCAAGCGTCAATTCAAATTCAAATATCTCAATCGTAGCGTAGGGGCGCTGTTAGAGTAGTAATTTCACGGACACTCCGCGGCCGTCGTTTCCAGATCGCATCGCGCTCGACCCCGGCTCCTTCCCGCGCGGAGGCAATCCAAATAATTATCATAAAGTAAATCCCCCACAATTCGGCAGCCGCCCTCCCCCGACCCGCCGGGCCCTTGTCGATACCGCGCTAGTGATGGCTATCGCTCCGACAATAACACTTTTATCGATCACACTGATTAACCATACCTATCGCTAAGCGCATTTTGCACACACCCGCCATAGTCGTAAACACTTCACGATCTAAAAGGTTATCACACTGCGATTCGCACTTGAGAAAATCCGTTTTCGCCTTGCGTCAGCAACATCTCGATATTGGCATTGGAATAAATGCGCATCCTTGCGTCCGCGTCCATTTCGTCTTTTCTCTACTCCCTCCTATTTCTAATTCCAATAATGGCCTGACTTTGTTTACGATACACAGCGACGTTGATAATTTATGGATATAGCCTACATTGATTTTATTATTTTTTTCATGTGGTGGTAAATTAAACTTTTTCCTGTTATTTTACAATTTAACAATGAAACAGTATGTTTAATTGACACATTTTTTTATATCATTAACGTTGTCTTTGTGCGATATTGCCGTTTAGCAGTACAGATATCGCTGTCGAGCGTTACCGGACCACACTCGACATTGAAAACTCATTTAAATAACGCTCCATTAAATTTGGTGAATGTCCGAACGGGATTAGTAATCGACGTGACCCAATTTGAATGTCGAATAGGAAATAGTCGCACGAGTATCCGAGTGGGGGCTACGTTGCGGCGTGCGAAGTGGCCGCGTTGGCACGACGCCGTCACACACCCCACGGGAACGCGCTCTGTTGTCCCCCGTTCGAAGTTTTGCACCCCGACCAGTTGCTTACGTTTTTATAATCACAAGCCGACATGAGAGTATGAAGTCTTACCGACTACGTTCACATCTAGGAATGGTGTATAACCGTTGATGTTCATATTCTGATCATTAAGAAGATCATTCTGATCAAGTCAGAGAGTTTAACAATTCTTTTGGCAACTCAAATAACGTTTGAAAATCCATTTGACAGCTAGTTAGTTGACCTCTACGATGAACAGTGTTTCACAAACCGGAAGTTAGAGTTTATATAGTGAATGAGTACAGAATGCTAATATATTTTTATTATGCATAAATTACATTAAATCAGTAAAAAAAATTACACACACACGCCACGTATAATTATTTATTGTTACAGGGGGACCACTAGCTATATACCTATAATCAGCACATAAAAACATTCCTCTAGACAATCTATAGCTGACTAAAAACGTTTTTATCATACACGGGACACGATCTAGGATCAATTAGTGATGGAGGTAAAAACGCATCGCGGCATCGGCGGCGACTTTCAATACAGATAATGTATAATGGCGGGTGTGCGTGTCGTAATGGCGGTCGAGTCGGTAAAAATCGTAGCTGGAGCGACGCGGTCGCGTTTCCCGGGCGCACCTGTCCCGCCGCCGAACTCTGCCGGGGGCCGGCGCGGCGCTGCGGTAATTGGAGTATTTAATATCCATCGCATTTAGACGACACGCGTACTAAGTCGCCGCATGATTGCGGTATACGAGTGTGGGGTATCCACACTCACAGACCGATGTGACGCTTAGACAAATACCGGCCCGTGCGTGGCTGCGCATTTTAATTTCCACTCGACGGCCGATGGTGCCCCCTCGATGTTCCGCCCGAGCATTCGAACGGTTAAAGAAGGAAAGTATTATCATATGTATTCAACTATGACCCTTTGCTATCGAAGTGCAAAATATACTTGTGCGGATCACACAAAAAAAGTATGTGTGTACTTATATAGGCAAGTAAGACGTGTTATTAGTACTATTCGTTTTTGAAAGAGACATTCTAAGAATTGAAATTGATAACGGTTTAATTAAATAACTTGGAATTATAGGTAAATGTGAAAAAGGTTTTATTGCTTTCCATGATAATAACCGTGAAGTTAGTCAGTCACTTTGCAACCTACTTTATCATGTCGCTTTTTGATTGTCGGTGTGTCGCAAAAATTTTACTCCCATATTTTTTCCAAATGCGCCAAAAGAGACATAACTTCGAGAACCACCCTTACCCATTTAAACTCAGACTGGTGAGACTCGCCTATAATTGCGGTAAACTCATGAACGCTAGTTATATACCAGACCCTTTAAAGTCTTCCTATATTTCAACGAGCAACGCAGTAGAGCAACACAAGATATTAAATACCCCACTTTATAACCGACTTTAAAAAAAGGAGGTTTCTCAATTCGGCCTTATATTTTTTTTATGTGTGTTCGTGGATAACTTCGTCCTTTATGATCCGATTTTGATGATTATTTTTTGTTGGAAAGGAGATATCCAAAGGGTGCTACCATGATAAGGAAACCCGGATCTGATGATGGCATCCCAGAGAAATCGAGGGCAATCCTCAAATTTTATAGGTATTAACAATGTTGTTTAGTCTCCGGTTTGAAGTCGGTTTTTTTTGTTAAAAATTATTATACTTAAGCACTAATTCTTGTGGAATGAACTACCTCAGCAAATTCGTCGTGCAAAGACGCTAGACAAATTTAAAAATGACGAAAAGAATCACTATCTTTCCCTCTGTAATCCATAAGTAACATTGACAATATTAATCTATTATACTTTCATATATTATTTATGTTAATTATATATATTATATATATTATATATTTATTTATGTTAATGTATGTTTATTATAATTTATTTTATTATTATTAAGTAAGTTTATTACGCACACCACCTCCCACTATTCATAAGTTTATTTTCCTTGTCCTAAGGTTGTCTGGAAGAGATCGCTCTTTAGCGATAAGACCGCCTTATTGTACCTAGCTTTTAAGATTTATTTTATATGAACTGTATAAAACTTTTTGTGGTGTACAATAAAGTATATATAATAATAATAATAATTCCACACTTTGGTCGTGCTAAAAATATCGCTTAAAAATATTATCATACACTCATCACAATTTTTTAAGGAAAAATGTACTTACTCAATTTGTCCATAATCTTTAAAATAATGATGGAACCATTAATTTTGGCGGAGGATTAAGGGATATAATATCACGTTGTTACAAAATCACTTTTCAGAAATATAACGCATATGACGATTTTTATACGACGCATATGATTTACATAATGTTTCATTATTGGAGAATTTCTATTACAATTGAAATAACCATAGAAATTATTAATTCAATTTAATAGATTTTACTTTCTTCCTCGTTTACGTTCGATTTGAAATACGTTAGAAGTGAAAGTAACATTGTTCTAACTTCTAATGCACTGCAGTGGTTGTTAAATCACGTTAATTACCTGCCAACTACTACTAGAACTAATGGGATTTTAGTAATATCGATTCGGCCGGTTCTCAAGCACTGCATTACCTAAAATTTTCTTACGGCATTGGTTGCTACAAACCAATGTATTCTTCGATTAATTTATATACAATGTCAACGTAGTTACTGTATAATATAGTATTTCAAAGCCCTTGTAATGGGGAAGCGTAGCCCGAATTTCGGTGTAACCTTGTTTAGTTTATGCATATGGATACAAAGATGCAGTTGTAATGTCTTGAATGTGTAATGGGCATTTACTTGTAGTTATAGAGGTAACTTTCTGTAGGTACTGAAACTTCATCAGGCCATAAAAGCTTTCATGTGTTGCTTTTTTGCTCAACCCCATAGGAAATTAGGCATTACAAATCTATAAACATTGAAAACTTAAAACAAAAAATACCTTTTGCATTAACAAAATCGACACGGACGGTTGATTTTATCACTAGCTCAAAACCTTTGTGTGCTAAGACTGTACCAAGTTTCACTGTAATCATATGAATGTTATAGAAACGCTTATAGGACTTTTGAGACAAAATCTGTTTGTTTACAGTGCTGGAACATAGCAAAATAATAAATTAGCTTAGGTTTGTCGTTTTTTTTTTTCTTTTTTATAAAAAGGGGCTGTTTTTGTTGTTTACTGTAAGATAATATTACCCTGTGTTGTAGGGACGTTTAACATACAAAAATTTCACGTGGACAAACACCCGGATCCTAAACAATTACCTGTGGGTCACACAAATTGTTGTCTCGTGTGAGAATCGAAGCCGCGACCCGCGGCCAACTAGAATACTGCAACTGCGCCTGTCACGGAGTCATCGAACGTGTGTCAAAGCAAGCTGGTTTTTATAAATCGATTCATGATAACGGATCAGCAAAAAGAACCCACGATACGCGAGGATTACAATGCTTGAAACGTGTCGAATCCGCAGCGGCGATGGAGGAGGAATCTACCGAGCTGCCGGGCACCGACGGTCTGGCGCCGAAGCAGCGGCACCAGGCCAAGCACCGCGAGCTGTTCCTGTCGCGCCACGTGGAGACGCTGCCCGCGACGCACATACGCGGCAAGTGCACGGTCACACTCCTCAACGAGACGGAGTCGCTGCTCAGCTATCTCAATAAGGATGTGAGTATGTACCGAAACGCGCGCGCGACACGCACACGAACACACACACGCACACACACATGCACACGCCGTGATACACACGTAGGCACTTGTACACGAATAAGGTATGCTCGACCGGTAAAACTCGGTGTAGATGAGGGTTGTAACACTTTTTCAATTCGACTAAAACTTCTCAAAAGACGGCAAATTCGATAATCACTTAGCAACAGATGGCAAGCGAGCTGGCGGTTCACCTAATGTTAAGTGATAACCATGGTCCGTAGGGTTGCAAATGCGTTGCCACCTTTTAAAAAAGTAGGCTCCGATTACTTCGCTCATTAAACGAAACGCAGAGGTGTAACAATTCCACTTCACGCTGGTCTTCTGTGAGGTCGTGGTACTTCCCCTAACGGAGTTGCCCATTCGTGCTTGCGAAGTGCGAAAACTGTTGCTTGGCCCAACCACAATAAAAAGGTTAACCAATAACCATCCATCCGGATGTGGAAATCGTGCTCGATTGCCACATCTTTCTTTTTTTTTTTAATTTACCACCGGCTAATCTCAATTCGCGCCGACCTGACGACAATAGATAATACAAAGCAATTAATTAACACCGACGTTCTCAGGGTAAAATCTATCGTGGAAAAGTATTGCCCGAGCGTCTTCGATAAATTCAATTAGCGGATTGCGTTTTTCATATTTACAATGTAGTATTCAATGTGTATTTTAAGTTGTAGCTTATGGCACATAATCGGTAATCATTATTATATCGGTGTGTAATCGGCAAACCTTCAGTTTAGTTAGTAGCCGCAGACGGCAGAGACATGTGTAAAACCGGAGGCTTTTTAAAGGTGCCCAAATTTACACAGGAGGTTCAGACTCGGTAGTATAATCGTTTATTGAAATAAAAACAAACTTTTTTACCATTCTACCATTCTATTCCCTAAAAAACTTGTTGACAATGCGGTAGTCATTCATAAATATCTAAATTTTAATGTTCACGCACACAAACGAACTTGTGTCCGTGTTAGTTATGAATGATCGCGCGTAAAATAAATGAGTTGCGTATAAATCACGCACTTTTTGAGATAAGTTCAAATGAATGTAATTAATTACTTACGACAGATTTAAAATATTTACCATTTTAATAACATTATTTATGTCTAGAATTTAATAAAAAAATGGATACACTTAGAAAACTATATATAACCCCCTGTATAACTGAACGGTTATTTTTAATTTAACAAAACTAACACGAGCGTAACAGTGTGGCATAGGCGACATCAATTTATAACAATCAGCTATGTTACATGTACACAAACTAATAAGGAAATGAGCATGCACTTGGCGGCCTATCTCGTATCTCCGTTCGCACTTCCTGCCGTTTCGTTAATATTGATTTATACCGGCCGCTTGAGGACAAATATTACTGTAACTAGCACCCCAATGATTTTTTGTTACACTATTATTTGATTAATACACCAACATTTGTTGAACGAACTCAAAAGCAATAAAATATGTCGTCAATCCGTATGATTTATCATATTAGTTATTGCATTGTTTAAATTCTTTTTTAAATATTTTTAATTTGAGAAATGTTAAAAGAGATTGCTTCAAAAAATTCTTGGATAAAACAAATTAAAATTCAAACCTATAAATTCAATATAGAAGCGTTACACTTATTGATTGTCAAAATACAACTGCCGGTTGGGAAAAGAAAAACCACCGACCTGAGAATAACGGGCGAAAGAAACTAAGCGAACAAATATGTATATAATAATTTCTTGTCTTTACGCGATTACACATTATAAATGAAACTAATTTGAGAAAGTCTGTCCCGTGACCATGAACGCTGTAAAGGGTTCGAAACGTCGGGAACTAAAATTAAAAATAAACGCGATAAATCCGTAAAATTAGTTTCATATAAATATGTATAGTCATTTTGGAACACTGTTTAAGTTTGTTACCTTATAAAGAAAACTTTAAATAATTAATGCATCCCATTATATCGTAATGTTTGTGCTTCAAAGTCTGTGCTCCTTGATAACATTTGTTCAACACAGTAGAGAATGTTGACGAAATATGAGAAAAAGATTTTATGGATCGTTCGGACAATAATGAAGAGTTACAAATTATAATTTGAACCATCGCTATTATTATATGAGAAAAAAAATATATCGCGAACATCTACACGACATCCTCACTTCCGCTGGTTCGCGGACAGCGTTTATAAAATTTCCATAACTCGCTTTATTCTTGCCAAAGTCTTATTATCGTTACTTGGGCCGCGCCTAGTGTGGCACTCTTTTGCATATTGTTGTACAAAAACTTGGACGTTTGCATAGATACCGGATTATAATTAACACAAACCGGTTCAATTAGCCTCGGGGAAATTGTTTCATAGATGATTTCAATTGTCACTATTCACATTTTCCATCTAATGTTAAGTTTAAACTTTTCATATTTATCTATATGTCTATTATAGGCATTTCTAATGCAATTTTTTTCTCTCTTTGTTTCAGGACGCATTTTTTTATTGTTTAGTATTTGATCCTTCACAAAAGACTTTATTAGCAGATAAGGGAGAAATCAGAGTTGGAAGTAGATATCAGACTGAAGTAACTAATTTATTAAAAGAAGGTATGTATCGAATGTCTTACATTTGAAACGAAATGTTTTATATTCTCGCATTGAAATACATCCCTTGTTTATAAAGGCATGCATTTATATATTTGTATTTATAAATGTATTTTTCTAATCTCAAATCACACTCCGATTCTGCTAATATCACCGACAGTTTAAATATTTGGCCAAAATCACGTAAAAGAATGAGTTAAAGACGACTTGGGTCTGTATTGTACATGACTCAGCATAGAGTATTTATAAAGTTCATTTATTTTATGAATCTTGAATTATAATACTTTCTTAAATAATATCTGTTGTTATCCAAACGAACTTAGGAATTCAAAATGTTTATAATTATTATCAGGTAGGTCATCAATTAACATAATAAAAAATAGTCATTCTGTTAAAGAGATTGTGTCATTTAATGGAAATTATCGTATAATATGGTTTTGTTTTTAATTATAGTTCGTTATTACTTTGTTTTTGTCTAATTTTTATAAAATTATACTTTTATATATTATTACTTCTGTTTTTTTTTTGTGTTTTATGCTTAAACATGTAACTTGTGCTTTATATTTCGTTACATTCTGTTAAATATTTTTCTCTTCTTCATCTTCGTTCGTTATCTGCTTTCCTATTGTTTGTCAGTTTCTTTTTTTTTTTGTTATCGAAAACATGTATGTACAATGAAAACAACCTTCGCCCTTTCAATTCATTTGATTCTCCTGGCAATGTATGATTGACAGTTGGATAGCAGTTAGGCTTACTTTACAAAGACGGCTAGAAGCAATAAGTTTCTACCGCTCCTAACTGCAACAAACATAACAACATAAATATAATCGTCTGTTGATTGGAATAGTTTGACTGCAGCGAGGTCACATCCCTTCGTGAAGTTGAGCGAGGAAGACGACTCGGCGGCATAGTTCCTCTGCCAATGGCTTTGGCGCCAGAGGTCGTGGGTTCGATCCCCACACGGGACAGGTAACCGTGTGACCCTCAGATAATTGTTCGGGATCTCGGTGTTTGTTCCCAAGGAGGGTCAACGTCAGTCAAGTGTCCCGTCGTGAAACTTAGCCAATAATTACTAGTAATAACATTATTTACATGTATTGTGGTGCAGACCCCACCTAGGTGGTAGGAGAAAGAACGCTAAGAGGTTGGACGAGCAAATTTAAAGTACTGCTCGGGATGACCGTGTGTTTCTTCTCTTAAAATGTCCGTTTTACGACTATCATTCATCATATTATTAAAAAAAGTAACGTCAGAGTTAAGCTCTATAATAATAAACTTCAAATAAGATGCCATAATGGGTATTCATTTCTATATCTGCTCCTGAAGTACTCTCGTATCGATCAATTGTGAGTAATCATGTATCCATTGCATTGATTGCAGGCGAGGAGGAGCCTCGGAACAGCGAGGACCTGGAGACGCTGGTCTGGACGCCGGAGCACGGGCTGACGGACAGGCAGATCGACCAGTTCCTGGTGGTCTCCCGCTCGGTGGGCACGTTCGCGCGCGCCCTCGACTGCTCCTCCAGCGTGAAGCAGCCCTCGCTGCACATGTCCGCCGCAGCGGCCAGCCGCGACATTACGCTGGTGAGCGAGCGAGACGGCCTGCTGCGCGACAAGGACGCAGAGTGGGACGCTTGCCGATGGCTCAATGTGTGGATAGGGACTACAATCCGAACCTAAGTATTATTAAGGCAGATGACGTTATAGTCGCAATTTGCTCTTGGAATAAAATCATTGAAACTGTTAAATTTCCTCTGCTGTGAATTTATTATTCTTAGAACAGTATACATATATTGAGAGAAGAGTTCGCTTGGACATGGAGCCATCGATAAAGAGAGAGTTTGAAAGGGGTTCAAAAATTAAAACAAAGTGGACGCCGAGTGTTCGAAATTCGACCCAGTTTGTAAACAAAAGAGTATTATGCGTGTGGGTGTCAAATACAAGATAGTGTCTGTAATGTTTTGTATGTTGATTTAATGTATTTTTTACGTATAATTAATAAAAAAAAATATTAGCATTATGATCTCCTTCCTTCTCTGTATAAACTATAAGTGTGGGAAATTTCATATGCCTCCGTCCGCGCAATTTTCGTAAAAAGGGATACAAAGTTTTTGCTTCATGTATTAATATATAGATATCCTTAACAACAGCAAACAATTTCGAATATCGTTTTACGACGATAACTCGAACATAATTTTACTACAACGATAATTTTTTCAATAGTGCTAATCTCTGCACTTAAGGTGAACCGTTATTTTCTCTACCAATTTTGTTATTAAAATTGGTAGAGAAAATAACGGTTAAAATGCTAATATGCTTGATGGCTCCGTGGCGCAGTTGCCAGGGTATTGGCTTCGGCGTCGGGGGTCGTGGGTTCGACTCCCACACGGGACAACTATTTGTGTGACCCACAGATAGCTGTTTCGCAACCTGGGTGCTTGTCCGCGTGAAATGTATATTTGTAAAACATTCTTACAACACAGGATAATGTTATTCTTAGGGCAATAAAAAAAATAAAATAAAGAATAATAACATTATCCTGGAATCCTGTAACGGACATCTGCGGCGACTGGGACTCCGGGACGGAGCGCTCCAAGCTCTAATGCAGAAAGCGGTGCTCCTCGATACCGCCCGCATCGTCCGCCGGTTTCTCTCCCTTTCACCCTAACCCTCGGACGTTTGTTCTCCCCTGCCGAGGGCTTCCGTCTGGTTGGGTCCTATTTATATATGTATTATATACAAATATTTATATCTATATGTTTATTTTTATTCATAATATTTATTTTATATATGCAATATATATTTATATGTTTATTTTGTATCTGTAAACCCAACCGGACGAGAAAACAAAGGAATAACCCCAAAAGAATAACAAATAATAATATGCCCTTGACGACAGTTCCACGCGATGGACACGCTGCACAAGTCCGGCTACAGCATAGAGGGGGCGCTGTCCTCGCTGGTGCCCGCCTCGGGGCCGGTGCTGTGCCGCGACGAGATGGAGGAGTGGTCCGCCTCCGAGGCGAACCTCTTCGAGGAGGCGCTCGACAAGTACGGCAAGGACTTCGCCGACATACGACAGGACTTTGTGAGTGAAGCAACGCACGCACCCGAGGCATGTTCCCCGTCCGCAACGGACGGACGGACACGGTCTTGTTTTTTTTTGATGAATTGATGTTTAGTCAAACACCTGTAGGGGTTGATGTTTAAGAACAGTGAGCCCCGATTACCTTACTAACCAAAGGAAATGCAAAAGCGTTATACTTCTACTTCAAGTAGGTATGCTGTGTATCCGTGTTACCACTCCCGATGTGTAGCCGTAACAGAATCCAATACCTACAGATACAGTTATTGGTTTGATTTTCCATACAAATTTATCTAATTATGTTTTGCTCTCTTCTTATCGTCCAGTTTGGCCGTGGAAGACGTTGACGCCACGAGATTATCTCATCTATAGTAATGGGTTTTTCTAGTATAAATATAACATGCGTCAACGAAATAAATAAATTCTAAACTAATTTAGGCAATGAAGAAGAAGCATCGTTATTAAAATTATAATTCTTGTTAATTTTTTTTTCTATAAAAATAAAAACATTGTCATGTTCTAGGTTAGGGCTAGTACCATATGAATTATCTTTGATGACTTATATAATGACTGTAAATTCCCCTCCGCGCAGTTGCCATGGAAGACGCTAAAGAACCTGGTGGAGTACTACTACATGTGGAAGACGACGGACCGATACGTTCAGCAGAAGCGCGTCAAGGCGGTGGAGGCGGAGTCGAAGCTGAAACAAGTGTACATTCCCAATTAGTGAGTGTTTGTACCAACCCTCACGTTACTTACCTACATACCGTATTATTTTTTGCCGTCTCTCCAACGCCGATTCTGTTGCTACACGCATGCGCTTCTTCAGTGTAGATGTGTTAGTTTTCTCGGCACCTCGTGAAAGGGATTTCCTCATGCAAGCGGTTCAAATGCAATTAAATAATATTCTCGAGTTTCCATTAGCATGTATTGAAACAGAGAATTTAATTTATCTAATGTATATATAAATATTTAATCATGTATTTCAAACGTCGTTAAGTAGTTACAAATTGTTTTCTTTTTTTTTTTTGCTACTTTTATTTTACTTAAGTATCTCGGATGGAGCCGCGGTACCTATTGTTTATTCTTATTGGAGGAAGAATTTCTAAAACGTACAGATAAATGTTTCGGATCTGGGTGTTTATCTTTTGTTAATTTGTGTTTGCCAAACCGCCTAACTGAGTTGACCTATAGCACTTTATAGGCTCAACGTTTAAAAAAAACACTCTTCATCACATTTACGCGATAGGCTTTATGGCCTAACGAGTTTCTCGATCCGAGACTCTATTTCTGCCGCCCCATCATCAACGGAAGACGCTAGTGTGATTGATGCGCGACCAAATGCTAGATTTTTACCTATATAATATATATTTTGTATATCCTCTGTGTGACCTTGGCGCGTCGCATTGACCTTGAGCCGCGTCCGTTGCAGCAACAAGCCGAACCCGGCGCTGATCGCGAGCGGCGGCGGCAAGGGGGGCGCCGTCCTCAACGGCGGCACGAACGGCACCGCCGCGCCGGCCGCCCACCTCTGCGCCTCCTGCCAAGGTGCCTCCCCCGGGCCTCCTTCGCCTCTCAACAATAGGGCGACCTCTTTCCGAGGCGCTTCTCTTGCCTCTTGACAGTCGTGCAACCTCTTTCCCGATCGAGTCATCACTCGTTTGGGCTTCATATGCTATTCCGTTTAGTTTCATTCATTTTAACAATTGTTTACAGAAAACAATACAACAGCATTGCGTTGTACTTTATTTTAAACTGTTAACTTTTTTTTTCATTAAATACAAATATGAATTTGACAACTCTTCATATAAAATTTATTTTCTCTCAGAAAAATCTATGATAAAATTGTTTAAAATATAAATATACTGGCATTCATATTGATAATGTTTTAGTAATAATCTAATGTAATGATTTCCGCCTTTCAGTGACAAATTCAAACCAGTGGTACGCATGGGGCCCGCAACATTTACAATACAGACTCTGCGGTTCGTGCTGGCAGTACTGGAAGAAATATGGTGGTCTTAAGGTCTGTGTAACTACATCAATTGCGGACGAGTAGAGACGGCCGGCCGATCTTTGATTATAATTATAATATCTCATAGTATTTAATAAGTTTAGTCAAATTCTTCAGTTTTTTTCTAATTTGCTTACTATAAAACAACTCTTATTCGCTGAATGTGTCATACGAAAACCATTCTTTACACACTATTTACTGAGAATTGAGACGAAGCAATATTTTATGAAAATTGTTGTAAATATGTGTCTTTATGATAATATCAATCAAGACTTTTTTATGTGAAAATGTGTCAAGCGAGCAGGCGATTCACCTGATGTTAAGTGAATACCACCGCCCATGGACATCAAATACAACAAACGATGGTTTCCAGATGCGTTGAAAATCTTTAAAAAAGTGTGTCCTGGTTATCTTACTCACAAGATGAAACGCGAAAGTTTAATACTTCTTCATTCCGCCGGTGTTCTATCTTGCCGCGGTACTTCTCGCGTAGTTGCTGCGTGGCACAAACAACCATAAAACATTACCGCATTTCTTTGCACTTGAATTTAAGTAATTTTTTTATTATGTTCTTTTTTGGTCGTTATTGAACAATATTTTCGTCACAGACGGCGGGCGTGTTTGGCGAGAGCGAAGCGGAGGCGGCCAAAGGCGCCCGCGAGGGGGACGAGACGGCGCTGTCCGCCTCCCACCGCCCCCACCGCTGCACCGTTGTCAATTGCGCCAAGGTAGGGTTTTCGTTTGAAAAGTATCGTTTATTTATATGTGAAGGTTCCAAGGGAGAAGGCGGTTCACCGGATGTTAAGTGATTCACCCCTGGACATTTGCAGCACCTATTGGGTGCAGATGCGTTGCCGCCTTTTAAAAAGTATCTCTCTCACCAGACGAAACGCAGAAGTATGACACTTCCACTTTACGCAGGTTATCTGTGAGTAGTATGTGGCCTATAATGGGAGTAACTTTGAGTTTTTATTGCATTGACACATGATAACATGTGGAGAGAAGCCAATAATGAAAGACAGTAATAAAAAGCTTTCCTAATAGAATGATACAAGGTAAGAGTGAGCGCATTGGCAGTGGCAGTTTATCGAACGCGTGTGCGTGTGTGACACGAGTTCAAGCTGTAGATTGAGAGTTCATTGAAAGCGTGCGCGTGTAGTTTGGTCGTTTGTTTTTCGACAAGGCGTGTGTGTGCGTGTGTATATATATATATATATAAAATGCGGCCGTGTGCGGCAGGAGTTCAAGCTGCGCGCGCACCTGGCGCGGCACGTGGCGACCGCGCACGGCGCCGGCGAGGGCGCGCGGCCCGTGATGAAGACGCGCGCCGCCTTCTACCTGCGCGCGTCGCCCTTCACGCGGCTGGCGCGCCGGCTCGCGCGCGCCCTGCGCCGCCCGCGCCACTACGCGCGCTCGCCCTTCTCGCCCATCAACCTGCACCAGGTCAAGCACGAGTGTGAGTATCGGCCGGCTCCGATTGGTTCATGATCATCATGGTGCAAAATGCCCTATACACTTAAAACTTATTGTAAGTAGTATAAGTATTAGGGCAGGATGATGGTGATGAAAGTTAATTATAATATAACATTAAAAGGAAAGAATATAATATTAGAAAGTTAGTTATAATATAACGTAATATATTTGCGTTACGTAATAGATGCGTGTGTGCAGGCACTATCGCGATGGCGGGCGTGGGCGTGGGCGTGGGCGTGGGCGGTGCGGAGGTGCGCGGCGCGGCGGGGGCGGCGCGGGCGCGCGGGCCCGTGGGCGCGGTGGCGGCGCGGCTGGCGGCAGCGCACGGCACCGCCGCGCCGCGCGCGCAGGACTGGCTGGCGCTCACGCCGCGCGACCGGCTGCCGGCGCCCGCGCACGTCGCCTTCCCCAAGCCGCCCAAGGCGCCCGGTCAGAGGCTGAAAACATTTTTCTCTTTCTTTTCTTTTTTCTACGCGGGAGATACCTTTACGGTCAGACGCCTGACTCTAGTGCCAAACGTTCATTGGCATCGAAAAGTTATTCGAGATAGGAAACACTAACAGTCTACACATCAACTGGTAGTAGTAATATTTATTAATTGCAGAGACGGGATTTGAAAAAAAGAACGGGTTTCCAACGGAATCCCGTTCGACGACGGAAACGACAGCTGTTCGGAGTTACGCAACCGGAAAGGACAGCATTACAAAGTAATACAATCTTTTGGCAAGGGGAGACCCCATACTGAATGAAACGTATCATATTTTCGTATAATTTTTAATATAATAATCTTACTGTGTATCTCATCGTGAAGTAAACGCAAGTATAATTTCGTATAATGATCTTACTGTGTATATCATCGTGAAGTAAACGCAAGTTTTTACATGAAGCTTTCTTCATTATAATGAGAGGTTTTTTTTACTTAATTTTTAATGAAAATTATTAACAAAACAAATATTGATGTCTTGTTACAATTTTGATTGTAACAAGATATCAATAGCCAGCCAAGTGTTGAACATTATAAATCTGCAATAGCCCATAGCTTAACCATCAACAGCACAAGGTATAGGCAATTAATAAATTTTTAAGGCATGCCAATAATTCCCCGCCGCGTCCACAGACGGCAGCCTCATGTACGAGCGCGTGATGACGCGCGCCGAGCTGGAGGCGCGACGCAACGAGCCCGCGCCGGCGCCGCCGCTCAAGCGCCGCGCCTATGACGACATCAACGGACTCGACAGTCAGTACCCACTGCCCACGTCCCACGCTAATTTCGTACACAATACACACAGTTAGTACCCACTCATCACATCCCACGCTTATTTTGTACACGGCACACTCGCACGTACACTTTACGAACACGCACAGAAACTTGCACACATATGAATATAAAACATAACAAACTCACTATAACACTCAACCCACAGTACTATAAATAATGCATGGTCAGTTTTTGAAAATTTTCTCTGCGCAAACCTAAACATGGATATGTTTTTAATGTCTAATGTAAAACATGAATATTAGTATGTCTATTCAAACATAGGATATAACAAGTTTACTAATTTTATTATTACGCATCCAATATTGTTATTAAAATTCTTCTTTTCTTAATGCTTCATTGGAACAGCGACAGGTTGGTACAACTAAAAGTATTGAGTTACAAATGGTTACAAGAAAAAGAAAACCCGAATATTTGATCATATAATATTCAGGGAGGCTTTTCTAAAGGTGCCCAAATTCACACAGGGGGTTTAGACTCTGTAGTATAATCCTTTATTGAAATAAAAACAAACTTTTTTTTTTTTTTTTCAAAAAATTGCCATTCTATTCCCTAAAAAACAGAACTTGTTGACAATGCGGTAGTCATTCATAAATGCGTCGTATACTTTTGAAACGAACTTGTGTGCGTGTTAGCTATGAATGATCGTGCGTAAAATAAATGAGTTGCCAAAAAATCACGCACATTTTGAGATAAGTTCAAATGAATGTAATTAATTAATTAAGAGTGATTTTAAATATTTATCATTTTTATGTAACATCATTTATGTCTAGAATTTATTTAAAAAAATGATGCACTTAAAAAACCTTCCTTTATAAAGTTCTCGTGTCACGCTGTTTGCAATTGAACTCCTCCGAAACGGCTCGACAGAATTTCGTGAAATTTTGTGTGCATATCGGCCAGGGTGGATAATCGGACAACATCTATTTTTCATCCCCCTAAATGTTAAGGGTGCAAACATTTTTTTCTACCGTACAAATAATCGATATGGCAAATCAACGTTTGCCGGCTCAGCTAGTAATATATAAGATATACTTCGGAAAATTAAATATTCATACTAAGCCTGACATTGTATTAATATCTGTGCTACGGAACGTATAAGTGGTACACTTCGCGTGCCCGCGGTATTTGCATTACCGAAAAGGGCGTTTCGTTGAGCGGAAGCGTGCGATGCGCAGGAGCGGCGGCGGGGGCGGGCGCGGGGCTGCGCGAGGCGCGCGAGGCGCCGGCGCCGCCGCCCGCCAAGCGGCCCAACAAGCACCCGGCGCCGATGCAGCGGCCCTCGCGCGAGCAGTACGCCGCCATGTGCGCGCGCGCCCAGGCCACCGGCCAGCCGCTGCCCGCCCACGTCTTCACACACGTAACTACCCCCACCGCCATCACCTTGCGCCTAGGGTTGCCAACCGTGCAGTTCCATATTAGTATTGCGTCTTCGTACTATTCCGATGAAAAAGTGTTCACTATAATTTTGTAAGTAACAAATGTATACCATATTTGTATATTCTTTGCTTTATCCATAAAATAATATATTTTCAAGAGTACTATATTTTCAATAACAATCATTTGATGAAATGTTGGCAACCCTACGTAGGACATTCAAAAGTCGTAACAAGACCAAAGTTTTCTTGGATTAAACACATTTTGACCGCGGCCTATTTGAAATTCTAAGTTCACAACTGATTTTGTTCATTGTCAATTGGTCTAAAAGCTAAGTAAATAAAATATACTTATGTTAGTAAATATAGTAAACTTTACTGAAGTAAATATACTCTGTCAAAAATGTTTTTTTTTATGTTGTTTTGTAATGTTAGGCTTTATTTTTTAAAATTTTATCTATTGTTTTAACAGAAACTATAAAAAAAATTGACTATCGTACTGAAGTACATTCCTTGCCCCGCATGGAAACAATTTTTGCAAAGCCAGTTGTTGTCATTTCAGATTATATTGATACAAAATGCGAGGTTCCGTGTAGAAGGAAGTACATACATTAAAACATTGCTCCAAATGTGTTCCATATCGAACAAAGTAAAATAAGCCCTAATTGCCATTTGATAAATAAGTGACATAATATATTAGTAAGCTACATGTGATTTGATATATTCTTAGGTCAATGGCAAGCCGACGAACCTAACGGGCCGCGGCGGCCGTCGCCACGTCATCTCGTGGATGGATGCACCGGATGACCTCTACTTCAGAGCCTCCGATGTCGCAAAGTGAGTGATCCACCATTGATTAACTAATCGTTGCGGTAATGGCAAATTTCCAAAAATCTAAATGATATTGTTATTGCATTTATTTTATGGTGGGGTTTCGGTTTTACGGTAACTCATTATCGGTAACTCATTATCGACTAAATGTGGTTAGCCGATGTCCCGTCCAAGAAGCCTACATTTATGTCTAATAGAAACAAACTAGTTACGTAGATGATGTATGTGTAATTAATGGATAAGGAAAAGGTGCAAACGATGGTGGAAAGTGTAGAAACCCAAAGGCCGACAACGCATTTCTGGTGTTGCGAATGTCCGCCTGTTCGTTTAAAGGAAAACATCATGAGGAAGAAACATCATATTTTCTAAAAATAACAAAAAAAAAAATAATATTTCCGATTATATGTGAAGTACGTCAATCCGCAGTGGGGCCGCGTGGTGGACTTTGACCCTAACACCCTCTTTATAGAGTATCAAAGTCAAAGCCAAAATATCTTTATTCAATATAGGCTTAACTTAGTGTCTCTTATTGACTGCAACTGCGCCATCGGTTCATCTGACTGACTCAGATGTCCCGATGGCGCAGTTGCAAGGCTTCGGTGTCGGGGGTTGTGGGTTCGATCCCCACACGGGACACCTATTTGTGTGACCCACAGGTAGTTGTTTCGCATCTGGGTGTCTGTCTGCGTGAAATATGTTTGTAACACGTCCTCGCAACACAGGATACTTTTATCCTAAAGTAAAGGATATCTATAAAATGCACGTCAAAAAGAGCCACCACATTTCTGTCACCGTTGCAATGTTGCGTGCGGCAGGGCGGCCCGGCGGACGCTGAGCAGCGGGGAGCTGCGGCGCGGGGCGCGCGCGCCCTGGCGGGCGGTGCGGGGCGGCGGCGGCGGGGCGGCGGGGGGCGCGCCCGGCAAGGCGCCCGCGCCCGCGCCGCCGCTGCAGCTCGTCATCCTCGACTGACAGGTGACATGGACGGCCCTTGAGGCCCTGAACACCTAGTGGCTAGTGAGCCGTTTCTGCCAGAGCGAGTGGGTTCGATCCCCACTATTGGAATCTTATTGTGTGATAAACAGTGTTTTCATAGTGTCGGTGTCTACATATTTTTTGCGCGAGATGGTGTGGATTCGAACCCCACTTCTGGAAAAGTATTGTGTGACAATAATAGTGATTTTCCAGTGTCTGGATGTTTATACATTTATTTGTTGGTTATCTGATACCCATAGTACAAAAGTTTCTCATTTTGGGACTAGAGAATGTTGTGTAACAACGTGTCCTGAAATATTTATATTTACACCGAATGACTTGACAACTGTCGTTTTAAGTGGTCACCTCATGGTTTGCAGCTTCTGCACATTGTTTTGTGAGTCAAATGTCAACAAAATCCAGGGAAAAAATAGTCGTTTCTAGTCTGGCGAGCATGTCATGATTGTTATACCCGAACGAGAATATTTATTCGTTCATTTCATTTTTTTCGAGTTAATCGTTTTCTTAATGAAACTTTGGAACCAACTTAAATGTTGGAAATATTACAAAGGAGTGCCGAGTACAGAAAGTTTTAACTGTAACACCGTGCCGAAGTTGCCAAGGTATTGGCTTCGGCGTCGTGGGTTCGATTCCCACGCGGGATAACAATTTTTGTAACCCACAGATACTTGTTTCGCATCTGGGTATTTGTAAAACGCCCTAACAACACAGGATAAGTAAGGGCAATGTTTTAAAAAAAAAACATTGTATTAATATCTTGGACGTGTCACGCAGGAGCCGCCGCGCCCGCCGCACCCGCCGCACCCGTACACCATGGAGGCGCTGCTCGGCTGAGCGGCCCCGCTCCTTGTACATTCGCCGTGTAAATACGTCCGCCGCCCGCCGGCAGGCCAACCGAGGCCGCGAGCGCGCTCGCCGAACTGCTCGCGAACGTGCGCCGAACGTGCACGAACGTGGCCGAACGTGCACGAACGTGCCCGAACGTGCGCGAACGTTCCCGAACGTGTTCCCGAGTGCGTCACGGACCCCGAGCCCCCGTGCTCTAAACGAAGATTGTATTTTTGGTAATCGAATCGCCGAGAACGGATTCTGTAGATAATAATTTTAAAACTATATTGTTCTTATGTGGTTTGATCTGGCGACGAGCAAAATAATGTATTTGATACATAAAACGATATGTAAGTCTATTTCATTCGGAGATTCATTGTAGGATAATTTACAATTTTTTTCATAAATAAAGCACAAATTGGAATGCGGTCTGTTTATTTTCTTTCCTTTATTGTGTTTGTTGCGTTGAAATTGTGTATATTAGAAACAAAGATGTTTTCATTGTAATAGGTTGTAATAAATAATAAACCCTCACGTTTTTCCTTTTGGTACTTCCTTGAATTTAAGTGTACAAAACAATCAAATTGCAATTACAGTGACTCATTGTTTTACATTAGTTATGATAATTTTTGTTTTGTTTTCATTTTGACACATGATATTGAAGTATATAAATATGTGAAATTGGCTTTTACACCCACCTAGATCGAATTATTACGCGTACCAACTACTAGACAGTGGTAACAGCGCAAGGTCATCACTGTTTATTTGTACTACTGTACTGAGCGACGGTGACAAGCAAACCATCCTTGAGATTGTGAACTTAAGAATGTCGGTGGAGAGTTGTGATGTGTCAAAAATATCGAAATATTGTTTTTTTTTTTTTCTCGAGAAAATGTCGATATTTTTATCAGAGAAGTCGATATTCGATATTTATTTTAAAATATCGAATTCGTATCGATTTTGTTATGTTTTTAACGCACCTCTAGATTCATATTCAATGTACGAATATAAACGGCTCTTCACATGCCCTTTTCACTTCGTTTATTTTAAAAATTAATCATTTGCTGCCTCTGATGAATAACTACAATCAGCTTTTATTTATGCATGTATAAATTAGAACTTTATATTGTTATTCTTATAATTTATTTACTCTTAATTATTTGTATCGTTTTATTTAATTTCAATGTATCAATATTTTCGATACCGTTTAAAAATATCTATAGGATATATTTCTCTAAATACATATGTACATAAGTTATGACTCTCAAAAATTGTGTATGATGGAGATAAACTGCTGTGCTTCACGAATACTATTGAAAAATTATGAAAATTGAAAATATCATCGTTCTGAAATAGGTTCGCATATACAAGAATCGGTAGACATATAAAACTTAATTTTATTTTTGTTGTTGGGTTAATTTAGAGTTTATGCACCGTAAATGAATTTATTTATTTATTTATAAACTTTTTGCACCATAGCTTATAATGGCGGATTTAACACAATTAGGTTCTAATGTAATCACTACCAGTCAATTGACAAATAGAGAAAATAACCATTTTTTTACCAATGAAAAAAAAACCGACTTCAAATGTCTCGCTCTGTATTCATTTTATAATTGATTTTCAGGATTTCCCTAAGAATCTCCGGAGCCAAAGATCAATTATCAATGAAATTAATATGGGGCCACATGGGAAGGGTCAGCTTTCAAATAAAAAAAGAATCATCAAAATCTGTTTACTCAGTCAAAATTTAAGAGGTAACAAACATAAAAAAAATACAGCCAAATTGAGAAACTCCTTTTGAAGTCGGTTAATAAGGAGGTGCGACAGAGCCAAATGAAGAAGTACAGAGTGTGATAAATAATATGGTTTTATATAAAATACATACACGTCACAATCACGGTGGTAGGGCCACGCAGCAGCCTCGGCTGTTGCACGAATGGGCAGGCTCGTCCGGGTAAGTACCACGACCTCACAGAAGACCGGCGTAAAGTAATACTTTCGCGTTTCGTCTGGTGAGTGAGGTGGCCGGAGCCCAATTTTCAAAAGGTCAACGCATCTGCAACCTTCGGATGTAGCAGATGTCCATGGGCGGTGGTATTCACTTAACAACAGGTGAATCGTCTGCTCGCTTAGCAACTCTTCACATAAAAAAAAACATTGCATACATAATTATACATACATACATAAGTAGCCGGAGGACCGAGCTTCGCTCGGTTTGTTTTTTTTTTTGGTAAATCGTGTGTTTTGGAAATTACATTTAGATACAAATTACTGAGTAATGAAATATGCGTAATATTTTTCGATCTTACCGACGTAATATTAAGAAAATATGAACTGATGTTTTTCACAAAAGAAAGAACTTAAAAAAAAAAGGGAAAAAGATACCAAATCGACAAAAAATAAAAGATGAAGAAAGCAATGATCTGGAATCGAAAAAAAAGTAAAAAAAAACAAGTTTGTAAATGATCGTGATACGAACCACGGTCTTCTGTTTCGTGGCTGTTTGTTAGCGGCCGCCCGATTACCGACCGAGCTATTATAACATTTTTTTTTTCGGTGAAATTTACCGTCGTATTCGAATAATATTTTTCATTCCCTGAAAACTGGGATAAAACGACATTTTCTAAAAATTAAACCTAGTCATATCGATTCTTCGCCCCCGAATCTACGCACATACAAAATTTCATGAAAATCACTGGAGCCGTTTCCGAGATTCCAATTATATATATACAAGAATTGCTCGTTTAAAGGATAAGAGAGAGATATGTATATAAATATTTATAGACAAATATATTTAAGAAAGTTATTCATAATAAAGTAATGAGAGATAATAATAAAAAGGGAGAAGTATAAATAATACTGATGAAAAAGATCATCAATTTTAGCGAGTATCTAAATAAAATTTAAAGACGGCACCTTTAAAAGCTAGGCTTTTTTTCGACAATTTTTAGGTAACTTTTTTTTAGACAGTTTCTGATAGAGGTGGGTAGTGAGTTCAAGAGCGTATGGCTTGACCTTGAAAAGGATTGAACATAAAACACAAAGGAACGATTAGGAGAAATTTGAAAGGAGAGGTTTCGAGAATGAGCATCAGATTGGAAGGAAGATTTTCGTTCGAGATAGGAGTGATGTGAGTGATCAAAGAGGATAGAAAAAAGGGTGCGAATACTTAATGTGTTTCTTCACTCGCAAATCTGCAGTCAATAATTAAGCTAATTACGAAAGTGGGAAATGTGGTCAAATTTACGAAATCCAAATCTAAATCTATTGCAATTATTTAGGACACGGTCAAGTTTGTTCAGAAGATCCTGACTTGCGTCGGAGTAGAAAACATAAGCATAATGTCAGGGAGCAATTGTCTGTACCAGCGACAATTTTGTCCATGAAGGTAAACTTACAGCAAACACTTTTAATATGAAATGTGCACGATAAGCTGCCGATAACCCTATATCTCATATGCTGAGAGAAAGGTGAAATAATCCCATGGTCCAGTGGTTTTATTCGATGAGCGCTGCCAATAATGATCGCCCGACATTATGATTGATAAACAGCGACGCCTAACATGTTAGACCAGTGCCGGATCTGGTTCAGACTTCAGACTAAAACTAGCCAGTTAAATTTTTCTTAATAAGTACCTACCTTAGCTTACTTAGATGTAGGGATGTCGAAAGTAAAGCAATATATCGATATTTATAAATATATTAATATCGGCTTCGATATGTCGAATTATCAATACGGTATCAAAGAAAATATCATTATAATTAACCAAAAATATCGATATTTAGATATTTTTTCGGCATCCCAACTTGGATGATTTTAAGGGATTTTTAAAAATAATTGACCAAACGAATTCTTTTTTAAAAAGTTATATTTATTCGAGTACATAACTACATCTTACGATAAATGGATAATAGCTATTATTCCGTATGATAAATATGTTTTAAGTGGATTTTTGACCCCTGCATCGCCACATTTACTTTATTCGACAAGCGCTATCACATAATTCATGGGTTACACGTTCGCGTACAAAAATATTTCAATATCCAATAACAGCGGCAGAGGAACGTTGTCGTTGGGAGGTAACTGTATTTTGTTTTTTTAAACAAGAAACATACAAGCGTTGATTCCCCAATGGCACTAGACTGTACTTCCTTGTTCAAACACCTATATATATCTACAATCTTCACATTATTTTTTTCCATTCCATACGAAATATTACAAAATTTCCACCGTCTGGACGCTAGTTACCCACTAAATAGAAAAGCGTACGATATATGAATTGCTCCCTTAAAGTTATAGATAAATATCATAATAATTTTTTGTAATACATTTTCAATGCTTTCATTTCACGTGGACAATTTCAGGAGCAACGTCAACCAAAGAAAATACCAAATTACAACATAACGGCCGCTACATTAGCATTATAAAATAGCCCACGTGAAAGGTATAAATATACAATACAACAAATAATTTCACATTCATAATTTTCTCCAATACTAGAAGAAAACGACACACTTGAGAGTTTTAGCAATCAGACGAAACTACTTTCATCGATTGAAAGGGATCGCCGAAAGGCGATATTGAAAAGGATTAAATTCAAATACAGTTGGCTCCCATCGACGCGACAACACCGCCCGAGGTTTGTTCCCTAACTCTCTGTGCGAGTTAAATTGAGCAGAATGTATTAACGCTACATTAACACTAAATCAACTTTGTTGGCGGACTATGTGGTTGGTTAGAGTAGGCCTCCCGTTACAAAACTATTTTATACAATTCCATTAATAATAATATTACATCAAGAAGTCAGTCCCTTACCGTTGTTTAACTGTCCTTATTATACAAAACCCCGTACTTCAACTAAAATTGCAGTAAACTACCTCTAGGTTTTAATCTCAATGCCGCGCCTGCCCTTGTTCCCATACAAATAGGGGTCACAATGCATCGGCGCCGGCGAGCGCGAGGCGCGCCCTACGTGATCGTCATAAAATACTCGATACAAAAATACTCAATACTGTACAATTACAATAATTATTATTTGTAGGTAATAAACTCGTACCGATATATCGTAAGCGGTTCATGCTCTGATAGAATCTAACGCCCTGCTCTCATCAATATTACACCATTCACAAATTATATACAATGTCTTTTTATATTTTAATATACATGTAACAAACACACATCCAAATTTGATCCCAAAACTGTAGTCTTTACCTCGTTTTTATTTTCTAAATTAAATAATGAGATCGAACATAGTTATTATGGATCCTTTCAGTTGAGTAAACCAGAACGGGAATTTGCGAGGGTGAGGTAAATTTTTTAGAGTACGGTAAAAACAGTACAGAAATTGAGTCGATATAAAACAGCGGAAGGGTTTCAAAATTTCCAAAAGGAGGTAAAATGGTATACCTATAATTTAATATTTTCTCATTCATAAATATGTTCATATAATATCTCCATTTATTTCAAGGCACTGTTCGCTAACAATTGATAACTGTTTTGATTTTTTTTATTTAGATCATCTTAGCATCTTACCCTAAAATAATAGCCAATATTAAAATATTCAACTTGCAGTACAAATAACTCGTACGAAAATACACTCATGACTCTGCGTACATACATCTATACTAAAATAGTTATATTTCAGTATATAATTTACATTCAGTTTGTAAATAGACTTCCGGGAAATCAGATTCGCCGGTAAGTCGCGTTCTATACAAAAATATTGTTTTTTTTTTTAATTTGCCGTGACGCAAAAGCGGTAATTCGTTACAGCCTATCCATAATAAAAAAAAACAAGCCGCGTCGGCGGCACCGAAGGCCGGGTTAGGTGGGATTCGATTTTTGGACATATTGGGGGCCAATCGTTGAGTGCGACAGTGGAATGTTTGCGGAACTACGTTTGATCGTCAGCTTGAGACGGTGACCGCTCGCTTCGCTTAATCTAATTCTTCGTACAGTCGCGGCGACACGCGCGTAGCCCTCGGGCTTTATCGCAATAGCGTATAGCCCGAGAGGCCTCCAAACGGTGCACGCTGTGCGCGACTGTACTTTGCTCTTGTACGAAGCATGGCGGGCCTCGCGAGCGCCGCTCGCCTGCTTCAGTGCTTCGACAAGTTCAATGGCAAATCTGAAACAGGTTAAATGGGTAACATGAGTAAATATTCGACGTAAATTTAAACATATATTTTTTACTAGCGACCCGCCCCGGCCTCGCACGGGTGCAATGTATTATACATATAAACGTTCCTCTTGAATCGCTCTATCTAGTAAAAAAAAAAAAACGCATCAAGATCCGTTGCGTAGTTTTAAAGAACTAAGCATATATAGGATAGGCAGACAGTGGGATGACTTTGTCTTATACTATGTAGTGACGTAAAAATAATCGAAATAGTGTATCATGTTCAAGTTTCTATCCTCACACTGGACACAAAATTGTTGTTCCGAATCTGGGTAACTAATTTGTATCTGTGTTTATGTTATGAAACCTGCCGCAGATTTCCTTTTCAGATTTTAGATTTCCTAGTGCGGAACTAGCTTACTTTTAAAAATAAATAATATTATAGTTTGTGTCAAAAGTACAGTTGAGGCATATCTATCAACAACGTGAGTTCAAAATAAGGACAAACCCTTTAGCCATTTCGTGTGTAAAATATTATAGAATCGCATCAAAAGGTATAATTATTTGATTATCGCTGACTATTAGTGATACCGAGTATTCTAGTTTGCGTATAAGCATTGTTTTACATTGGGATATATACCGAGCTATAACAATTTTGGATCTACATAATGTATAAAAGCACCGAAATGAGGACTAGTTGTTTGGGTATAGTTAATCGAGAGCAAAGGCTACCATACTGACCGGAGGTGTGTTCGTCCTTGGGTATGTGGTCGGTGAGCAGCGGGTGGGGCAGGGGCGCCCAGGGCCCAGGCGGCGCGTGCGGAGCGTACTGCAGCCACAGGGGCGGCGCGCGGTAGAGCGGCACATAGCCGTAGGGGTAGGCGTAGGCCACGTCGCGGTAGGCGCCGGCCCAGGCTCGCGCGTAGCCCGCCCCCGCCCCCGCCCCGCCGCCGCAGCGCCCGCCCCCACCCGCTGCCGCAGCTCGGGCGGCGTGGGCGGCCCCGGCGAGCCGAGCGCCAGCGCCCCGTACCGGTACCGGTAGCCGTCCGGGCTCGGGCTGGCGTCCGGCGAGTGCACGCCCGACGGCGACTCGGCGAGCAGCGGCGGCGCGTACGAGTGTGGCGAGCGACGCGTCGGACTCTCGTCGGGCCGGCTAAGCAGCGAGTGGATGCTGTAGCTACACACGCCCTTGGTGGCGCCGGGCTCCTTGCGGGCGGCGGTGCCGTTGTGGGTGCGCGCCGGCTCAGCGGGCGGCTTGTGCGCGTGGCTCGGCCCCGGCGAGGGCGGGTACGAGGCGGTGCTGAGGGCGGGCACCGTCTTCGCGCGCCGCTTCGTCGCCTGGTCCTCGAGGCTCACCCGCTCCATCTCCCTGAGGATGCGCTTCCGCGGCGACACGATCATGTGCTCCTGCCGGCAGCTCGCCAGCTTCGCGTTCACGAGCACCGGCAGCGAGGTGATCCTCTCGCGGAGCTTGTCGACGGTCGAGTTCAACGCCTTGCGTCTCGTCGGCGGCCTCGTCTTTTTGTACACCCTTAACTTATGATACTGATATGGTTTCTTGAGTTTCATATGGAAGTATTTCTCGCGGTCGTACTCCATCCTCCTGTCGTCGTCGGGGCTCGGCCTCGCCCTGGGCTCGCCGGTGGGGGCCGTGGCGGGGGCGGGGGCGGGGGCGGGGGCGGGGGCGGGGACGGGGGCGTCGACCACGTCCTCGCCGCGGCACGGCCTCGCCTCCGCCGGGGACACGTCGCCGTTCTTCTTCTTGTCGCAGAGGCCGTTGCTGAGCGGCTTCCGTGCGGCGCTGCCGTTGAGCAGCGCGTCCTGGTGGCTGGTGTCGTAGGGCCTCCGGCGCTTGATGCGCGCGGGCGCCTCGATCGTGGCGTTGTGCAGCGTGCTGGGCCTGCAGTAGTACATGGCTAGCTCTTTGGATATGTTCCGGCGCGGGGTGGGCTGCTTCCAGCAGTGGTCCCTCTGCCAGGGCGAGGACTGCACGGAGCTGTTGTCGTCGGAGACGGAGAGGGAGGCGCAGGGCTGCGGCAGCGCGGGGGGCGTGGGCGGCGCGGCGGCCGGCGGCCAGAATGTCTTGCGCGGCACCGACACCCAGCCGGCGCGCTCACCCTCGCGCGCGCTGCCCCGCACCAGCTCCAGGATGAACTTACCATCTGGAGGACAAATTCATATTATTCACTCAACAAACAAAATTATATTATTAATTACTTCTATTATTCCTTACTCATATATTATTATTATTTAATATTATAAAGGCGAAAGTTTGTATGTATAGATGGATGTTTGTTACTCTTTCACACAAAATCTATTGAATAGATTTTAATGAAACATTACAATGATATAGCTTATACATCAGAATAACACATAGCTATAACATATAAAGATATTGTGTGAACTGTACAAAATATAGGTAATGTAAGTGTCAAGTAAGTAGTGTATAAAAAGCTTGTTGTTTGTTGATTCATATAAATGCTGAATAATGAATATGCTTTTTTTTACTTTTCACACACTTTCCACTTTTAATGCCTGCAACTGGCTCTCATAAAAATATTTTATAGTAATCTTAATTCTATTGTTATAAAGAGAAATATACACATACTAGCTGCTTGTTAACGCCCCCGCAACACCATTTGTGGGTGGAATTTCGTAAAATCCATTCTTAGCTGACCTCTACTCGGCGAAAGGAATATTCCTACCAAATTTCAAGTCTCTTTGCCTTATGGTGCCAGGAATATTGTGATGAGTCAATTATCGGTGGAAATCTCTTGCAGATAGAATACAGTCTCATACAATTTGTTAATATGATGCTTTCAATACCAACAGTATGCTAATTATTAAATTAGTAATAAAAGTGTCAAATTAGATTCCCACCTTCTAGTAATAAGTTTGCAGAGTGTTAAATTTCTTTAATTTACCTGTCTTTGTAATATGTGTAAAACACATTCTCTCATATTTTCTTGTGAGCTTGATGCCTGTTTAAGATCCTTTTTATCTAAGCATAGCCATTCATTTAAAAATATTTTTTATACATTATATGGCATGATCACAAAATCCAAGATTACCATTTCATACACCTTTCCATTATTAGAAATATGTTTGCAACACTAAAAAACGAAACTAAGCCCTTCATGACAAAACTTACACCCGGTTTCTGAAACACTGATTATTTTAGAAGTTAACTAATCAGCTGTCAAATGGCTTTTCAAATGTTATTTGAGTTGCGAAAAGGATGTTAAGCTCTCTTAATTGAGCAGTTAGAAGAGCTTAAATAAGAAAAGTACTACTTTCCTTGTGTATTAAATTTTAGTGAAAATATTTACTTGCTCGCAGGTTTTGCTTATTTCATGGTATTTACTTGTAGTAATTAACATGAATTATTATCATCCATTAATATTTCATAAATAATGCAACTAAAAACTAAACAATCTTATATCAACTAAGGTAACATAATATGTTAAGGTGCAGTTTTATAACATAACAATATTTCACTCCCAAATAAGTAAACTGTGATAAACACAATGTAATATTTGTTCTTGTCAAATGTTATAATCACCTGTTATTGCAGGCAAGTTGAATATTGTCTAAGCTTACTGATAACTATTCTCTGATTATTAAATAGTAGTGTAAGTTATCTCAAATAAACAAATATATGGCACCTATTTAAGAGTAACTTTATTTAATGTCAAATTCAATCCTTCAGATGAAGTAAAGACGGTTTTTCTTTAGTTTACCATGTGTTTAGGGTTTCATTAACAATTTTAGCACCATGAAGAGATACAGAGCTATAATTTGGACAATAAGAGTTAAATTTGGAGAAGTACATAAAATTTGTTCCGTTTTTTTTGTAACATTATCCTGTGTTGTAAGGGCCCAGACAAACACCCAGATGCGAAACAATTATCTGTGGATCACACAAATAGTTGTCCCGTGTGGGAATCAAACCCATGACCCCCGATGCAGAAGCCAATGCCTTGGCAACTACACCATGAAGTCATCAAAATTATACACATATTGTTTTAAACTTAAGCTACTGATACACTTTTGGTATTAAAAGGTTATTTTTAAAGCTCTTTTGACACACTGTTAACATTTAAAATTAACCTAGATTTCCAACAAGATTTACACAACTTAAAAACATAAACATATAAATGCATTTCAAATGCATATATAAAGAAATTACTTTCATATTACTTTTTATTTATATAAACATATGTTATAGAACAAGCTTATAATTTATTATGTTTATAATATAATTCATTTATACAGACACACTTCATTTATATAACTTTATGTTAAATAATAATGAATTAAGAGAGTATTTCAAAGACTTATCATATTATATATTTCATTCCCATGTAGTACTTAGAATCAAAACTAATTTTAATGTTTTATTTAAAGTATGTTATAGTGTTTTGATTTAGATTGCTAGTTTTACACAATTATGTACTTAATATTTTAGCATTTTTTTTAAACTGAAAATGAATGAAAATGAAAGCCAATAAGAAGTCTTATTAAATTTGATTAAATAAAAAAAATTGATATAGGGCAAAGAATATAATAATCTAAAATTAATAAGCAATCATTTTATTAGGAGTCTATTACCTTATTAGGGCATTATGTCATGCTTTACAATTAGAAAAAATAAAGCAGATAATTTTGTATAACATTGAAACAGACAGAAAACAGATTTTCTGAATTTATGATTATTTCATATGAGGAAGGATCTTATTTATATTGCCATAAGTACTAATGATTACTAAGACCCCAGCACAATTATGTTAGTTTCCGCTAGAGTGCCCATAACATCTTGCAAAACTTACAACAATAGCACAGAGGCTGTGTTCAGACAATTGGTTACTGTTCAGTCAAATGTGGCTGTGTATGCTTATCAGAGCATGAATGACTTTCTAGCTTTATTAACTCAATAAAGTAACAAAGATGTATAAATAGTTTTTTCAATTTATCATTTGCACATCCCTGTTAGTTGGATTCTAGTTATAGGAATCGTAAATCGTAATCGTCGCAAATCAGAATTACTAACCTTTGAAGAATTTAAGCCTCCCACCAGTTGTAGATATAGCAGAATTGTGACCAGAAACATCGTCGCTTACAGCCTTACTACTGCTGTTACCATTCACACCATGTCTTCTGTCTACTTCTTCTGTCATTTTGGTACATGTTGTCAGAGTTGTGTTTGTTCCTTCCTGTATATGCATTTCATTTCTGAGCGCTCATACGGCACACGAGCAACACTTTAGACAAAATATAGTCGCCATGTCGCGCTTAACTCTGCGAACGGCGGCTCCTTGGTAATCATTCGTGGAATCAGATCGACACTAAATATTTCCGTCAAAGTCCTCATCCTAATAGGGCCACCTGCGGGAAGCTCGTCCGATACCTTCGTATAAACACATTACCGACACGGTGACTACTAACTTGAACAATTATTTCAGTCAATCCTGTAAGTAAGAGCACATTTAAAGGATTGTCACTATCTAAATAATTACAAAACAAAACCGCGACGCCGGATTCCCGATTATAATCGGACCCACGACACAACTCGATAAAAAGCTGTTCGTTTTTCAGTACATAGTTCATTCACACCCAGCATCCATTTTGATTCGTTCAAAATCCAAATAAAATCGTTCATTTTGGCCACAAATAAACTTGTAATCTGAATGCATTGTTAAGTACGTTCAGATAATGCTAAAAAGTAAAACAAAACAAAATCGTTTTAAGAAATCTGGAAAAATGGAAACAATGAAAAAAAATATTCATTAAATTATAGTTCTTAGATTAATTATACAAAAAATAAGGGTATTTGGATAAATTAAATGTTTTCAAACATTGAAGGATATTAGACGAGAAGATTTGGCGAAATTGCCCGCTGACCATCAATGTTGGATTCGCCGATTGACCTCTGCGTCGATTTTGGACTTGTGGCGACTCATTCGCTAGAGTGTAGCATCCCTTTTGTTTTATGTACCCTAACTCTCATCTGGTCTAGCATTACCCTAGTATTGACAAATTACTATAGCAACGAGTGACAATAAAAGATAATGGTTTTCTCAACACGGGTTGTTCTTTGTACTGCATCTTAATTATTATTCATCATGTCCTTAATTATTCATCATGTCCATGTTTATCTTAGCCCACCCGTTGGGAGACACTGTTGAGGTCATTGAGCATAGTACTGAAATGAGTTTTGTATTCCACGTTGATGTTAATACGTTAACACGTTCTTTTTATTCCAAAAGCTTGAAAACATCTTCCAATGCAGCGGTGAAGGGTTTCGGGGATAGGTTTTACTAGCAAAAGCTTTCAAATTCTCACGTTCTGAAACGGTATTAAAAAGGACAGTAAAAAATATTTCCCCATTTCTAATTCAGTTGTAGTTTCGTGGAGCACGGCTACTTTAATTTTGTCTACTTTTGTTCTAAACGTAATTTTAACAGTGGTTCATAGAACACGGAAAAACATCTGTGGCACTATTTAAAATACTAGGTCTTTACATATAAATTTCAGGTTATGTACGAAAAGGAAGAAAGTATGTTTTTTCAAACTTTTTTATTTCTCCTATTCAAAGTATTCACCCATGCAGTCGATGCATCTTTGCCATGGTAGTTTACTGATGCCCTCTGTCTTGTAAAAATCAGCTGGAGGGCATCAAACTTTTCAAAGACATTTTGTACTGAACTTCGGTAATTAAATTTTTTTTCCGCTAAAAAGTTGCCCATATTTTGGAAAAAGTAACAGTCAATAAGACCTGTCAGATAAGGTAGAGCTTCAAACCCCACATCTTGCAGCAAGGAGACTGTCTGTTGTGCAGAATGGGGTCTCGCGCTGTCGTGAAGGAGCAGCGGGGACGACCGATTGACAGAAGCTGGTTTTATCTTCATTATCTTCAGTTCTTCACAGTACACATCTGCAGTAAAGCTCATGCCGTTTTGTAAAAAGCTGTGATGAATCTCACCGGCACTAGACCACCAAATGCAGTGGCCGTTTAGGGCATTGCTTTGGTGCCCGCTGACTGGGTTCCCACCTTGACGTGGCGGAGGGGCTTATTAGTCGTGGCTTGGTCAACCACGGTGAAGCTAAAAGAAACCTAAGGTGGTAGGGTCATGCAGCAGCCTCGGCTGTTGCACGAATGGGCAACCCGTCCGGGTAAGTACCACGACCTCACAGAAGACCAGCGTAAAGTGGAAGTATGACAAATATTTTCGCGTTTCGTCTGGTGAATGAGGTAGCCGTAGCCCAATTTTCAAAAGGTTGTCAACGCATCTACAACCCTCGGGTATGGCAGATGTCTATGGGTGGCGGTATTCACTTAATATCAGGTGAATCGCTCCCTGTCTTCTGATACCGAGGAGGAGTCGCGAGGGAAGAAGAGTGTTGGTATTACGTTGAACCGCGCTGCCTATCCTCATCGACTCGGCGCGGCTGCACCGCTGATGCAGTGGTGGTGGGACCGCGGTGGAAGAGGAGTGTCGGTATTGCGGTGTGCCGTTCTCCCTACCCTCCGCGGCTGAAACGTGGTTAGCGGCGGAGCCACAGACCAGGTATTACAGCCCCCAGCCACCGTTGGGGGCTGTAATACTTGTTGGTTCTTGACACTGGCTTTCCTGGCTTCCATGGCTTCTGCTCAGCGAGCTCGGCGGAGTTCGTTGGTCATGAAAAGGGGCTGAGTAGGAAGGCGCGCCGAAGCGCGCCTTACCTGGAGGATAGGGGAGTTGACCTCCTGGAGGGAGACGGCCAGCGCTGGCAGGGTAGCGGAAGTGTGCGAAAGCGTTCCCGTGGCCCTGCCGATATGCGCCTAGGTGGAACATCGTGGGGGTTTTAGTCCGACATAACCCGCTCTTGCCCTCGCGAGAGTGGGTAGGCATTTCTCCCACGTAAACAAAAAAAGGGCATTGCTTTGGTGCTGATCCAGGATCTAAACAACTTGCTGAGCGCTCGAACAGAATCCATTTTTCGTCGCACGTAATATTTCGGTTCAAAATTCCTTCATTTCTGTACCTAAAAAAAACCTGTTCAGCAGTGCGAGGCAAGTCTTGACGCATACGTTGCGCTGGTGACCGTTGAAGTCGCGCCCATCGATTAAGCTTTTTTACCTCGCCAGTTTCGCAAATGGACCAATATTGTTCTGATGCTAACTTCAAAAGCTGCTGTTAGCTGGGCTGTATATTGAGTATTATCCGTTTCCACAATCACTTTTAATTCATCATTGTTGACCAGTGTCTGGAATACCACGAGGTTTATTTTTGGAGGAACCGGGCAAACCAATAAACTTTGTAAAAATAATTTCATGTCGATCAGAAAAAAATTAAAGACCTATAGGTTTTGTTATTGCTAATATTCCAAGATATATCATCTCTTTGATTAATAAACACTGGAAAGAAGAAAGAAACAAGACGGGACATAGACAGCAAAATAAACTACAGTCTGTGGTGCATAGCATCCGACCGACTACAGAGTAAAACTATCACCAGTTCCAGTCCAATCCAGTATACATGTATTATCTATGACTATTTGACTACACTTCCATTCCGCTTGATTAACATTTCCCTTGCGTGCAAATGATTTTGTTGTTTTTGTAACACTTTTGGGTTGTTTAATTTGGAAAGTCGTACTAATAACTGACAATAATTCAATAAGACGATCCAAACATGACGACGTCTGAAGTATCGTTTAATCGCAAAATAATATCAGAAGATTTATCGAATGTTGAATTCGACACAAGCGAAGATGTGGAAGTTATTCCTACATTCGATTCAATGGGCCTACGCGATGAGTTATTACGCGGCATATACACCTATGGTAATAGTGTTCCATAAAATGTTTTTCTGTGATATATTTCAGCTATTTACCGTTTTCCCATCATTTTAGGTTTCGAGAAACCGTCAGCTATACAGCAAAGAAGTATTCAGCCCATAGTAAAAGGTAGAGATGTCATAGCTCAAGCCCAGTCCGGAACCGGCAAAACTGCAACATTTTCCATCTCTATACTACAATCCCTCGACACGACCCTCAGGGAGACCCAAGTACTTGTGCTTTCTCCAACACGAGAATTAGCCACGCAAATTCAAAAAGTCATTCTTGCGTTGGGTGACTTCATGAATGTTCAATGCCATGCTTGTATTGGGGGTACTAATCTTGGAGAAGATATCAGAAAATTAGATTATGGTCAGCATGTTGTGTCCGGAACACCTGGAAGAGTTTTTGGTATGAATATTATAGAATTTTATGCAGCCAATACAATTAAACTTAGGCTCTTAATTAGCTTATTGCATAGTAAATGTTAGAATTTAAGGTAAGCAGAAGAATACATAGAGATCGATTTTCCAGTAAATATTATTGATTTTCCAGTATATATTTTTATGGTTTTGTAATCAGAATAATATTATTATATTTTAGGAGGTAGTTTGATAGTTTCTTTGTTTCATTCAGCATTGCAAAGGTTGTTCTAAATATAATGGCGGTGGTGAAGATAGGCAAAATGCTATGCAGTAACAAATAGTAGTGAGTCGGAAAGGTCAAAGTACCTGTCTAGAAGTCTTTCATATCACATTTGGTAACTTGGTATACAATTACAAAAATGCACCCTGAACTCAAGCACACAAGTGCTTGAGTTCAGGGTGCATTGTGTAAATTGTCTGCTAGTGCTCAAGTCTTAATTTAAGTTATTGTTGTTGGCTATTTTTTTAGAGATGGCGAATGACCAAACGTCTTAACTGATTATGAGTGATCACTGTTGGCCAGTATTATTGCAAAGCAAATAGAAAGCAGACATTTTTTAATTTCTATAAGAATCATCACCTATAATTGTTAATTAGCTTAAAATTGTACTATATAATTATACATTATTTTCCAGATATGATAAGGAGACGTGTGCTACGTACCAGATCAATAAAAATGCTCGTACTTGATGAAGCTGATGAAATGTTGAACAAAGGATTCAAGGAACAGATATATGATGTTTATCGTTATCTACCACCAGCAACTCAGGTTGTGCTTATCTCTGCCACCTTGCCTCATGAGATACTGGAGATGACATCTAAATTTATGACTGACCCCATCAGAATTTTGGTCAAGCGGTTTGTAACAATACCTGTAACAATTTTACATTAAATTTGTTTTTACCTATAATTATCTTTGATATTGTATTTTTCCAGTGATGAATTGACATTAGAAGGCATCAAACAATTCTTTGTGGCAGTAGAGAGAGAGGAATGGAAGTTTGATACCCTATGTGACTTGTATGACACCCTTACAATCACTCAAGCGGTCATATTCTGTAACACCAAAAGGAAGGTTGACTGGCTCACCCAGAAAATGCAGGAAGCTAACTTTACAGTAAGCTCTATGCATGGAGACATGCCTCAAAAGGAAAGGGATAACATTATGAAAGAGTTTCGTTCTGGACAAAGGTAATCAAATTCTTTTACAATTTCTAAGATTTGCAAAACAATTGCAATAAATCTCATGATCTTTTTTGACATGGAATGTGATGGGTGGGATTTGTAAACAAATATTGTTTTTCAGCCGCGTTCTTATCACAACCGATGTATGGGCCAGAGGTATTGATGTGCAACAGGTTTCATTAGTTATTAACTATGACCTGCCAAACAATCGTGAGCTGTATATACACAGAATCGGTCGTTCAGGTCGGTTTGGACGTAAAGGTGTCGCCATCAATTTTGTTAAATCTGATGATATCAGGATTCTAAGAGATATTGAACAGTACTACTCGACGCAAATTGACGAAATGCCAATGAATGTGGCAGATTTAATATAAACTGTATCTTGGAATATTAATATGATGCTGACACACTTTTGGTGGAAGACAATTCTTACTTCATAATACCTTAGAAAATACTTTTATTTCTAACATTAATATACACATTGAAAATTATTATTTTTTTTGGTTTTTATTTTTAGTCTTTTCCCTTACTGTTGGATTACAGTATCCTATATTGTAAGGACATTTTACAAATATAAATTTCAGAAATACCCAGATCTGAAACAATTATCAGTGGATGTGAATCAAAACCATAATCCCCGAGTGCTGAATCCATCACCTTAGCAACAGCACCATGGAGACATCAAATTATATTTTCTTTAGTTTATTTCACCAGGTACTTCATACTATAAATATGTCTGTAATTAACACAATTTTTTAATATTTTGATTCATACTGTAGTTAATCTATACAAATATAAGTTTTTGTCCATAGTTGACATAACATTACGTTGAATTAGTGTTAGACAATAACAATCTTTTCAGCTGAACATAAATATTTAGTTTCTGTTCTAGTTTTTCCTCAAACAACATACTTTTTACTTGATTGATGAGAATGTTTATTAAGCCCTAAAGTATCAAGTCTTTCCAGTAAGATGCTGATAATTGGTTAGCTATACTGTGTGTTGTAGCTAGCTAGCAAGAGGGCTGACAGTTCAACTGATATAAAGTGTTATCACTGGTTATCCATCACCCATGAACATTTGCAACACCTGTATGGTTGCAGTTGTGTTTCTTCTATAAAATGGGTCCCAGTTACCACACTCACCACATGAAACACAAATGTGTTACACAACACACAGTATAAGAGAAGCTGTTAGTTGCACATTAGTCTTCATGAAGGAAACAAGATTATGTATTTAACAATTGTAATTGGTTTAAAAGTCTAGGCAATACATAAAATTAATAAAGTAAAGATAGGGATAAACACATAAGTTATATGAACAGAAATTAATATTGATAGTTAACCTTATCAAAAATAATATGGAAAACAAATTGAAAAAAAAAATTATAATACAACTCAAATCTTATTTATATTCAAAGCAAATCTTTGACATACAAAGGATTATATTTATGTTTAAATTTAGTTCATAATTGTAATAATATAATATAAATTACACAATTAAGCTCTTGGAATGTCACTAAATAGTACATGTGTACTATACAAACAGATATATTAAATGAAATCACTTTTTGTTTATATATTTCACTTGAACACCATAGTGTTATAGCCAGTTTTGATTATCAGAACTACTGCATAATCTTTACATTGATTAGACTAATAGATTATGCAATAATTCTGAAAAACAAAGATTACTTAAAGTACTATAGTATAAAAAATTATTTTTTATACAGCTATTGAGTAATAGTTATATTTTTTTTGTTACTTTGAAATCAAAGAATAAGCAATAATTTACGAAATAATGTTATTTTTTATCAACAATTGTCTACTCTACATTAATTAAATGAAAACCATTTCTAACAAAAATAAATAATTTATATCTACAAACTAAGTATACAAATTTTAAACATTCAAAGAATATTGTCAGAATTTATGGGTCAAAAATGCATGAACACACTTTGTAAAATCAAAACATTTAAATTAAACAGATTTGCAAATTGCATTACTAAATGTATTTAATGGAAACAATTTAATTTAAAAATATTATTTTTATAAACATTTGTTTTGGTGAAGATATGGCAATTAGTAATTCCATCTAATTTTATTTTTAAATTCCTCACAGGATTTTGTGTAAAACAAAGGGCACAAAATATAATATTTTTTGTTTCATATTAAATAATTGTATAATTGAAAAATCTAATTTTAATCATTTAGTAAGATTACAAAGCAAATTGCATTTTTAACACACTTTTATAATGGAAAGTCAGTATTCAATTTGCAATACAGACAAACATTTGCATAATGACTGCTGACTTCATGTCAGTAAATAGTCTCCAAGGCCATTTATTGCAACTTTTGATGTAGTAATGCCATGTTACTGATGGGTGGTAATGTACATAATACTACAAATACTTGTGGAGATTTAATTAATGTGCTCTATTGAAAATTTTATATAAATGTGGTCAAAAGCACCATTATTTTTTCATTGCTATTTCCATATTTTTATGTGGAATCAATTGTATTATTAACCTAGTATAATAAAGAAGCAGCTTTTCCCTACAATCAATAAGGAAACTCAATTTTCAATGGTTACAAGTCATCATCATGAGTAGCCTGTATATCCCATCTCCTGTAAATAAATATGGCTACTACCCCAAGGAGAAGCGCTACAAGAATTTCTGTGAGCTGATCCAAAAATGTGGTAGTATTATCGGTTGATTCTAAAACCTGGGGCTCTACATCTTGAGATGGTTCCTCTACAGGTGGTTTAGCATTCTGCTCCTCTTCTCCCTTAAATGCTATCTGGTTTAATACCGACTGTTCCTCTTCCGTTATTGGTTCCGCCGCAGTTGAAGATAGTAAATTTATTATATCGCCACATTGTGGACAAGCCCAAGTTCTTGACTTTTTTGCCAAAATTTTACGTTCAGCTGAACTGTACTCTAGAGATCCGATCGTCCCTTCTCCTGGTGTTGGCATAAAAGCTATCAATGCTAACAAAGCAGTTCTGATCGACCAAGATGGCTGCCATGTTTCTGGATGATGACCAGAAATGGAGAGACAGATTTTTTTATTTACTTCGAACCTGCCATTTGGAGTTAAAAGTATTATATGAGGCGGATGCATTGGATACTCTTTGGGTAATAATATTCTACCATGGTAGATTCCATCTTCAAAATCAGTGCCTTTAGGTCCTTGTACAGTAAAATGCCATTCGAATAAATTATCTTCCAAAGGTCGAGCACAATATTCCTCGGTTGCTTGAGCTAATTCAATTGCCTCGCGCATGAGACGTTTCACTCCGGGACATTTCGTATTATATTTATCGGCCATATCTGCCATATTACGGTGTACTGAATATTACTGATATGTTTTACAGTTACACAATTACACCAACTAAAAATAAAGAAATACGTATTTATATGCACACGGAGACTTTCAAAGCACTGTTATCAAAAAGAAATAATAGCATAGCACTGTACCAATCACAAACACACAGATGTACAATTCAATAATAATAAAGTTTTGACAACAGCTGTGATGACGCCGATGGTACAGCTGTGCAATGTGCACAGTGCACACAGATTCTATAGATGCTAACGCATAATGTGCATATAAAATTAAAGTACTCTGTGCACTGTGGTAAACTGATAGTAGTGTGGCTGTGTTTCAAAATTGGCAATGGGCGATTTGAGTTATGCAGGTAACCCAATTTGCCCTTGAACTCGTTGCTTTTCTTGAGATATTGGTACGTAGTTTATCTTGTATCTTGTATTAACTGATGTTTTTGCTTTCAGTCCCGAGACTATTAAAGCTTCATCAGACGCAGAACAGGTGAGCTAGCCAGAACCCACGGGTTTGAGCCCTCCGCTGGGGATAGGGCCACGCATGTGCTCATGTGTGCATTTAATTATGGTGTGTCATCTAAGGGCCATCGAGGTCGCGGTTCGAACCGAAACCCCGATGGCCGTCGACTGTGTTTTCAGCTAATCGGTGGCTGGGGGCGGTGAGAACCGCCCTGGAACGCGGGTGTACCTTGTGTACGCGTTGTGTTGGTCTCACCGTGCTCGGAGGCGAGGGCGAACTATTGTGTTTGTTGTTACACTAGCTGTGGGTGTAGTGTTATCGTGCAGGACCCCCGACGGTGGGTCCAACGTATCTAAGGCCCCTTCCTCGACCGGGTCGATGAGGACGTTTCGCGGGCGACCCTTGTTGAAGTTCGCGTTTGTGTCTGGTTGGTAATTTGCTGCGCTTACCACCAGAGGGTTGGGATGATGTTCGGCTCTATCGAAGACCGTTTGGTCAGGACTTTAAAATATTCGCGAATCGTCGGGAGTCTGCAATCGCTGTGCAGGCCGACATTGCGTTGATACTATTTGCAACTTGTACAAGCGAGTAGGGTACGTGTGGGCGAAGTTCATGCATGCGTAGGACATAATAGGTCGTACGCAAGTGTTATATAATAATATTATTATATTTTGGCAATAAAAAAAATAAAAATAAAGAAAGCAATGATCTGGTATAGAAGTGTGTAAATGATCGCGATACGAACCACGGCCGTCTGTTTCGGGGCCGCCCGATTACCGACCGAGCTATTATAACATTTTTGCGGCGAAATTTACTGTCATATTCGAATGATATTTTTCATTTCCTAAAAACAGGGATAAAAGGACATTTTCTAAAAATGAAACCTAGCTAGATCGATTTTTTGCCCCCGAATCTACGCACATACTAAATTTTATGAAAATCGCATGAGCCGTTTCCGAGATTCCGATTACATATATATATATATATATATATACAAGAATTGCTCGTTTAAAGGATAAGATACATCTTATAAAGACGCACGACGGCATATTTATTTTGGTTTTTTTTTAGCACCGCGTCTTACGACCCGGGCTAACGTGAACTAAAGACAAATCGTCTCAATTGAGACATTTTCACGGCTTCACTACGGACGCTTTAATATCTGTCGTATAAAATATTATTGAGATGCGAGAAAATGCATTTTAAAAGCAATCCGAAGCTGTATGTGTGGAATAGTTTGGTTTGATGGCATAAACATTAAGCTGAGCTAATTATGCTTAGCCACCATTACCCATGGTGAACAATGGCACTGACCCCGAAAATTGTTAAATTTTGTTAGATTTTGGATTAGGTTAGGTTAGTTAGATTTCATTATATTACATTTGGTAATATATTAAACTTTTTACTGCTAATAGACTTTTTGAATTAAAAAAAAATATTTGTTAGTTGCTTTCGTGTGTACTTCGATGTCCGAACCTGGTAACCAGTAAACGTAGTGATTACATTCTCTTTGAACGTAGTGATTACATTCTCTTTGCTGGTAACAGGTAAAAGAAATTATTATCCTGTATGTCCGTACTTTTCTTTCTAACAAAGGTATATGACTTATGCAAGACAAAGAAAGAGCTTGTGACAGTGAAAGTTTTGTGACAAACAGAATACAGAAAAGCTTGAGACAGTGCGTTAAGGAATACTTTCTGCGGAACAGGGACTGTTCATTAAGTTTGTTCATAACAGTTACAGGTAAAAGAAATATATCACATTTTGATTTTGGACATGCTATACTAATTACCTAAAAGACTTGAATTTAAATGTAAGGTTTTTAATGGCTTAAAATTCCGGGATACCGGGCCATAAAATCCAAAAAAAAAAGTTTTTAAAACTATGCTCAAAGTCAAAGCTGTCAAAGTCACTAAACAATTAATAACCTGGCGTCTTAATTTTAAGGATTTACGTTATATTTGATTAAACGTATAAAATATAGTTGTTGTGTAGCTTACTTCTCCTTTGGACTTATGTAATTGTAGCTTTCAGTGAAGTAATTCAATTTATAAATTAAATATGGATGTGCCGCCTGGTACGGGATCGTCCAACAATGGGTCGATGGGGCCACCCGGTATGCCGAATTTTCCACCAATGCCGCCTCCACCCGGATCCATGGGCCCTGGCAACATGCCTCCACCGCCCATGGGTCCTCCAGGATCGATGCCACCAGTGAGTTCATCTGGTGGGCCTCCAAACCTGCCACCGGGAATGGGTCCACCCCCTGGTATGATGGGAATGGGACCGCCTGGTATGGGCCCCCCGCCACCTGGCATGGGTCCTCCTCCACCAGGTATGGGTCCTCCTGGTATGGGTATGAGCCCTATGGGTCCACCTGGTATGGGACCCCCTAGAATGCCACCTGGTATGATGTGTGGAGGACCTAATATGAAAGGTAGTTACAACAACCAAGGCATGGATATGGTACCACCTGGAATGGGGCCTCCACCTAATATGGGACCTCCTGGTATGGGACACGGACCTTGGGAAGGTCAGGTACCTCCGGGGTGGGGCCGACAGAGTCATAGTGATGGTCCACCTGGGTGGGACGACCATCATGATGAAGGTGATGAAGATGAAGTTGAAGAAGATGATGACAGTTCATCTCAGGGCCCTTCTTCATTGCCATCATTATTAACTATGAAGATAGATACCCCTGAAGAATTTCGAAACAAGCCTGCAACAGTTGGTGGAGTGGTCTTGCCAAAAGCATTAGAAGAAGCACTTGCTTATAAAGATCAAAGGCAAGCTGCATTAGGAGATGAGGAGGAAAAGGAGACTGGTGAGTGTAAAATTTTTAAAATAAAAATGATTTAGGTACTTAATAACTTAAACAATCAATAATTAAAAATATATCTTCCCTTCTTGCTTGGGTAAATATATAAATCTGATCTTTATAGAAAAAAGTTTGTGCCCTTTATACAGGTTGAAGTTAAAACAAGTTTTATGTTTTGTTAGAGGTTTTTAAAAAGAAATTTTTTCACCTTCACCACCTTAATGATCCAACCAAAAATATAATTATTTGTACTAAAACTGCAACAAGAAATTGTATGCTATGTATTGGTTTGCAAAATTAGTCAAAAGTCTTTATTTTACCCATTCCTTCTGTATTAGTAACTTCTATTCTTGGCATCTTGTCATTGTTTGGTCTCTCTCTTTCTCTGATAATCATCATACAGGGTTGAATTTGAAACAAGTTGACATTTTGTGAGAGCATTTTGAAATGATATTGTAAACCTACCATCATCTAAATGATCAGACCAACAATATAATTAGTAGTGCTAGAAAAACAACAACAAATTGCGAATCCTTATAAAGTTTCTAAAATTAGCTAATACTCTTTACTTCAGTCATTTTACTTGTTACTCTCTGATTGGATGTACTATAATAAGTCTTTGCATCTCATTTAATATGGCCTCCAATTTTTATAATTCACAAACAGAATCAGTGCACATGCCGGAAGCTCCTCCAGCTCCAGTTATCAGTACAGAGTATGATGCAGAAGAAGATGAAGGGGATTCAGATGATGACAATATTCCTGAAGCTCCATTACCCCCAATTATTTCCAAACAAGAGGTAATGTTTTAAAATTATTAAAACTTTCCTGAGACATCATTAATGATATAATAAGAGAACTATAGTTCCTTAAATGGTTTATTAAATCTATATAAATAAAAATAAATGTCACTGGGGCTATGGATAATTTATGACAATTATATCCTTAATAGAAATTGGATTCCCCATAAATAGTTTTTAATGTTATATGAATGGCATTAAAATTTCTACTCTAACTACTGGCTATTTTCCAATTTTAGGGTCAAGCTAATAAAGCAAATAAGAATAAACGCAGAAAGAAAAAGAAGAAAGCTGCCAAGCAAAAGAGAAATGAAAATAAGAAGATTGATGAACCAAAAGGTGATAAAGAAGAAGATTCCAATAAATCTAGTAATAAAGAAAATGAAAAAGAAGTTGAAGTTGAGTAAGTATTACAAATTCAGCTTAAAAACATGAGAAGGAATTGTAAGATAAAAAGAATAAAAAAGGTCAATAAGTTATACTTCATATACAGGTTTATTGTATATATACAGGGTAGGTTTTTAGACATAGTACATACTTTGCCATAATCTTAAATCAGCATTCTATAATTTAAAAAATATTAACATTTTATTTTGACAAAAAATAATCAGAAAAATATCAATTCAAACATTGTTTGTTTAGAATCATCAAGCTATTCTTGATGGAGCCATTAAAAATTGTTTATCCCGTTAAGAGTGGTCACCATATTATATAAGCGGTTTAGTAGCGGTTAGTTTAATTATGCATTCAGCTAAAAGTTTTAGTGCTCATGAATAGGTTATTGTATTGAGACAGTAAGGCAGGAGTATCTTAAGGTGTCCATAATGTTAGAAAAAAAACTCAGATAACCAGATACAGATTTAGAATAAAATTCTGCATATGCTCTGTTAATGTCTGTCGTCTCAAAAAACACCCTGTATATTATAATTTGCAACTGTTTATAATATATTATAAAAGTGAAAATTAAGCATATTATGAAAACGTTTTAAAAATATAAAAAAAAAAATTTCAGGTATATACAAGAAAATATTCAATTTCATGAATTGGAACCAATGTATCGCCAATTTCATCGCATTTTGGAAGCATTTAAAATTACGGAAAAGAAAGAAGATTCTATTAAGGAAGAATTTGGCAAAGATACACCAAAGACTAGCTCTAAACCTTTAGAAAAAGTGCAGGATCAATTTGCCGCTGATGAGGAAGCTGTTGAGGTAGGGGTTTGAACACCTTTGCAAGTTATTCTTTAATTAACGAACAGAAAATATTTACTATATTAAATCTAAATAAATTACATGTTAATTAAATAAAAAACGGCCAGAGATACAGAGTGACAGATGGACAGACAGACAGACAGCAGAGTCTTAGTAATACAGTCCCGTTTTACCTTTTGGGTATGGAACCCTAAAATCCTAGTCCACATGGCATGGTGCCAAAAACGCAAGCTGTCTTTCCTCGCTAAATAGTTATATTTAACCATTGAGTGAGAAAAGAACCAGTACTCTTGTCACCGGCCACGGCAATAAGTCTAGAACGTAACATTTTAAAAATTTCAATATGCGTAAATCTCACGAACCTAAAGTTGCAAGCAGTAAATGGCAAGAATAAGTTAACTGAAAAAAAGAGTTAAATAAGTTAACTGAAATATTTGCTCCACTACTTCACCTGCCTATAATGTCACCCTGGCCCCGAACAAAGTACCCTTTAGATGAGAGGCAGCTAAGTTCTAAACAAGGAGCATTCCAAATGAGGGCTTTACCTCTCTCCCAAGTGATCAAAGTTAAGCCATCAGGTTTCCAGTCAGATAATAGCTACCGATCGAGCCGAGGTCCCGCCCTCTCGGGCAGCCTCGAATTGGAATGACGCGTGTTGAGTGACAGCTCAAGCCGAGGTCCCCTCTCGGGGACCCTTGAGCCTAGTCACTCCATGGAGCGCCCGCCAAAGCGCCCTAAGAGCTTGGCGGGCTCCCAAACCGGCGATAATAATAGCGTGACGGCCCGAGCCGAGGCTTCCCCGGGTGGCCGAGGTTCAGGCTAGGCGCCCCGTGCCAGGCCGCGAATGCCGAAGACGTGGGCTCGATTCCCACAGCGGCAGCATTTTTTCGTACTTTTTCTACAAATTTTAATGTTGATTCTTAAGTGCAGAGATAAGCACTATAAAAATTTAAAATTCCTAGTGCTTTAATAAGTTAACGTTATATCTTTCCAGAAACATGCGGCAGACGAAAAAGAACGTCTATCAAAGCGAAAATTAAAGAAATTGTCCCGATTGTCTGTGGCCGAGCTCAAACAGTTGGTGTCGCGACCGGATGTGGTTGAGATGTACGACGTGACGGCTCGCGACCCCAAACTCCTCGTGCAGTTGAAGGCGCACAGGAATACAGTGCAGGTCCCAAGGCATTGGTGCTATAAGCGCAAGGTAATGACTTAATATATTATTTTTAACACATTGCTCCTCTTATCGCCTCTTCATCATATATTAGATTTTTTATGCCAATAAAAAATACATTAGGATAAAGTGAAATAATCATAAGAAGAGTTTAATCATATATAAGTAGTAATCATAATCATAAGAAGTAAAAAGGAAAATTAGAAAAGTGTGATTAAAAATTTATGAGATGGGTTAGTAATTTTTTTATTTTTGAATGATGGGCTGATTTTATTTAAAAATTTAAAATATTTCCATGAAAGTACATAATTTAAGTGGTCCTATTCCTAAAATCTCAGTTTTTAAATGATTTTTTTACTAAATTGATTTGGTTTGTATTGAGTTGCCAAAACCGAAATGTAAAACATATGACTGCTTCCAGTATTTACAAGGAAAGAGGGGTATAGAGAAGCCGCCATTCGACCTGCCTGACTTCATTAAGAAAACGGGCATCATGGAGATGCGCGCTTCGCTGCAGGATAAGGAGGAGACAAAGACACTGAAGGCCAAGATGCGTGAGCGGACTCGCCCCAAGCTTGGGAAGATTGACATTGACTATCAGAAGTTGCATGACGCCTTCTTTAAGTAAGAATTTTTCTATCAGTGACCTTTGAGAACAAAAACTTGGTATACTATCTAATTTTATTAGATTTTAAATAGGTCAATCATTTCCAAACATGATCCAGTTTGCATTCATTAAAGTAATTTATTGATGTTGGCAGTGAGTAAAATATCGAAGTATAGATATTTATTAAAATATCAATATCGACGGCGATAAATCGAGGAGAAAGTATCAATATATTGGTCAAATTTTCAGTTTATAACAAAAAACATTGCAAAATTAGGAATTATCAATTAGTAAGCAATCTTTTACTATTTTTACTACCAGTATTTGCCAATGAAGTATTTAATACGACTTCCGAGCAAATATTCATGGATACGAATTTTAAAAAAATATCGTTTTTGATACGTTTTTAGATATTATTTTTAAAATATCAATGCTTTTTCAACATCTATACTGAATGAAATTGTCATAAAATAGTTTTAGTTGTGGAGTGCCATAATTCCCACCTTTAAAATGCATTTTCTGGTATTAATTCTATTAGGATAGCTTTAAAAGCTGCTGCTTGGAGATGAATTTATGTATTTCAGCCGTTAAGTTGGTTATTACTGTCTATATTATTTATGCATATTGTGATCAAGAAAAGAGTTTTTTTGTAAACTCAAATATATTGATCACATTGCTTCCAGTTGAACACTGGTCATTTTCCTCCCATAAGGTATATGAAGTAGGGTAGAAAAACGACAACATCACAATTTGTTACAAAATTGGTAAGTTACATTGTTACCATTATTAACATTCATTATTTAAATGCATTAATATTGAAATTAAGATCTAAGGGATATGGTGATTAGTTAATTTTTATGAAGGAATAACATATGCTTCAATGGTTTCGTTTTTGAAAGCAGTAAAAATAAAATTGTGGTATATGTATCTAAATTAATATGTTTATCATCATGTTAGTTAATTTTCGCCCTAACAAATGAAGAAAAAATATGAGAGTTCACACATACAATTTTTAATTCAAATGATATTTGAATGGACATTTTTATTTTACTATCGGGAACACGAAGCCCATGAATTAATGTGGATCATAAAATATTGTTACTTGATCTATGACAGGTGGCAGACGAAGCCGCGAATGACCATCCACGGTGATTTGTACTATGAGGGCAAGGAGTTTGAGACCAGGCTCCGTGAGAAGAAACCTGGTGATTTGTCGGAAGAGCTGCGCACCGCTCTGGGAATGCCGGTCGGGCCAGGCTCACATAAGGTATAGACTATATGACCGTTAGCATATAAATATTGTACACACTTTGTGATTGCAGAATAGTGAAAGAATGGAGATAGTATAGTATATATTATATATATATAGTTTATTTACCTTATCAATGAAATGGTCTTTCCCATCGTCTTATACAGCGTGTCGTTACCATCGCGACAATAAATGTACAAACATAACGCTACTTGCCAATAATCATAAAAAAATATTAACGTTAAACAAAATCCATAATTAAAAAAAAAATATTTTTCAAACAAACTAATTATGTAAAAAAGAAACAAAATTTGTAACATCCTATACAACTCGCGCCACAGCGTCGTATTACAAGCCTCTCCTTCTAACAGTATGTTTTGTCTCTTTTAAATTCATTCTACCCATTCATATGCTTTGTGACCTTTACAAATTAACTTTACGTTACAGTTTTATATGTAAGGGTGTTCTAAAATTGTTTTGTTTTGGAAAATTTAATAACTCTGTAAATATTGATGGTTGAAGAATGTAAATGTTTAATACAATTTTAAAAAGTTATCCTCTATATGTGTGTTCATTTATTGTCGCGATGGTAAAGACACGCTGTATAAAAGGAACCGTACAGGCTGTTCACCTGATGTTATGTTTAGTGACTTCTTCTGCTCCTTGTCATCTATAACACCTGTTGGGTTGTAGTTACCACAGTAAGAGATTGGGACCCAGCTAGCTGCTTTACTCGCCAGATGGAACGCTAATATATGATATTACAGCTTCACGCTGCTCTACAGTGAGGTTGTGGCATTTTGTATGGAAGGGGTTGAAGTAAGTCTGGACGACCACTGCAACCTAGAAGATCTATTATAGTTGATTGATACAAAGAACGGTGTTTCTGCCCATTCTTACCACATGACCAGACTATAATGTTTAAATTTACGTTGTATTATAATAGCTATATTACTACACCTATAAATCCCGAAATTCCTTTTTTTATATAATCATGCTCCTTATATACGTTTTACTTATAAAATGTCCCTAAGTTCGATGTGCCGCCTGGCAACGCCCTCCTTAAATTTACGTTAATAAGCATCAATTTTCGGAGCCCAATTTTCAAAAGGTTGTCAACGCATCCGGAACCCTCGGATGTAGTAGATGTCCACGGGCGGCGGTATTCACTTAACATCAGGTGACCCGTCTGCTTGTTGGCAATTTTTCGCATAAAAAAAATCAAACTCCGGAGTGGAACTTGGAACGGGTACTAAATGAGAGGCTGCACTGTTCGCAGGTGCCGCCGCCGTGGCTGATCGCGCAGCAGCGCTACGGCCCGCCGCCCTCGTACCCCAACCTGAAGATCCCGGGGCTGAACGCGCCGATCCCCGAGGGCTGCGCCTTCGGCTACCACGCCGGCGGCTGGGGCAAGCCGCCCGTGGACGAGGCCGGCAAGCCGCTCTACGGGGACGTCTTCGGCCACCAGAGCAGCGGACAGGACGTATGTTCCCGCTTACAGCTGTTTACGTTTTAACCGTGCTAGGGGCTAGCGACAGTCTTCGCTGTTGCATGGATGGGCAGGTCCGTATACGGAAGTACCAAGACCTCACCGTAGGCCGGTGGGAAGTGGAAATCTAATACTTCCGCGTTTCGTCTAGTGAGTGAGATAACTGGAACCCACTTTATAAAAAGGTAGCAACATATCAGTAACCCTACGGGTGTTGCAAATGTACACGGGTGGTGGTTATCGCTTAATATCAGGTAAACTGTTGGGTTGCTTGCCAACCTTATACATTAAAAAAAAAAAAAACAAGACTTGGCAACCACCTAATTGCTTTCAATTGCTTTGGATACTCTTGTTTTTTCTTTGTTTATTCATAATTAATAATAATATCCTAATTAATATTAATATCGTAAGCAATTAATTGTGAAAAATTCTAAGTATAAATACTCATTAAAACATGTAGAAAAAGTTCGAAAAGATTGTCGCCGCTGTGGGAATCGAACCCACGTCTTCGGCATTCGCGGCCACAGCGATGAAAATCTTAACTTCTAAAATCTTTTAATGTTCAATCTTAAGTGCAGAGATTAGCACTATAAAAAACTTTAAAATTTATATAAGTACTCAATTTACAAACCGCCATGCGGAAAAGGTATAAACATTATAGGAAATCCTTAAATATATATAACTTTAGATGACATTTACTATAATCTGAGTTCTTATTTTCTTATTTTTTTTTAACATGGCCCTCACTTTACGATAACATTATCCTGTGTTGTAAGGATGTTTTACAAACATAGATTTCACATGGACAAACATCCAGATGCGAAACATCTATCTGTGGGTTGCACAAATAGTTGGCGCCGAAGTCAATACCTTGGCAACTGCGCCACGGAGTCATTAAGTTACATATTATTCTACATTATAAATGAAGCATTAATCACTAATACTTACACTTACCTTTGATTTTACAACTATATGCTATAAAATCGTTTTATTTGGCAGGATAATGAAGACCATGATATTGATCGCACAATGTGGGGTGAACTCGAGTCAGAGTCCGAAGAAGAATCTGAAGAAGGTACTGTAGTTGTAAACTTTTAATATACCATTTCTTGTTCTATTTGAGTAATTTTTTGCTAAAAAAACATACTATTAACTGGTATTACAGGGCTGACTTCACTTTGATATTGCTTTTCGGTGGATGTAAACTAGACATTATTGTAAGAAGTAAATGCAATAAATAGTTAGTTAAAATAGTCAATAAAAGACTGATATTGTTCTTTGTTTACATTGAGATTAATTAAATCTCTTGTTTTGTGTTAAATGTACCATCATATAGGTAGATCATTAAATTTAGAACACAAGGTATAGTATAGTGGAAACAAATAGTAAAGTGTACAGTTTAATTTGTAAATGACAAATATGCAGAGGGTAATCCGATAAGCGATTCGAAATGCAATGTGGGATTGTCATATTGATCAAAGTATGCAGATGGCACCTTATGTGCAAATGTTGATTTTTGTGGTAGGGTTTGGGGAGTAAGTTCCAACGACCTGTATGACCTAGAAGATCTATTATGATGATGTTTGGCATTGTTAACATTTTGTACTTTCCCTTGGATGGCCTATTATTACATGTATGTCTCATATATGATGAAGTACTCAAATGCATTTTATAAACTGAAAAGCATAAAACCCATAAAAACAGGTCATTGCGGTACAAACATGTAACATTAATATCTCTAGCTGGCCATTGCAGTCTATAAGTAAAAGAAAAATATTAAATATAAGCTAAATACAATCTTGAAAATACTTAATTATCAATCCACGCACCATTGTATGTCTTAATGGTCCATGTCTGTCACAAAAGAAAGCTCCAGGCCATTCTCTTGTGGAGTGAGAGGAAATTAATGTTATTTTTGTCATTAGTATTGGCATTCTTCATTAATGAATTCTAACCCATTCATTATGGGGGTTCCAGAGGAGTCCGGTTCTGAGGAGGAGGTGGGTGGTGCGGGGGCGCCGCCGGTCGGCGGGGCCGTGACCCCGGCCGAGGGCCTGGCCACGCCGCTCGGCATCAGCTCCGTGCCGCCTGGGGTCGAGACGCCCGACACCATTGAGCTGCGTAAGAAGAAGCTGGACAGCGACATCGAGGGGTGAGCAATATCTTCTTTATATATATTTCTTCTATACGCGTGTATGTGACTGAACTCCTAAACGGCTGGACCGATTTTAATGAAATTTTGTGTGTGCCTTCAGGTTGATTCGAGAATGGTTTACATTCACAATTTGGTCCACTTTTTTATTTTATTTATAAGTCATTTTCGGATTTCAGTCGTGTTAAATACCTCCATCCATTGTATGTATGTATGAGTATGTATGTATGTATGTATGTATGTATGTATGTATGTATGTATGTATGTATGTATTGTATGTATGTATGTATGAGTATTTGATAAGCCTTAAGGCCTTGTTAATAAGACTCCGCTTCAATCTAAACATCGAATATGTTAACACCATAGGACAAATATCACCAAGTGTGATGGAAATTTTGGCTTTCCTGCAGGTTTTGTATCACAAATAGCAAAAAAAAATCCTTTTGTGATACAAAAAGTAAGACAAACAATACTTTATTCAGAATAACATAAATGATTCATAATGTATTGTTTTTTCTTAGTAATGTTGGCTTTAAACACTAAATTCGCTTTCATTCACAGAGGCGACACTCCAGCTTTATACCAAGTGCTGCCCGAGAGGCGCGTTGGCCTCACCTCAGGGATGATGGCCTCCACTCACGTGTACGACATCAACGCCGCCAACCCGGGTAAGTTTGGGAAACGACAAATGCTGTAATTAACCTTTTTGTTTGTTTTCAATGGTTTCGTGATACAATTAAGGTTACATTTATCTAACAAAATAAAAATCACTCTATATTTATGTCAAGCGCTCTAATGTCACACGGTATCAACATATTTCACATAATTCATTTGTGCATACTTAATGACAAGTTGATTATGCGAACACTCAGAATGAACAGTCACGCGGTAACAAAGTATTTAAAATAAATGATTTGTTTATAATAAATGATGAATCAATCATGCAAACAATCTCAAAACGAACAGTGAATGAATGAATGAATGAATGAATACTTAATTGTCCACCACACACAAAAGGATACACAAAATTAACAATAGACAAACAAATTAATAAAATGGACAATTTGGCGGCCTTATCGCTTCATAGCGATCTCTTCCAGGCAACCAATGGCGTAAAGGAACGTTTACTACGTAAGTGGTGCAATATTAACATACATAGTTATATACATACATACACAACTGTCGCATGGCACCAAAGTATTGGACGTGATTGATTAGTGCATAGCAAACGTCACAGGCAAGCGGGCCGTGGTCGCGGGCGGGGCGGGGGCGGGGGCGGGCGCGGGGGCGGCGGCGGGCGCGGCGGACGGCGGCGTGGAGGTGGCGCTCGACCCCTCCGAGCTGGAGCTGGAGCCGGAGGCGGTGGCGGCGCGCTACGAGCGCCACCTGCGCGAGCAGCGCCCCCGCCACAAGGAGGACCTCTCCGACATGCTGGCCGACCACGTGGCGCGCCAGAAGGTGAGCGCCTCCACCTTGGCCATGATGTTTGTGTGACATGCGCAGGCCGTTGGGGCAACTTTGCACCGTGGGGACCACGTGGCGCGCCAGAAGGGGGACCCTTCGGACCTTGGTTATAATTTGCATGACATGCGCAGGCTATTGGTGCGCCAGAAGATGACCCCTTCCACCGTGATCATCATTTTTAAAAAAAACATTGCCTCTTTAGGATAACATTAGCCTGTGTTTTATGTTTTTCACAAACATAAATGTCACGTGGACAAACACCCAGATGCTGAGCGGTTATCTGTGGGTCACACAAAAAGTTGTCCCCTGTCTGAATCGAAACCACGACCTGCACGGCGGTGTACCAACTGCGCCATTAAAGTCGTAAAATAAGGAAGGAAGGTCGAAAAGATGATAATGTGGAAAGACGTTGACAAGTGATCGGTTCAAAAGTACATCTTTTATCATAGTTTGCTTTCAAGGGAGACTTTTTTAAGGAACACTTTTATTATGCCAAAGCGGTTTAACAGTGGAAAAAAGGTGATCTACGATTTATATGATTGCCTAGTGCTTTGGACTAAGAACCTTGCTGTCCTTAATGTTGCAGATTCAAATTCTGTGTCTGCATCAGATTTTTCAGTTTTTCGGATTTTTTACATGCCAAAATCACTAGTGCGTCGGCAAACCCCACCACAACCACCACGACTCGTAGTGTCGGTGGAATGTGAATCAAGTCTATCCGTTTATCCCTTCAGGGTAAAAGAATCAACTTTTTCATTTAAAAATAAAACATGTCATATAATTTCTTATAACCAATAAGTAACATAGATATAGCAAACAAAATGTTTGCTACATCATTATTTAATACATATATTATTATTACAAAGTATATGTTATGTATAAACATGCATATATTTAAATAGCAATAAATATTTTTGGGAAGAGAAAAAAATGTGCATATAATATGTGAAATTAAAATACAAGGAACAGGATATTTTTAATCCAAAAATATCATCAATTTATTATTTCAGAACAAGAGAAAACGTCAACAGAATACAGACGCAAAACAGGCGAAGAAGTACAAGGAGTTCAAATTCTAAGCATAAGTACATTAGTAGTATATAGTTTAAGTGTAATCAAATTATTGGTTTAAAATAATAAAGTTTATGTATTACCTTAGGGGGCGTCCATAAATTACGTGAGGTGTTTTTTTTTTTTTAATTTTCTGTACCCCCCTCGCCCCTCGTGAGATGTCGTGAGATTTAATTCAACCCCCTTCCCCATCCCCCAATCTCACGTGAGATTTTCAAAATGTGGGTTTCTTACGTAAACGCGTTGGATTGTTGTTGTAAAAAGAAAAAAAAATGCTTCGTGCTTTTATTTACGACTAGTTAAGACTAGTAATCAATATTGCTGAGAGTTTAATTATAAGTGTAATAAAAATTTAACAATAGAATACTTAAATCGTAACTACTGTGATTAAAAAAAGAATATCTACTCTAATTCAATCCATGGAGAATCATGCACGGTCTCAAGAGAGACTATTGGAACCAACATGTCCATATGATTTTCAGTAAAATCATCTGCTCCTTCAACTTCGTTCTGATCTAGCCACTCTAAGCCATTGGCACTTGCACACAGTAATCATCATTGGCTCGTCTTGTGACAATCCGTGAGGGTCGCACTTTACGGAACATACGCGCTTGCTTAGCTGGTGCAATGTGGGCTGATCGCCTGTGCTCTGCAGCCCTTGTGCTAGATGCAAAGTAAATACCGCAGCATCTTTTCTCTAAATCATCACGTACACTTGGGCAATAGAGATCATAAGGCGTGCTGATGAAGGCATTCAGCGCATATGGACCAAAATAGTATAATTTTTTTTTTTGTTTCAATCAGAAAAAAAAAATGCGTGATATTTGCCGAGACCCCCTCTCCAACGTAAGATTAGATGAGATTTGACTAGACCCCCTCCCCCCCTTAAACACCTCACGTAATTTTTGGACGCCCCCTTATTCTGACAAGTAAATAAATAAAAAAAAAGGAAAACATAATATAAAGGCATTTTTATTTTTATAAGTAAAGAGCACTTTATTGTTAAATAAATAACATAGAACAAACAAGCATAAATCCATGTATATATTAAAATATTATTTAGGGGCTGTCAAATAGCTTGCAAGATTAAATTCCCAGGATTAAAATTAACGCAGAACGAAAACGGCCCTCAGCGTTCCGTAGGGCTGCGCATATGCTATTAACCAAGTTCTTTTGGGGTTAATCTTAAAATTGCTATCTATCTTTGTTTACTCAAAGTCAGATGATTATAAGTTAGGTATCGAGAACGACCTTAAACCCTGCATTAATGAATATAACAGTGCTAGATTTATTTCGAGTTTACGTCAAGAAGAAATATTTATACGTTTGCGAAAAGTCAGTTAAATATAATGGGATCCGAAACGTCGTGTCCATAATAAATCCTTGCAAAAGGCACTAATATGAGCGTACAAGGCACAGCATCATAACAGCGCTGTTTTAGCTATGGTTTGCAACATATTAACTACCAGTATTGCATTTTAGCAAAATAAATCAAACCAATATCTATTTCATTTGATCTCATCTCGAAGAAAACAACTAAACACTGATTTAAACTCCGCTCCGTTCACGGTGCACCATCTCTCATTTAGCATCTTTATCTGCTAATATCTAACATTAAACTAGAGATGATTAAATACTTGGGATCACTACACTCTTTTCGGGGATATTGTCGATTCTCCATTTGCGAAACCAATCGAGTTGATCAGCGTCGCTTTGAAGGTACAATTAATTCAACCAAAATATTTGTCTGAATAGGAGATCGGTCTTTAGAGATGTCGCTCGGGTGGAGCGAAAAATCAAGAGAGAAGAGAAAGGCTTTGCGGCACGCGCATAGTGAGGGGAAGACTATAGTTGAACATTGCCGTATAACGCGGAATCAAAAAAAGCGATACGACAGATTCGCTCTTGATTCAGGAGCCTGTCTACCGTAAAGTAAGCGTTTGTGTAAGATCTTGTTGAATGCCTTTGCGTGGGCTATGTTACAATGCGTTATTAATCTCGCATTATTAGGTATTATTCACTACGGTTCCTAACTTACTTAACAATCTTTAAAATAAGCTGAACTATCAATCCACGCATTGTGTGTCAGCTTTGTGATAAAATAGTTCCCATACGCAGATACAATGATTTTTGTTGATAATTACTTCCTATTACTTAATGAACACTTATGTACGATGATGTTTTTATTTGTAAGTATAAAAAAATATTTTACTAATATAAACTTTCAACGGTGGTAGGGCCATGCAGCAGCCTAGGCTGTTGCACGAATGGGCAGGCCCGTCCGGGTACCACGACCTCACAGAAGACCAGCGTAAAGTTTTATTTCGCGTTTCGTCTGGTCAATTTTCAAAAGGTTGTCAACGTGTCTGTAACCCTCGGGTATGGCAGATGTCCATGGGCGGCGGTATTACTTAATATCAGGTGAACCGTCTGCTCGGTCGACAACTTTTCGCATAAAAAAAAATAAAAACATCACGCTTACATATGAAAACTAATATTAGACTCTATCAAATGATTTGGTAGAAGAGTTTAAATACCTATAATAGTTAGTAGAGTTTAAATACATATGCATGTTTTATTTTTCTGCGGGCAGAACAATAGAACATGTACATATATGTGCGTAGAACATGTACATATATGTGCGTAGAACATGTACATATCTGTACGTAGAACATGTACATATATGTGCGTAGAACATGTACATATATGTGCGTAGAACATGTACATATATGTGCGTAGAACATGTACATATATGTGCGTTAAACATGTACATATATGTGCGTAGACCATGTACATATATGTGCGTAGAACATGTACATATCTGTGCGTAGAACATGTACATATCTGTGCGTAGAACATGTACATATATGTGCGTAAAACATTTACATATATGTGCGTAGAACATGTACATATATGTGCGTAGAACATGTACATATATGTGCGAGAACATGTGCAGGGCAGTACGGAAGCAGGTTTCTGAAACACTGATCAAGAAACTCATGCTGGTCAATTCAGAGAGTTTAACCATCCTTTTGGCAACTAAAATTAAAATTGAAAAGCCATTTGACAACTAATTAGTTAAAATTTACGATGATCAGTGTTTCAGAAACCGTGTGTCAGTTACATCGGTTAAACGTAGTGATTACATTCTCTTTGGTCAGTTCAGTAAGAGAATTGTCGCCTATGAATTTAATTTCACAAACGTTATCAATTTTTTTTTGCTGTATTGTCCATTTCAAATTATTTCGAAAATATGTTAAGTCTGCTAATCCGCAGTGGAGTCACGTGGTGGACTATGCCTTATATGTCTTATCTATGGACTATGCCCAAACACCCTCTTCACACAGGAGGCCGAGTTTACTTTTTTTTATATAAAATCGGTAACTAAGAGGATGTCGGCTTGCTTAGTGATGTTTACGGCTAGCATGTCATGTGTGACCTCAGCGTTTCAAATTCAATTCAGAAATTCAGAGACCTTCTAGTCTTGTCAATTACCGTTAGTCGTAGTAATTTTAATTAAGTTTTAATAGTTTTTATCGAGTTTACAGATGACAAATGCCTGTTGCAATTTGACTTCAGTATATTTATTTGTTTTGCCTTTCGATTCTCTACATAAAATAAAATTACATGTTTATTCTGTTAACTAGGGATGTCGATTCACTAAAATAACCTGGGGTATTTGAAATATGTTAATTAAATTAAAAAAATAATGTCTTCTTTGTTGAGGATTTTTGGTATTTAATCAGTTGTTTATTATAAGTGCAATTCGAGGGGCTTTCCAGGAATTTTCATCGATTCACTAAATCAATTCGGTGTTTCAGATCGATCTAAATGATTATTGATTATGATTATCCCATAATCCTGCTGTGGTAGGGCCACGCAACATTTAGCTATTGCACGAATGGGCAGGTCCGTCCGGGGAAGTACCACGACCTCACAGAGGACCGACCTGAAGTAGATGGAAGTTTTATACTTCTGCGTTTCGTCTGGAGTGATGTAGCTGGGGCCCATTTTATTAAAAGGTAGCAACGCATCTGCAACCCTTCGGGTGTTGCAAATGTCCATGGGCAACGGGTATCACTTAGCATCAGGGCATCAGGTGAACCACCAGCTTGTTTGCCGTCTTATCACATAAAAAAAGATGATCGATTATTTCGATTTAAAATCGATTTGTCTGGTCTGTTGTCAACTAAATCTAATTGTCAACATTTTTTTTTTACTTTGGACTTCGTTCCGAACAAAATTAAAATTTTGTTAGATTATCATAATTTTATAAGCCAAGCCCTAATTAAATCTATTATAATGGCACGTGTATTAGTTGGAGTAAAAAGAGTGATTGATTATGCAGTCAAAGTAAGTTAAAAGTACAAAGGTTACTCGGGTCTCAAGTTCATAAAGATTAAGCAATATGTTACCCTGATTTTTTATCCGTTTCTTTAAAAAAATACTATGACAACTTTTATCTCATTTCTGATCATATCTAGACATATTCAATTTGTGCACTAAAATACAAGACCTAACAATCAGAATTTTACCTGTATATTTTTTAGCTGAATAAAATCATTCAATATTTTGAATAATAGAGTTACTTACTTGTTAATTATTATTTATATCACATATCTGCGAGTGGAATATCACGTGGTACATTTGTATTATTTTTTTTATTTAACTCCTATGGTTGACAACTATGATATTTAGAGAAAGAAAAATAAAGTACTATATTTATTTACATAGCTTTATCAATTTCCAAATAGATAAGAGTAAAACCTGATAAATCTGGTGTAGTCACAGATGGAGTTAAGCACTCCATGAATCCGTTTGATGAGATCGCTGTTGAAGAAGCAGTACGCATGAAAGAGAAAAAATTAGCCAGTGAAGTTATTGCGGTTTCATGTGGTCCAGCTCAGTCACAGGTATATAAAAATATTCAAATGTCAATTAAGCATACAAAAATCATATGTACTTGACAATTCATTATTATATTTTTTGAATTTATACTTCTTTGGAAGCATTTGGAAAAAATCATCAGTAAAAATGATGAGAACGACATAATGAAGTTGCAAAGCGAGTAACTTCTCAGTATCACCATGACGACCAATAACAACTTTTTGAGATTTACCTTTAATTCCAAGCTATTTAATTAAAACATTACAAATTGCATGAAATATGTTTTTCACAGAATTGTACTGGCATAGGGGATATGTTTTTTTTATGTTAAAGTAGTGTAGCTTCGTGTACTATTTGCATATTTCATTTGTATACAAAAATTATTTATACCTCTTCCCTTCATTTTATACTCCTCTAAATTTAAGCTTTAGTAATTAATTATCATTCTGTGATACAAAGTTAAATGGTTTTTGAGACATCAAAAAATATTTGTTTAATACAACATTATTTAGGAAACTCTGAGGACAGCACTGGCCATGGGGGCAGACAGAGCCATCCATGTAGAAGTGGTTGGAGCAGAGTATGAGACAATGCAACCAATCCATGTAGCAAAAATTTTAGCAAAGCTTTCAAAGGATGAGAAAGCTGATATAGTAATTGTTGGAAAACAGGTATGATGCACAAGTCAAATATGGGATATGAGACTGGTAATTTTTGCATAACAAATTGGTTTTGTTCTAGGCCATTGATGATGATTCCAACCAAACTGCTCAAATGACTGCTGCTTTGTTGGACTGGCCACAGGGTACATTTGCCTCCAAGGTCAGTATCTTCGTTTATTGTTATTGATAACCTCAGCACTGATAATTTAATCAACTATTGATGTTTGAATACATTATTAGATGAAATTTTGTATGTATTTGCATAGTGATATTTGTTCTAAATTCAAATGAAGGATAAAAAAACAGCCCTTGCTTTGTAATAAATCAGACTCTGTAAGTTGACATTTGAAAGACAATTTGCTACCCATTAAATTACTTTAAAATTGTTGCATAAACTATTTATGTATGCATTTTTGTGGATATTATACATACAGACATTTTATAGAATTACTAGAAAATACACATGAGTTTTATTTGTCAGGTGGAAAAAACTGATGCTGGTTTGACCATAACCCGTGAGATTGATGGAGGCTTAGAGACCATCAAGACTAAGGTCCCAGCAGTAATTAGTGCTGATCTCAGACTTAATGAACCCCGCTATGCTACTTTACCAAACATCATGGTACTAAACTATTCATATTATTCTAGTTACATTTATAATTATTAAGTGTAATTATAAAGTTGTCAATGGTAAAATTTTTGAACTGTTTAGAAATTGGTTTAACCAATTTATTTAAGCACTATGGTTTAGAAGAGTAGCTTCAAAAATACTTTAAAAAAGTTCCTACTGGATGCATTTAAATAACCTTCAATGTTGCATAATTTTTTCTTGACATTTTAAAATTGTAACCATATTTTTTTTTTGTGGATTTTTATGCTTTATTTTATTTATAGTAATGAGACTTATAATTTCTATTGTAATTTGATTGTGAAATATTTTCATTGTATTTTGCATGAATATTATTTTAATTCAACACAATTTGTATTTTTAACAATAAAGGAATTAAAAAATAAGTGCTGCAAGAAAAAACTAACTAAATCTGATTCATCTGCAAAATCTCCATTTATTAATTAAATATTATTAAACAATTGCTAAAATTAATTTTCAGAAAGCCAAAAAGAAAACTCTTAAGAAAATGACTGCAAAGGATTTAGGGGTAGACCTAGCACCTAGAATTAAAATTGTCAGTGTCGAAGATCCACCAGTAAGACAAGCTGGGTCCATTGTTCCAGACGTTGACACCCTCATAAGTAAACTTAAAGAAGGAGGACATGTATAAAAATATCACATTAAACAATGACAATAACATGTTTATTGCATCAGCTGTTAGATAAAATACTATATACATAATTTTTTTATATGAAGTTAAGATGTTTGTAGTCTATCACAAATTTGTAAGAACAATATCATGTTGAATATATATAAATCGGAATAAAGCAGTTTTTTCTTATAACATAATTATCATACATACTGAACCCACGTACTACGTAATACGTAAAAAAATTGAAGAAAAGAAAACCAAACTGAGTTGGCCTCTATTAGTAATCAAATATTAACTTAAAAAAACAAAAAAGTCAAAACAATATTTACACATTTGACAGAAAAATAATAAAAAAATTACTGTGAATCAAACTTTTCATCACAATACATAATACTTGCTGATTTTCATGATATATCGATTGACACAACAAAGTCACTTATGATTAGGCGAAAAAAGCAAGATCACACATACAAAATTAATTCTAAATACAGTCTCAACAACTAACGGAATGAAACACTACACAAATGTCTATCAACTAGTTTATTAAGTAAACATCAATACAGGCCTTCACCGCTATAAGGCTCGTACCACACTATCTTCCCTTCGAGGCAGCCTGTGACGAGCAGGTGGTGGCGGGGGCTAAATTTTGAGCTGACTACGAGGTCCTGGTGTATTCCGAGGCTTTGGCCAACGTCGACCATGGGCGCGGGGCCACGGGAGTCCTGAACACAGTGCGACAACTCGCTGCAGTTCTCGTTCAGCGCCAGGAGACGCATGCCGTTTCCGAAAGGCGAGCAAACAAGTCGGCCATCCGCAGAATAACACAGCTCCTGTACACACAAATAATATAGAACAAAATTTGCATATAAAGCCAGCAATCATCATCGCGTCATCAGTCTTACTTAAATAATGATTATGTTGGTCTTGTTGCTCTTGATATAGGTCGCGCCAAACAATTAATATTGTTTACTATATCATATAAGAGGTACAGTGGACTCGGAAATCGAATAGTGTTATCATGTATAAATAAATAATATTAAAATACAATGATCTTGTAACAATCTGTATGTAGCAAAAGCGTACATTATATTTATAATACGTTATTTTAATATTTTTCCAAAACAAAACAGTTATTAATAGTTTATTAGTAGCATTTAAAGTATTATGTTACTTTAAATGTTACTAAATTTGGCAAATAGGCTGCATTCAGTTTAACAAACAGTTATCAAGTTTAAAAACAAATAATAATCAGCAAAAAACAACATTAGAGTTGTTACTGACTAAACTTCTATGAACTAGTATGTCGCGAATATATGTGCGCGGCTTCGCCGGCAGGGTCAAAGGAAATTATTGACATTTTTTATTACAAATTGACAGATGCAGATTTTTTTCATACTTACTTCACACTTATCGTTATATTTTGGACAATTCACACAATATCTTTATAAATTATAGCATACATGTTACTCTCATGTATAAGCTACATTATTGTAAATTTTTATTAAAATTATTCATTAGTTTTAATGTGAAACAGTAACACACATACAAATTTTCGCGTTTATAATATTAATATTATTATACAATATCTAAAATCGTGGCAAAAGGTGTAGTCATGCCACATGGCCGACCTTAATGAAGCCTCTGCCCTCGTTGGTCTCCTCGATGTAGTACAGCAGGCGCTCCCTGTTCTGGCGGATGTAATGCCTCGTGGCGGCCTCTTCGTCGCAGGTGAGCGGCGCCTGGCGCGGCCGAGGCGTCTGCCCCGAAGTCGAGGGGCTGTTGCTGAGAGATAGACATCGCTTGTTAAGAACCCTTTGAATTTAAAATTTCATAGCAAAATTACTTAAGGTTATTAAATCAAAGTTTAATTTTGGAATAAGTATTGTTACAAGTTTTACTACTGCTGTTCTTATTGTTTATAAAACTATTATATTATTATTCTATTAATTTTGTAGGTTTTAATTGCTTTTTATTTCATTTATGATTCTCCTGGTAGAGGAGTTGCTAGGTCAGCTAGTATAAAACAATCAGTAGACTAGTAGTAGTAAAATAATTATCACCACATATAGACATCTAAAGCATTTTAAATGTACCTCGGACCTCATCGGGCGAAAGGTTTTCGATTGCTGACGATCATAGGTCCCGTATTATTTGATATTTTTTTTTTGTCATTAAAATATATGTGTCAAATACTTATGGGTACTCATATTGCGCAATTTTTTTAATGTAAAACCTTGCTTGGATCGCAATGCGCGAGATGTGACATTAATGATCTTTTGTTTTCATTAATGTTAGCTTAATTTTTTTTAAAGGTAACTAAGAGTGGACAGACAGACGAAGAAAAGGTCATTCTTTTCGTATCGCCTGTATTGTATGTTATTTCCCACTAAAATGATGATCTCAGTCCGTAAGATAGTTTTAGTGATAAACGGATCTGAATATCAAAAGTACCCCATCATATATTTATTAATCCTCGCTCTTTTTTGGGGTTGTCGCTCCATATACTAAATAATCATGTTATGTAGAAAAATTGAAAGTCGCTTCAAAAGTAACAGACCTGTCGGTGGCGGTGGACAGCAGCGAGGCGGCGCGGGTGGCAGCGCGAGTGCGGGGCGCGGGGCAGGAGGGGGAGTTGGAAGAGGAGGCGGTCGCTGAAGCGGAGGCGGGTGAGGGAGAGGAGGCGGGAGCGGAAGCGGAGGCGGGCGGCGTGATGCCCGTGTTGATGCCCATAATGCGCTGCATGTTGAAGTTGCGGCCCACCTGCCCTCTGCGGAGCGTGCAATACTTTATCAGGCACAATTTATAAACAGTCAATCGGAAAAGGATAGAACTGTATCGAGTGACGTAGCGCTTCAATTTTATTCACTCAACGATTTTATTTTATGTTTCCAAATTAGTAGCGCGGGGTTTTGGATTTTGTAGCAAATGAGAGGTCAATATTCCGGTCTTTTTCGCCACAGTCATCTTCGATATCTGTTAACTGTGTGTTTAAACAGATTTGGAATAAATCCAGAGATATATTTATTTTGTTCCATAATCATATTGATTGACTGGACTACCAGTCTTAACTTACGTATTCCTTAAAAGTATACAGAGTACAAAGAGCACTTCAATTACTTCTGTTTTTGTTTAGGTTGTATCTTATTATCAAATTTATAAACATAGTTTTATCTCTTAATAGCATTTTCTAAATAATCATGAAAGTTCTCTAAATTATAATCTCAACACAAGTGATACATGATAAGCATAATTACCTTATGTACATGTCTTGGACCATCCTGTGCTGTTTAATGGTGATAGAAGCCTCCCAAACGTCATTTTGTATATTAGGCAGACCCTGATAATAGAAAATGATTAGATTTCCCTTTTAGGCAGTCCAATGTGATAGTTTGGCTGTTTATTGTGTATGGGAGACCAAAGCTCCAGTTTTCAGTTTTAGCGAATAGGTCTATTTCTTTTCTAGTACTTTTATTAGTTTGTCTAACCGGTCCAAGTCTAGATGAGGCTGCGGGAATGGGCTGGACGATTGCTGGTGGCTGCTCGCTTCCACCGGCTTCTGCCTCTGCCTCCTCACTCTCAGACTCCCTCTGACTAGTTGCCTCTGTTCTAGAAATGTTTATACATCCACTACAAATCAAAAGAATGTTAGCAAAAATATAATAAATAAAACAGTTATTTAGCCTTTGATCTTTTTAAAGATATTATTTAGGTAATAATTATTAGGTAATAACATCATATACATAGTTTACCTATAAATGACGGCAAAAAAAAATTCATTTCTGTTGTATGGGCGCCCCATTTAAATATTTTTTTAATCAGTATTTTTAAGCATTTGTTGTTATAGCGGCAACCGAAATACATCATCTGTGAAAATTTCATTTTTCTAACTATCGCGTCTCATGAGATACAGCCTGGTGACAGGACAGACAGACAGCGGAGTCTTAGTAAATAGGGTCCCGTTTTACCCTTTGGTTACGGAACCCTAAAAAATAGCGGGACGTCGCTACCTGTGGGCGCGGGCGGCGTGCGAGCGCACCGTGCGGAATGGCAGCAGCCGCGCGAGGCGAAGGCCGCGGCGGGGAGGGGCACGGCGGGGGGCGGGGGGGTCGTCGCGCGTCCCCTTGTCCGGCGCGAACTCGCACGGCTGGATGTCGTGGATGCACGACCACTGGAACACCGGCCGCAGTGTTATTTATTTTAAAAAAAAAAACGCACATGAGAATTTATTAACAATCCTTCTCTAGTGTAACAAACAAACCACTCGTCATATTATGTTTCGTCGACTTTCGAAAGGCATTCGATACGGTCATATGGGAGTGCCTATGGAAAGTACAGTTGGATATGGGAGTTACGCGGCATTTTGTATTTCTATTGAGGAGGTTAAAGGAAGACGGCGCTGCCGCAGTGCGGCCGCAATGCCCACTCAGATGCCTTGAAGTCTGAGTCCGGTGTTCAACAGGGTTGTATATTGTCTCCGTTGCTCTTTAACACCTGTACCGAGAACATCATGAGAATCGTCCTAGGAGGGTCGGATAAAGGTGTTTCAGTTGTAGGGCGAGTGATTGACGACCTACGATACGCTGATGATACTACGCTTCTGGCAAGAACAAAAGAAGATTCAGAAGAGCTGCTGGCTCGACTTGTATCCACCATTGCCAACTTCGGTCTTACTTTAAATAGAGATAAGACAAAGATCATGATAGTAGATCGGGCTGAGCACAATACGCAAGGAGTCCCGCATATAGCAAACTGCGAAGTAGTTCAGAGCTATATTGACCTCACCTTAGAGACGACTGTTGCAAATTCCGTTGACAGCGTTTCGGACTAACGTTTCCATTCTCAAGGAACTTCATATACAAAATAGACTTTTGTCGAGTGTTGAACAACGAACTCTCAAGTTCTTTGGTCACATCGCTAGAAAGGAAGATTCCTTGGAGACACTTGACATTCAAGGCCGTGTAGAAAGCAAAAGACCTGGATGCCGAGCCCCCACGCGCTGGATTGACCTCATCACCGGCACTACGAAAGCCACCGCAATGCAATGTGCTCGCATTGCTAACAGCCGCCTCCAATGGAGCAACAGCGCTAGACGCTGCCTTGGAAGCGAGCAGCGACAACGAGACGCAATTCTGTCCATCATCTGTTGTACTTTTCATAACTTTAATGGCCACTTCTTATTGAAATGCTACGGTTCGGAGTTATTAAGGGAAAACCGAAAACTTTGAAAGCTTAGCAGTAATAAGTACTGCAATGAGACCGATATACAAGAGGATCTAGTGTTAAATTACAGGGCTGAAAGCGAATTCATAAAAGAAACATATAGATGTAGCTGTAGCGAAATGGATTATTTTTTAAACGCTTACAGTAAATAAAAACATAAAATGATTGAATGCATTAAATAATAGCCTTAACCCAATTTTCAATTTGTTAACTAGACTGATAATTAAATCTACAAAGAGATCATGATCCACTCTGCTCGTAATGAAATCAGCTACATTAACATAAAATTAAATTAAATATTATTCTTCTCTCCCATAATTACCTCTGAGCGATCATCATGGCTGATGTTCCTACTTAAAGCGCTCCAACCCTGAGGGTGAATCTGGAAAAAAAGAGACACTAAATAGTAAATATTTTTTTATGAACGCTGTGGAGGGCCGGGCAACAGTCTTCGCTGCTGCACGAATGTTCAGGTTCGCCAGGGAAAGAACCACGACCTTACAGAAGACCGTGGAAGTATAACACTTTTGCGTTTCGTCCGGTAAGTGAGGTAGCCGGGGCCCACTTTTAAAAAAATGTCAACGCATTTGCAACACTACATATGTTGCAAAAATCAATGGGTGGCGGTTTATCACTTAACATCAGGTGAAACGCCGTCACGCTTGCCACCTACTTACATAAAAAAAAGAACACTATACAATGAGTTTTAATATCGATACATAGTACAGCACTGTATCTTTATTCCGATATATCGCATCGCATGGGGCATCCCTATTATATGGTGTACCTGCAAAGCGCTGATGACCTTGGCGTCGTTGCCCTCGGGGAAGTCCGAAACAAATTCGACGCGGTTCTCGCGCCGATCGCCGTTGAACAGGTGGTCGTACATCGCCGCGATTGGGATCAGCTGTTGGCTCATCTGCATCAGCCTGTACAGGTTCGGCTGGACGGGTGAAACACGAAGTGGACCTATTAATCTCAAACTGAGCGTTGCGATGTTACGTGCAAACATGCCCCGTGGCGCAGTTGCCAAGGTGTTGGCTTCGGCGCCGGGGGCCGTGGGTTCGATTCCCACACGAGACAACTATTCGTGTGACCCGCAGATGATTGTCTGAAATGTATGTACTTAAAGCGTCTTCAACAATGGTTGTTATCCTACAGTAAGGGGGCAATGTTTTCGAAGGGAAGACTACAATAGATCTTCTAGATCGCAATGGTCATTGGGACTTACTACTCAACAACGTACACATATTGTAGATGAAAACGAGTGTAATATTTTGATTAAGCCTGCGCGCTTATTTGTCCGAGCGTGCTTGACTTACAATAGTTCTATTTATTTCACTTTGATGTACTATATTTAAGCGATATCTCTCTAGTTATCAAATATTTATTGTTAAGAACGTCGTTTGAGAAAGCGTCGTCTGCTGTGAAGGAAGCACAATAGATGACGCCAAGCATTGCAAAAAATACAATAAAAACAAGGCTACTGAGGTCGAGATTTTCCTGTAGCAAGGATGTTGGATATTTATATACAGCGTGTCGTTACCACCGCGACAATAAATAAACACACATATAGAGGATAACTTTTTAAAATTGTATAAAACATTTACATTCTTTAAACATCAACATTTACCGAGTTATTAAATTTTCCAAAACAAACAATTTTAGAACACCCTTACGTATAAAACTATAACGTAAAGTTCATTTGTAAAGGTCACAAAGCATATAGGAATGGGTTGAATGAATTTAAAAGAGACAAAACATACTGTTAGAAGGAGAGGCTTGTAATGCGACGCTGTGGCGCGAGTTGTATAGGATGTTACAAATTTTGTTTCTTTTTTACTTAATTAGTTTGTTTGAAAAATATTTTTTTTTAATTATGGATTTTGTTTAACGTTAATATTTTTTTATGATTATTGGCAAGTAGCATTAGACGTGTGTTCATTTATTGTCGCGATGGTAACGACACGCTGTATATTGGACGCTTAGTGGTTAGAGATTTGACGAGTTGCCCAGAAGGCGCGGCCCATGGCAATTACCTGGCCGTTACGAAAAATGTTTCGCTAATTTATGCTGAACAATTTTTAATATTTAGCAATCAACATACAAAATTTGTGTACTAATCAATAATATTTGGGATGATTACCTTGAATCCGTGTAAATCTCTTGCCAGTGTTGCCAGATTCAAATTGTGTATTAAGACAAGGAGGCCGCCGGTGGTGCACATTACCATTTGCCCTGCATCGGGCGACAGCCGACATCGCATAAGGCCTGAAGCATGGAACACTCTGTGATGAACCACATTATACTCTGTGTAAGAATTTATATCCCATGTGTATATGCTTCCATCTAGTCCAGACGTAACAAGCAGTTTGTCTTTGACTGAGAACTCTATATTCTTTACCCAGTTGGAGTGCCCAAGTAGAGAACATATTTTCTTTTTCAGATTTCTAATGTCCCAAAGCGCTATGGTGGCGTCGTCCGAACAAGTTGCAAACATTCTTCCGTCCAAGAACCTACGAAATTAAATATTTATAATTATAAGTTTGATATGTTCTATATAAAATGTTAAAACAGAATGAATCTTTAAACATATTTATGGGCAGAGAGTCTCGAACATGCTTAGTGGCATGCGGCTGGTTATGTATTGCGCAGAGGTGTGGTAGGGCCATGCAACAGCTTCTGCTGGTACATCATTGGGCAGAAGCATCCTAGGAATACCACAATCTTACAGAACAATGGTGTGAAATGGAAGTATTAAACTTTGGAGTTTCGTCCCTGCATCTAGTGAGTGTGGTAACAGGAGCCCGTTTTTTGAAGTTTATCAACACATCTACAAGCCTTCGGGTGTTGTAGGTGTCCATTGGCGGCGGTATTTACTTAACATCAGGTAAGCCACCAGCTCGCTCATTTGATTAATGCTAGAGGGGTTGGTTGGCACCGAGCTAGATGGAACAACAGTCTGGAAGGACATTAGTTGTAAACAAATGAGTATATTCAAAGTTCAATTTAAGGGGCTGAACCTTTGGCATACCTGCATCAAACAGCTAATGGCTGAGGTTGATGATGATAAAGCCTTTTATGATGTTAATATCCTACCAAATAACAGAATTCATAATAATCATAAGAATATATCACTTACTTTACACAGTTCACACAATCTGAATGAGCTCCATTTACAGAATGTATTCTTTGATGTGTTAGTGGATCAAAAATTTGGATGGATTTTTTTTCACAAGCTGCTACCAATAGAGATCTGTATTGAATGAAATTATTATAATGATTTCAAAAACATCCTTTATCTTAAAGTAATTTGGGGCAAGTTCTTAACAATGCAAGCTTATGCATGAACAAAATTTACTCTTATTTTTTTATTATACAGTGTGTCGTTACGACCGCGACAATAAATGAACGCTCGTATAGAGGGTAAGTTTTAAAAATTGTATTAAGCATTTACATTCTTTAAACATCAATATTTACAGAGTTATTAAATTTTACAAAACAAATATTTTTAGAACATCCTTACGTATAAAACTGTAACGTAAAGTTCATTTGTAAAGGTCACAAAGCATATATGAATGGGTTGAATGAATTTAAAAGAGATAAAACATACTGTTAGAAGGAGAGACTTGTAATGCGACATTGTGCCACAACAAATGAAAAAGTCTCTGAATAGGTATATATATCAGTCAGTTGTAGTCGTATAGGATGTTACAAATTTTGTTTCTTTTTTATTTAATTAGTTTGTTTGAAAAATATATTTTTTTAATTATCGATTTTTTTAATGTGTTATATTTTATTATGATTATTGGCAAGTAGCGTTACAGGTGTGTTCATTTATTGTCGCGTTTGTAAGGACACACTGTATATAATTTTTTTATATAAATAATCTTGTGTATTTTTAAGGCTTCTTCAAAAGCATTGGACTATTTTTTGAAGGGTAAATATATTATGTTTCTACCACCAATATGCTAACCTTAATAGTATAAATATTTGAATAAAAGAGTATAATAAATTAAAAGCCTATAAATGTCCCACAGCTGGGTAAAGCCCCCCTGTAATTCCCCCTTCAATGTGGTGCATTAATAAGTCTGCACTTCAAATGGTAACGCAACTTTGCAGATCCTGGCAATGGTATTTGAACTGAAATTGCTCATATCAAGTATTCATCATTTAATTAATATACACTGAGATATCATTACTAAAAGCTATAAATATGACATTTTACGATTTTGACGATCTCTTTGTTTAATCATATTCAGAGATTAGATAACTGTTAAATATATTTTATTACGTTTTGATCATATAACTTGACTACATAATTTTACAAACAGAAAATTGGATTTTACATAAACTGAATTTATTTACCAACATTTTTAATTGATAAAGTATAGAAAATCAGAATTATAGTTAAGTGAACAATACTTTTACAAAGATAATGCTAATAAATTTAAGGACTTACCCTTCTGGGGAGAACTCAAGGTTGAACACACCCCCAGTGGGAACATCATTAGCTTGTTCACAATCCCAGGAGGCAATAGGTTTCATCCCGCAATAAAGACTTCTTGCTATGGCATTTTCTATGCCTATTGGGTTTTGAAATCCAGTCTCCCGTCGAATTAGTCTGTATGGGCTGAAAGCTGAGTGTCTAGCCATAAATGTAGGATTATATTTGCTACCCATTTTAAGTTATTGTTATGAACTAATGGAGATTTGAAATTATTTTTTTAAGTACGCTAAGTCACATTACAGTATTAATAAATGCAATCTGATATTATCAAGTTCCTAAAATCACATTTTTCCTACAATTGAAACAAAATTCTTCAATTCAATGTAAAATCAAAAAGTCAAAGACTATAACAATATTTATATAATCTATGTCAAAAAGTTACAGCTCGTATTTCAGATACAGATAAGTTATTACACCTAAATTAACGTGTACTATATCATTAGTGAGCTACTGATTTAAATCAGCCATTTACGGTACGGTATTATAATAAAACGAAATGAAGAGCAAGAACTAGGATGTGTGTAAGATGTATTTATTGTAACAAGAATTATAACAGGTACGGTATCTAAAGATAACAGACTACCTGTTACGAACAAACTGTCACAAGCTCTTACTTTTTCTTGCACCGGTCATATAACTTTCTTAGAAAGAGATGTACGGACTTGCAACTCGATTAATTCTTTCACCTGTTACTTGGTTCGGACATCCAAAGTACACAAATAAGTAACGAAATCATTACAGTGTTACAGTATGTTACTCTATGGTAACAGTTACTCAAATTGTCACAACATATAATGAAATAGCAGGCTGTTATTTCGTAACAGGTATTTGTTACGTTGTTTAAAAAACGTGGGCAACAAATGAATATAAATAGAAAAATATATTAAAGTTGGCGACATGGTAACTACTAATATGAATATATGAAAAATTACACAAAATGGGAATGATTGTACTAACTCTTAAAAAGGTAGGCAACTGAAAAAGTTGGCAAAGCGTCCGCAGATCAAATTTATATGATCCACTTTGCATAACGACGTAGTTTTCAAAGCATAGATAACACATTATATATACTGAGAGAACGTTTCAACGTATACACACCTAGCAAAGTAAACATACCTAGCTTTCAACATTTATCATTTATGCTGGTAGGGTAACATCAGTCATTGCATTAGCATTTAGACGAATGGTGAAAGAACATTTACGTATTACTTACTCCTGTCACGCCATTATATCACGCCTGTACATTCGAAAGGGTTACTCAAATGTTTATATTATATCAAGCTACCCCACATTTTCTTTGAAAGTTAGTGTTCATTCTCAGATTATTCATACTCTTTTGATGTCAACTCTGGTCTGTTTGGTTTATTCATTATGTTTCAATTACTTTAAATTTGGAATGTCAGCTTTATTTGTTCAGATTTGTGTCATATTTGATGATTGATCATTTATCATCTTATTTTTACAATTTATTTTCGCGCTAGTCTCTTATTTGAAATACTTAGACATTTTCTTTCCTTATTTGCTCTTTCTGAAGTGGCGATGGGCCGGCCATATAGCTCGGGAAGTCGATAGTTGCAGGTGGCTCAGGATCGTACTTCATGGCAGTCTATGGGGGAGGCCTATGTTCAGCAATGGACTCAAACAGGCTGAAATCATGATGATGATGATTTGCTCTTAACCGTTTTCCTTTTTTAGTCCCTATTTCAGTTTGACGCGGTTTTGTCATACATCCTACGCCTTAACTAAGTCTACCTATATTTTATAATACCTACAGTTTGCTAAATATAGGATGATACGTGGGACATTGATATCAATCTTATCCTTTAAACGAGCAATTCTTGTAGAAAATGTCCTTTTATCCCTGTTTTACGGGAATGAAAAATATCATTCGAATTTGACGGTAATTTTCGCCGCAAAAAAAATGTTATGATAGCTCGGTCGGTAATCGGGCGGCACCAAAACAGACGGCCGCGGTTCGTATCACGATCATGTACACACTTATTTTCTTTTACTTTTTTTTCTATACCAGATCATTGCTTTCTTTATCTTTTATTTTTTTTATTTCCGAAATACATGATTTACCAAAAAAAAACCGGTCAAAGGTCGGTCCTCCAGGTACTAAACTAAAGTGACATTACGAAATGAAGTACACATTGTGTTACGTACATTTTTATATTTAACAGACTGTAAGTTGTTAAAATTAATAAGTAAAAATTAATTATAAATTAATAAATACAAAAAAGAAAGTGACTTCAAAAAACTCTACTAGCACTAAAAGGTTTAATTTATTACTAAATATACATACGTAATTATTAAAATCTAAAACCTTTTAACCTATATATTATATAACCACCTGTACCCGCAGTATTCATTTTTGCTTTCCTTGTTTCTAACTTTTTAAGTAGTTTTTTTTTTGTTAAAAAACTTTTTATTGACGATAAGTTCCTCTGGTGGATTCTACTATATACCTACTGCGGTCTAAGATCGATGTTTAAAATTGAATGATTTGATCTGAGTGTGACGCTCTTCTGATATTCCTGTCAACATTTTATAATAATTTCTTGCTAACGACAAGAGAAAAAAAAGACACATGACAATGTCACGATCATGAACACAGTGAACCTGAAATGAAGCTGTTTAGAGAAATCCCATGCCGATAAACTACTACTAATTTAAACGATCACACAAATGAGACCGAGCATGTCATCTTAATAGTCAGTCTGTGAGACCGAGTATCTGTCAATGTCAATTGTCAACCCAACGTTTGAATTGAAAAATATGCTATACGTGCAGTCCAGTCAGTGAACGCTGAACAATTTTAGCGTTATAATAAGTTAATAAGAGGGAATATAAGCAAATTTTATTTTTAAGTGTAAAATAATATGAATAGGTCAGTATTATCCGATCTAGAAAACAGCTATAGCGGAATTGATGACACATCCAAGGAATATAATAAAAAACATGATTTCAGTATCTCGGATCAGCTGGCAGATTTCGAAAAATTACGTATATCTGCCCTGACAAAAGCTGCTGAAATAAGTCCACATGTAAAAGAAGTGACAATAGGGCCTAAAAGTCCTGTAAAAAAATCTAGCATTAAAGAAAATGTTCCTGTTAAAAATTATGAGATGCCTACAAACTTGCTAGAGGATAAGCTTGGCGATGATCTACGATATACTCTAATGTTAAAAAGATATGAAGCAAAACTTCAAGAGTCCTCCGAGCAACTGTTTAAAAATTTAGTTGAAAAGATGATTGCAAAGCGCACTGAAAGCATGCGAACATTTTGGAAAAAGCAGAGTGAAGAGTGCGAGCGTAAATCACTAGAGCTACGGGCGCGAAAGTTGCAAATGTTAAAGACATTACAGGAGAATGACAATCTGTCTGTATTAGACAAAGCTAAAACGGAAGAACAAAAATGTAAAATTATAAGCCAAAAGACAATAGAAAACATGAATAAAATTTTGGAGGAACAGAATAAGGCAACCAGCAGATTTGCATCTGTTACAAATAGCCATACTAAGATATGTATTTGTTATAATGAAATAATAAACATTATAAATTGTGACTCACATGCAAAAGGTGTATTTGAGAAGTATGTGATACCTATCAATGCAGTCATTGGAAATATAAACACTGTTATGGATCTATGTAAAACTGGAACAATTACAGATAAAGAAGTTAAGCAAGCTGAAATTTTAGCTCTAAATATAGAGAACTTGCGAATGAAAATGGTCCAAGAATTAAATGAGACTAAACAACAAGAACTACTTAAAAAACAGAAAGAAGAAGAAGAGGTAAAGAAGAGAGAACTTGAAGAAAAGAAAATAATGGAGGAGAAGGCTAAGCTGATTGAAAAATCACTTATTGATCAGAAATCAACAAGAAGTAAACCAATTTTCTATTCTTTTAAAAATTATAGTTACTATAAAGAATTAAGAGACTTCTTAAATACATTTGAGAATCAGCATAAGGAACTTTTGGAAAATACAAATTTAAAAAAGTTTCGATTTGATTGTCAAAAAGCTGTCAATATACCAGTGAATGCATTGTCGTCAGTTAGTGGATTACATATAAGAGATAAATTTGATAAATTGTCAAAGTTGCTAAGAGGTGAAAAGGTCCAGGTTTTAGATACATATGTTCAAGCAACACAACATCCTCAAGGCTTATCCTATTGCACTGCCCTGTTAGCCAAAAAGATTGTGAGGCAAGGTGATCTTTTAGTCTCAAGCAATCCAGAAGCTGCTTTTCCACTTGCAGCTGTTGTAGTTGCATTGTGGTCACAGTTTCCTGTATTCGGGAAGCTCTTAGAAGCCAACTTCCATAGACAATGTCCATATTTAGTACCAATGTTACTGCCACAGAAAGAAGGCCAATCTGATAAGGACTTTTATATATCTAGAGGTTACACATACAATGAGGATGGTGTTGTTGAAAAACAGGACAAATTTCTTAAAAGAATGTCAGGCATTTTTCGTCTGTGTTGTGCTATATGGATAGCAAAGATGCCTAAATTTGTCAGCACTACTAATCCCCATGGTTTATATCAAGGATGGAAATGGCTTGCATCATTCATCAATCTTAAACCAGAACCTGATATTAGTGCAACTCTACTTTATGACTTTTTTATTGTATGTGGATCAGAATTTAGTAGGTGTTATAAGAAACAATTTATAAAAGTAATAAAACTGATAAGTACAGATTATCTCAAAATATTAGAAGAAATTGATGAGGGTGGTCCAAAAACACGGCTAGAAGTATATCTACAGAATATATTAAAAACTGGCCATATACCACCACCAAATGGACTATTACCACAGAATACTTGGTAGGTGATGTTTTTTTTGTGAAATTCAGTGAATAATTTATTCAATAAGCATTAAAATGTATTCATGCATGATTTTTATTTGATTATATTAAATTAAGGAAACATTTTATTATAAGCAAATAAACAAATTGTATTAAGAGTTTTTATATTAAGTTTTCGATCAACTTTTGTAAAAAAAATTTTACTCCCCAGCCATGCTACACTATTGCAAATTAAGGTTTTGATAAGATTTATGGGAAACAACAAAATATCTCAAGTTGTGATATTAATTGTATAAGATGGTGTGAACACAGTTATTAAAGTAATATCTACAGTCAAGACCAAGAGAATGTGTATTATGAGATTTCAAAAAAAATTTTTAGACCCTTAACACACTTAAGTTTTGACAAAGATGACATGCCGTGCAGGTGGTAAAGAGAACCTTACAGAAACATTCCATATGCACACTTACATTTTTTGGACAATGTTTACTGTGACAACTATATTTAATTGAGATGACTCAATGGCGCAGTTGCTAAACTATAAGCTTCGTTGTCGAGGTAGTGGGATTGATTCCCACATATGACAAGACAAATATTTATGTGAGCCACAGACAATTTTTTCGCATCTGAGTGTCTGATTGTCAGCCTAGATTGAGATATTGTTAATCGTAGATATGTTTTACTTAAGCTTAGATGACAATCGGTTGCGCAGTTGTCAAGGTATTGGCTTCGGCGTCGGGGGTCGTGGGTTCGATTCCCAAACGGAACCATTATTTGTGCCGTCCTCAGATAGCTGTTTCGCATCTAGGTGTTTGAGGTGAAATTTATATTTGTAAAACGAATATAGGATTGTTATCCTAAACTAAGGACAATGTATTAAAAAAACGTTTTGAAAAAAAAACTCCCCACTAGCAACCGTTACAGGTACGGTCAATGATTGGTTGACGTGGGTTCGATTCCCACAGGAGCGAGAAACTTTTTGTACCTTTTCCTACAAATTTTAACATTAAATGGCTTATTATTTTCTGCCAGCACGTTCAAGTTTCAGACACTTGAAACATATAATTGACCCTTTCCGAAGCATGGAGTGCCCAAATGAATGCCTGCCACTTTTAAGGTTGCCCTGGGATTTGTTGATGGTCATTGTAAAAGCCAATTTTAAGGGAAATTGTTACCTCTTAAATTGAAACAGTAAGTTATTTAGAATAATAGGTATGCAGGGAATTAAAAACACTCCTTTAGTAGCTCCTATCATAATCGTGGCTTTTATAATATTACTCTCCAGCTCTGTAAAACGAATTCTGGTGCTGTCGCACATTCTGGGTGCATCATGGTTTCTCATCATCATCAGCATAACTGGAACCCTAAAAATAATATAATTACAAAAGCACAGAAATATGCAACTAATTTATAATTTACAGAACTTACCTTAACAAGAACCTCCTTTTTTGAAGTCGGTTAGAAACATAACAGCAAAACAATAATTAAATAAAAAAAATCAAGTCCGTATTTATTGGCTAAAATAAGACTTGTACATATTAGCATCTATTGAACCTGCACGACCATTTTATACTGTAAATTGATATTTTTAAAAAGAGCAACTGTAGAAGTTTCTTGCCAGTTGCTTCTCAAAAGAAACTGCTTTCCGAACCGGTGGTAATACGTTTACGAATTTGTGTATTAGTATTTATGTACAATTCGACGCTTCATAAGAACGCGAAAGCGTCTTAGTATCTTAATAATTGAATGTATTTATTACACCAAACAATCGAAAATTGTTTGGAAGATCACATTCATCGCAAGAAAATCTTATCAGTGTGATTCAGAAAACTTATTGCTCGCCGTAACGCGCCATCTAGTGGCAGGGCGTTAGAACCAAATTCTTACTGTATAACCAGAAGGAATAAACGTTACTATCGGTACTATCGGAATCCTGTAAAAAGTGTCATTTTGAGTCGGGGATTTTAACTTATTTTAATTTTTTTTTGACAGTTTTATCGTTAGTGTGTAAATAAATCAAGCCCTCTTGAGAAAAATGCACTTAAAATCTATTTCACGAACTTTTACAAAACCTTTTAAAAACACGGTTCCTGTATGCTGTCCCAAAGGTACCGTGCATTTTCCGGAATAAAAATGAGCCTATATCATTTAGAGGTCATAGGTGTAGGGGTCTACATATGCAAAAAATCATGTCGATTCTTTGCCCTATGGTCAATTAAAACAGATCTGTCCCACGGGTCCATACAAATTACCGGGATATAAAGCATAAGTAGCCTATATGCTATTCCAGTCTATACTCTTATCTCTGTGCCAAATTTCATCCAGATCCATTAAGCCGTTCTGGCGTGATTGAGTCATCCATCCGTCCATCCATCCAAACTTTCACATTTATAATATTAGTAGGATGGTGGGATTTCAATTATTATTTTCTTAATATGTTAATTTGTGTAGTATAGAATAATATAAAAGAAAGAGGTAGCAAAGAAATTTAATACGGTTACGAGGAAGACGAACGAACCGCGAGACTTTACAGTTACGCTGAAGTGACCAACACTTGCCTTCCTCTTTTTTTCTCATTGCTTTAATTACGCTATCCTGTTCATACCATTCCATAATTTATGTTGTCAATCTGTTTGGATATTGGAACATTTTCAACCGGTCACCACGAAGTACGATGTTGAGCCACCTGCATGCATTGACTTCCTGCACATTTGCACAGGTCGTCACTCCATTTATTGAGAGGCTGTCTGAAATTGCAATGACCGGTACAATACGGCTGTATTCTCTTGTGATAGTAAAAAAACAGTTAAACTGTAAACTTACTAATATAACTTTCTTTTACTCTATGTGAAAGTAAATAAGTTATGTGACAGTCCTCTCAACTTAATAGCCAAACAAAAAGTTTCCTCTTTTTGCATTTTATGATGATTTTATATATGATATTTAATTTTTTATCCCTGTAGACAAAATTTTTATAATGTTCAGACAAATTCCTCAATAATTTGATCATACGGTTTGGATCTAAGATGGCCACTATAGGTTCGTTCGTAATAGGATGCGCAAATTCAATATTCTGCGTTTCAATATAGCAACCGAGATTCCCTGCCATAGAAAAATTTGATCCACAGTTCTCAAATGTTAACGTCACTGTTTTATCGCCGGCATCGCGTGTTAATCAAGACAATGCGCGTTGCAGTCAACTAACACCCTCAACAAGAAAAAGTACAACAGGTAACTTAAAATTACCGTTTAAAGATGTTACTAAGAAGGCCTCTTTTAAAACTGCTAAGTGGTCACCATCTAAGCTCATTCCTATGTCAACATATTAATTTTCTACCATCCCATTCAGTACCAATTTCATCTATACTTATGTTGTCAAGAATGGATGACTTGATAAATTTTTGTTTTAAAGCTATAAAGGATTCCTTTGCAAATCTCCACCTACTTTTGTATACTTATTGTTTTTAACCGTGCATGGATGTAGCAAACTTGTTTTAAATATCTTACACACATAGTCGTAAGCTCTAGTAGTTATGCATATATTTTTATCTTTATACAACTCCTGATTCTCTTTAATCACAAGCAACAACTTGTTGCTATGTTGCACCTGTAAAAAATAAAGCCTTAGTTTCTCCTTGTGAATGTAATTCATTTAACATAATTGAAAGTATTACTATAACAAACCTCTATATTCGTACTTCTAACAAAATTATATTTTCTTTTGTCATGCGATACTTTACATCTAATGCTGTTAAAATTTCCTCAACTGATGTTAATTTTTTTTTCAACCTTCGATTCTGTGCTTGTAAACGTCTAATTTTTAAATTCTTTTTTTCTAATATATCTTGAAACCATCTAAACTGCGCTTTAAGTTTCCTTTTCCTTTGGATAGAAAAGATAGAGCTGCTAGAACCATCATTATCCTTAAGTTCTTTTTCCAAGCGTATTACATGCCCTTCAGTATCTGATTTGACTTTCTGTTGTTGTGCTATTTTATTGGAGCTTGAAATTTCTGCATCAGAGTTTTTTAAAGTCTTTGTTGCATGTTTTTTGGAAGGGGCTTGAGTTACATTGGAGAGATTTTGATTCTGGTAAATATGTTCAAAAGCAATATACAACATAGAAATTGTCAAACTATAATGTTTTTAATACAATACTTGTGGATTTACTTTAAGAAGAAGGAAACTTACTTAATAAAGAAAATTATCAAATTAACCTACTATATATAATAATAACAATACCAAAATTTGACAAAAACATGCCAGGTTTGAAAAATGTAAAAAAGTCAAATTAGTTTATCCCAAAAATCATTTTTTACTGTTAACATATAGATAAAGGTAGTAAAAAAAGTGTATAAGAGATCTTAATATTAAATAGTCTGGAGAAGGGTAATGAAGAGCCGTGCTGAATGGAGGAAAATTGGGGAGGCATATGCCCAACGGTGGGTGAACACACACGGAAGAAGAAGAATATTAAATATAACTACTCACTTGCAAAAACATCATAATGTTCACAGTAGGAATTGCACTAGTTTTTAAATATCTGTATCCTTTTTTTGTCAGAAGCAGATCATTTTCTACAAAATGTTCAGAACAAATTGTGCTTGATTGAGATGGCTTCCATTTAATCCTGCCTGTAGCCTTTATCCACTTTTCTTTTGTCTCACGATCTTTAGGAAATCTGAAAAAATGTAAAACAGTTAAAATAGCAACATGATTGTTTACAATAAAATTATACTAACTGTACATAAACTACAAATGTACAGGTTTTTTTTCGATACAGACACTTTTCGTAAAGCTAATGATCAAATATAACATATTAACAAAGAACACTCTCGCAAACGTCCTAACTGCTACTCAAGAAGTGATTCTAATTGAGTAGTACGTTTTCGTGACAAAACAAAATACACTTTAATGCCTAAAATATTAGATTGCCTCTTGACTGTAGTTCAAACAAAATTCTTTTTCTAAACCTTGGTCAAATATAACAAAATTCACTTGCCTGTGATATGAAACATTTCCTTTTGACACATTTTTGTTACGGCTATTATTTTTACACTCTAAAATAACGCAATACGGCATGATAAAATAAGAAAGCAGGTGATAGGCTGACAGCGCGTGCGTCTCCAATCGAGTCAGAATTCGTATTGCCTTCGCGTTAGTTACAGTTCCGCATAACTGTTGTCCACCGTGGTATTTAAATGGTTTCCTTTCCAATTTCCATACTAATGCTTTACTCTATGCTGTGGTCGTAGTGATTAGGGATGCAAACGATAGCGTCTTACTCGTTCGCTCTGTAATACAATTTGTAGTTATTTACAAAAACGCACGCAAAAAGAAGGAATTACTTCGCTCGCCTGTTTAATGCACTGACGGCCATTGTTTTCTTTGTTGTTTCACGTTCACTTCATTATAGTTTAAACGAATAAAATGCAAAAGTGCCTTAGGAAACTTCTGAAGAATCGGAAAAAGGCGATAACACAGGGCACATATGGAACTACTATAAAATATTTACGCACTACCTAAAATATAAAAACTAAAACTAAAGCAGAAACAGAATTCTAAATGTTTATAACAAGAGCTGTCACTCCTATTCCTATTCCTAGGCTTCAGAGCCTAGTCATGATCTATTTGCCTATCGTGGCAACTTTGGTACCTAGTTAGTGGTTATTCTCTGCAGTCCTTGTATCCTTGTATTAACTGATGTTTTTGCTTTCAGTCCCGAGACTATTAAAGCTTCATCTGACGCAGAACCGGTGGGTTAGCCAGAACCCACGGGTTTGGGCCCTCCGCTGTGGGTAGGGCCACGCATGTGCTCATGGGTGCGTTTAAGTATGGCGTGTCATCTAAGGGCCATCGAGGTCGCAGTTCGGACCGAAACCCCGATGGCCGTCGACTGTGCAATTAGCTAATCGGTGGCTGGGAGCGGTGAGAAACACCCCGGAACGCGGGTGTACCTTGTGTGCGAGGGCGAACTAGTGTGTTTGTTGTTGCACTAACTGTGGGTGTAGTGTTATCCGGCGGGAACCTCGGCGGTGGGTCCGGCGTATCTAAGTCCCCTTCCTCGACCGGGTCGATTAGGACGTTTCGCGGGCAACGCTTGTTGACGTTAGCGTTTGTGTCGGGTTGGTAATTTGCTGCGCATACCACCAGAGGGTTGGGATAATGTTCGGCTCTATCGAAGAACCGTTTGGTCAGGTCTTTAAAATATTCGCGAATCGTCGGGAGTCTGCAATCGCTGTGTAGGTCGACGTTGCGTTGATACCACTACGCACCGGTTGCGCGGCGGATGAACTTATTTTGTACTATTTGCAACTTGTACAAGCGAGTAGGGTGCGTGTGGGCGAAGGTCATGCATACGTAGGACATAATAGGTCGTACGCAGGTCTTATATAATAATAATTTGTGCCTTAAGGGCATTTTGCTTTTAGCGTTAATTAAATTGTGTAGGCGGCCGGAGACGAACGCGGCTCTATTGCGAACGTTATTAATGTGCGTAGTAAATGTCATACGCGAGTCGAAAGTGACTCCTAAGTATTTTACCTTTTTCTCCCAGGGGAGCGGTTAGCCATAAAGGGATATTTGCCCCAACTTTCTGCATTGACGAGGGCCATTATAAAGATGTGACGGGTAAGTACTTCGTGTGAAGTGAATCGCCACACTCTTTTCGGGATTTATTTCTATTCTACATTTGTGGAACCAATCGCCGAGGCAGTCGGCGGCGCTTTGAAGTCGAGTGGTTAATTGTCTAAGGTTGCGGTCTGAATAAAAGAGCGCTGTGTCATCCGCGAAAAGCGGGAGATTGACGTGGGGGTCGTTAGATATATCGCTCGTGTAGTGCGTAAAGAGCAAAGGTGAGAGGCAGGAGCCTTTTGGTACGCCGGCCTTGAGGTGGCGGCTTGTGGCGAGGATGTCTTCAACTCGATATCGAAAAGAGCGGTTCGACTGGAAGGCCCGGATGGTGTGTACAAGCTTATCTGGCACTTTGAGTGTGTACAGCTTGTAAAGCAAGCCATTGTGCCAGACCTTGTCGAATGCTTTTGTGACATGAATATGTTTAGGGTGATTTAGGCATTTCAGGATATGTTCCCTTAGGCGGAATAGTTGATCGGGACTGGAATGTTTAGCTCGAAGGCCGAATTGTTCCACCTACAGAAGGCCGTTGGAAAACACGTGCTCATTGAGCCTGTTTAATAAAAGCCGCTCGTTGAGCTTCCCCAGGCAACTGAGGAGGTTGATGGGACGATAACTAGTGGGCTGGTTGGCTGGTTTATTCGGCTTGCGAATGCCGATAACCGTGGCTTCTTTCCAGTCGTCCGGAAAGGAGCAACTGGAGAGTAAAGTATTGTTAATGGTCGCTAGTAAACAGATAAGCGGCCCAGGGAAAGCTTTAAGAATTTTGTTACTAATATTATCTGGGCCCGGGGCGGATTTGGGTTTTAAGTTTTTAATAATATCTTGGACCTCTTCGGGGGTCACTGAACTCAAAGGATCGCCTTCCGGTGGAAGTGCAGCCCTAATCTCGATTACGCGGTCCACCTCCGTTAGGTGGGCTGTATCGATGTGTTTGCGCGATGGGGTACATTGCTGCTCTAGGTTGTCCGGAAGGCATTCGGCTTTTCGGAGTCATCTAGGGCTACTGAAGCGCTATTAGGTCTAACTAACGGCGGTAGAGATTCGCGGGGGTCTGCTTTCAGACTGCGGGCCAACCGCCAGTAGGCGGTTTGCGATGGCTCGATGTCCACTAGGAGAGTGTCCCACGTTGTATGTTGGTGTTCCGACACACGATCTTTGACTTCTAGCTGAAGGCGTCGAAGTAGGGTTCGGTTCGATTCCGATCGGTATCGGTCGAAAGCGCGTTTGGCTGCATTTTTCTGCCTAATTAGCAGTCGTAGGTCGGGCGGAAAGTTAAACCGTCGGTCGCCCGACAGTTTCACGGTCCGTTCCGAGTGTGCGACTGCAGAAGTGATGGTTTCTCGGAGACTTGCTATCGCTCGATTTGCGTCATCGAATGTAGCTATCGTCTCGGGTAGTTCGTAGTTAGTTCGGTAGTCTCGACTAAGTTCTACACAGGACGGGCCTGTGATCTGAATCTAGTTCATGGATTGTCTCTATCGACTCGATGTCGAGCGAGACCTTGAATAACATGATATCTAGGATACTCGGTGTCGCGTGTTGGTAGTTGTCCACCGTAGGATGCCTAGTGGGAGTCGCAGGAGCGATTATGCTAAAGTTTAAATTATCGGATAAGCTAAAGAGATGCTTTCCGTTGTTATTTGGGATGCTGTGGATGTCATAAGCCGTGTTTGCAATTTAGATCTCCTGCAATTATCACGGAAGGGAATAAGTTGAGTAGCGTATCTAGGTCGCTTTGTAATACGGTTTAGAGGTAGGCTGAGACTAGTACAAGCGGCCTATGGCCGGTGAGCGCTAACCTACACGCGGTTGCCTCTATATGGCTTAGCTCTGGAATGTCCAGCGGGCTACAGTGCAAGGACCGTTTGTAATAGATTAAGGTGCCTCCCAGACGGTTTGCTAACCGGTCGTGGCGGATTATGTTGTAGTTTGCGATTCTGGGATCGCGAACACTAGGTTTTAAGAAGGTCTCTTGCACTAGAAAAATATCTACATTAAATTCACGAAGTAAATCTGCGATTTCGTCCCTTTGACCATTAATGCCGTTTGCGTTGAAATACGAAACAACCAGAGCCCGAGCTTTTGTTCTACCTGCGGTTGTACTTCCCATTAAAGTTTTTTATCAGTTCTAACTAACGACGCGGCGGAGCGCAGTAATATTGCGCGGACTATTAAGTTTATGGTTGGCTTGTAAATGCCCAGAGGGCTTCTACAAGCATTTTATGTTCGCTTATCTCTGCAGTTGGAGCCTTGGAGCTAACCCTGGAGAGCATGGTGCCCATTTAGGAGTAAGCGGTTTAAATTTGTCTAAATTGTTATTTTTAAATTATTTTTTAAAGAAATGTTTTTTAATCCTTGTTTTCTTTAAAAATATTTAACAATTTTTCGATAGTAATAAAATTAATATAATGTTTCCTTATTATACTTATTTCTTTCTTTTCAATACTATTTCGTTTCTCAATAGCGTCGGGGTTCTTCTTATTATGTATACAAATACATTGCTATTTCGAAAAAAAAAAAACAAAGTAGCAATTCTGCTGTGAAATCGATGTAGTCGATCTTATGACCCACTGATTATTTTGTTTGCTTTTTTTTTAAATAATATCGAAGGCTTTTATAATATAAAAAGTCTTCTTTCTCCTGCCCCTATCCTACACTAGGTGAGGTGGGCACATCATGTCTATCATTTATTTTCGGAACCATGTTTTTATTTAAGTTACCGACATTATTTTTATGACCGGCCGCCTGCCTGACGTCAACCCTCAAGTCGAGCCAGATCACAGATTTGTAGGTCGATTCTAAGATCATTTCTAGTCGATTTGATCGACCTGGAAAAAAGCAAATCGTATCGTATCATCGTCATCGCTATTGCAGAGACAGACCATAGATTTTACCTGTGTCAAATAAAGTTTACCGCCAACTTTTTAATGAATTGACTTGCTGTCTAATTAATTCGCTTGTGTTTACAATTAATATTATGGTTTTACAAAATACTGGGAGGTTTAGAGCGGATAAAGGTGAAAACAAAAAAGACGCTGGTTCGTCTTCCCTCCCTAGGTACATCTAGCATATTATAAACTTTAAAAATTAATCGGACGCAATAAATTTTTGATTTGTTTTTATTATTCATTTTAGAGAAGAATCTTCAGAGTCACGAATTCGTGTTGCCGTAGAAAATGATAGAATTGACTCAAAATATGGATTTGAAAGAGTGCGTGATAATAAGGAACGTACAGGCTACCTTATTAACATGCATACTGTAAGTATAGTAATGTATAACAATTCATTAAAAAAATCACGTACCTGTACTCCTATTTTAAATGGACTCTGTTATTGATTTTGAAAAGTGATAAACATTTTGTTAATGATAATATGTTGGCTATATTTAAGTATTATCTAACCATGTTCTTACACTACTGCTTAAAGAAAATCTTTAATTTATTTTGCATCTTGTCGGCACCGGTATTTATATGAATTGAAGTAAGGGCTGCCACCTATTTCTGAAGAAAACAAAGTCCTTTTTTTTTAAGTGATGAAAATATAGTACACTAGCTGACCCGGCAAACATTGTTTTGCCATATAAATTATTTGAAGGGTAGAAAAAAATGTTTGGGGTGGACCACCCTTAACATTTAGGGGGATGAAAAATAGATGTTATGTGTTTCTCCACCCTGGTTAATATGCACCCAAAATTTCACTAAAATTGGTCACGCTGTTTCGGAGGAACACTGTGACATGACAATTTTATATATTAGATTGGCTAAAGTATAGTACAATATTATACAGCGTGTCGTTACCATCGCGACAATAAATTAACACACGTCTAACGCTACTTGCCAATAATCATAAAAAATATTAATGTTAAACAAAATCCATAATTAAAAAAATATATATTTTCAAACAAACTAATTAAGTAAAAACGAAACAAAATTTGTAACCTCCTATACAAATCGCGCCACAGCGTCTCATTACAAGCCTCTCCTTCTAACAGTATGTTTTGTCTCTTTTAACTTCATTCAACCTATTCATATGCTTTGTGACCTTTACAAATGAACTTTACGTTACAGTTTTATACGTAAGGATGTTCTAAAATAGTTTGTTTTGGAAAATTTAATTACTCCGTAAATATTGATGTTTAAAGAATGTAAATGCGTAATACAATTTTAAAAACTTATCCTCTATATATGTGTTCATTTATTGTCGCTGTGGTAACAACATGCTGTATATTATAGTATGGGTAGTAAGCCTTACTATATCCTTAGTGAAAAGATCAAGTTTTAATTTTATTTATTCTGTAAAAAGTGATCATTTTTGAAAAATTTATTTTGTACAATAATCATGGGTCCATAATGTAAACTGTCGTAACATTTTTATAATTATTTTTAATTCAAGGCCGAGATATTGGATGAAGATAAAAGACTTGTGGCTGCAATGGATTACTATTTCATTGAAATGGATGGCTCCAGGTTTAAGGTTTCTCTTATGTTCCAACCTTACTTCCTCATCTTGTCAAGAAAAGAATGCGAACAAGAAGTTATTCAGTATTTATCAAAAAAGTATGCAGGGACAATTCATAAAATAGACATTGTGGAGAAGGAAGATTTAGATTTGGTATGTTTCTAGTATTTTTAATATACTCAGATAATTTAATATAGTTTAAAATGATTTTACTGTTTTATTTTATATTTATGAATTAAATTGCTGGTGCTAATTCTCCGTTACAAATTTTTGGGTAAAAATTGACGAAATGTTTTCTGCTCCGTGGGATAGGTATTTACATCTTGTGCGGTTAATGCGCCTTGATGCTTCAGCCAACTGTTATTAGGGGCTGCAGACTAATACTAAAAAGAAAATTATCGTCATCATCAGCCATAAGACGTCTATTGTTGAACATAGGCCACAACCAACGACAACCTGCCATTTGCATGATATCGTCGGTAAACCTAGCTAGGGGGAGGCCGTTCAACGTTACATCTTGCGGTTCGTAGCCAAGAACTTTTATTCCCCATCGGTCATCAGTTCTACAAGCGATGTGGCCTGCCCATTACCATTTGACTCTGATTCTTCGGCGAATTTCTTCGTTCCGGATTTTGTCACGCAAAGAAACTTCGAGTATAGCTCTCTTCAGCTTGTTGTGTGACTTTGAGCTTCTCCAAAAGGCAAGCTTTAGAGATCACGTCTCAGTACCATACGTCACCACTGGCAACACTCTTGTCTACATGCACTGCGGAATCTTGGACGAAAAGATACCGCGTGGTGTCCCGAACTCTCCCCATCAGAGTTGGATTCTTCGAGTGACCTCTTTGTCAAAGTTGCACCTCCTTAACTGGACCGTTTGTCCAGAGTAGACATAGTGGTCGACAACTTCGAGTGTTTTGTTACCAACAATAACTTACGGATGCGACGTCGACATTTGAAATGATTTTCGTCTTCTGTCTGAAAGTCAGACCTGCGTTCGAGACGATTCGTAATGATTCTGGAATATAGTTTATATACATGGCTCAGGAGTAAGATGGGTCTATAATTATTCAACAGGGTCTTATCTCCCTTTTTGAAGAAAAACACCATCATGCTTCTATGCCATGCATCTGGCATGGTGTGTAAGGACAGTACTCCAGAGGTGTGCTGACATATACAAAGAAAGGCTTTATATATATTTATTTGCCCTGTTTTGTTGTTCTGCAGTGTGCTCGTGTATGTTATTACGATGTTTTTAATATTTATCGAAAACCTTTTTCTTTATATGATTGTAATCCATGTTGATATTTTCTTATTATTTTTATGTGATTGTACATTACTCCCTTTTTATGCTTGCAGCTTAATCATTTGTCGGGGCTGAAGCAGCGTTATATAAAATTATCATTTATGTCACAAAATGAAATGATGAAGGTAAGAAGGGAGATTTTGACAGCTGTTAAGAAAAACAAGGAGAGAGAGAAGAAAGATGCGATTTATTCTGAAATGTTGACAAATGCTCTGACCAGTGCGGCTGCTATAGAACACGCTAAAAAGACAACTGACCACATGGAGAACATAATCGATATCAGGTATTGCATAGGTACTGCAAGATATTACTAGTAAACTCTCCAGCAAAGATATCTGATAGAAAAAACTTAGAAAAAAACGAAAATATCAATATTGTATAATTTAATAATTCTATGCTGTCGAGCCGTGATAGCTCAGTGTCCGGGCGCTCGCCTTTAATTCAATATACTCGAGCAACCTGAGTTCGATCCCCGGTGCCGGCACCAATGAAGTTTTTAACTTTAAGTGCTGACTTATCACGTGCTCCGCGGTGAAGGAAAACATCGTGAGGAAACCTGCATATTTTTCGAAATAATAACAAAAAAAATATATATTTCGAAAATATGTGAAGTCCGCCAATCCGCAGTGGGGCCGCGTGGTGGACTATGCCCTGATACCCTCTATATAGAGGAGGCCTTTGCCCTGCAGTGGGACATGTATAGGCTGTTACTTTACTTTTTTTTACTTTTATGCTGTCGAGAATCAAGTTAGATTTTGTTTTCGACCGCGTATCAGGTTAAGCAATTTCATCACTGGACGGTGCATTATTATTCAAGGCCCTTTTTCCTAAACTAGTTATTCTCATTCGATGTACAACTTTGTTCACGTCGTCTGAGTCATGATATCTAATCGTTCACATAAAAAAGGGCTCTCATCCTTCCTAAAGTCGAGTGTCCCTCGAGACTCGTTTCTCTCACCTCTGGTCTTAACGCGATACACGAGCATTGCTGAAAGAGCGTGAAAGTGTAGCGCTAAGCCTTAAATATGATCGACGCAAATTTTTCACTTGAAAGTGTTCACTTATTAAAGCTAGCCAGATGTTGGTGACAGTGGTTGGTTTCTCTTTGAAACCAACCACTGTGTACACAATGAACAACTTTCGCCTTCCAAGATGACTCTCGCCACACCCCGCAAATTTATTAACACCGTGTAAGGTTGGGTACAAACAGATCAGTTTTTAAATAAATTCTTATTTATTAAAAATAAAGTTTTTCCAATTGGGTTCGATTCCCACACGAGACAACTATTTATACGACCTACAGATAATTGTTTCGGATCTGGGTGTTAGTCCACGTGAAATTTATATGCGTAAAACGTCCTCACAGCTCAGGATATTATCTTACAGTAAAGGGGCAATGTTTTCGCAGGAAAAGCTACAATAGATCTATAAAGGTCGCAACGGTCGTTGGCACTTACTAACCAACCGCTTTCACACGGAATACTATCGGAAATTCAATTTATTAAAAGTTAACAATGTTACAGGGAACATGACGTGCCTTACCACGTAAGAGTGTCAATAGACATGAAGATATTTTGTGGCACTTGGTACACGGTGAAAAGCCGAGGTACCGAGACGCCGATATTCACAAAAAGGGACGATATAATCGAGAGGCCCGACCCCATCGTTTTGGCGTTCGACATAGAGACAACGAAACTTCCCCTTAAGTTCCCCGACGCGCAGACGGACCAGATAATGATGATATCGTACATGATCGACGGACAGGGCTATTTAATCACAAACAGAGAAATAATTTCTACTGATGTTGAGGATTTTGAATACACACCAAAGCCAGAGTTTGAAGGGTAAGAAATAAATTCCTTCCTATAAAAAATTTGTAGGAAAATGGACTAAAAGGTTTTCGCTGCTTCGATTATTTGAACCTGCTTCCTCCGGGGGGCGAAATGGTAGTCAAATTTGTGGAAGAGTGTTTGAACGAATTTTTTTTTCTAGTATTTGTTATATGACGGCAGTGTTTCTTTTTGTAGTCTCTCTTTAAATATATATCAAATATATTTACTATATATAATTAAAATAAAGTTACTAGATATTTTTTTAAATGTTATATAATTAAGTAGGTGTGGTTTGCGTTTGTGGTAATGATTAATGTATTTCGTGTTTTAATCATTATACAATACTTTTCAGGCAATTCATAATATTCAATGAGGCAAATGAACTGGCCTTAATACAGAAATTTTTCGACCATATTATGGATATAAAGCCGCACATCTTTGTTACATACAACGGTAATGATTTTTAATGAACAAATTATGACACCGATATTATAGCCCGTATTATGTCCCACTGTTGGTCAAAGGCCCTTATAGAGTTAAGGACATAGAGCACCATGCGACAACACCGCAGATTGGACTTCACATATTATCGTAATAATTGTTTTTATTACTATTTGGAAAATATGCAGACATCGCGATGTTTTCCTTCACCATGAGTAAGTCTAAAAACAAACAAAAAAATAGAAAGAGATATTTCGACGATATGTCAAGGACTGACAATTCGTGCAACAGTGAATGAACTATTTCTTTGCTCAGCGGGGACATAAGTATAAAGGCTGTTTATATAATTTTCATTTAGCACCGATGTTTCTTAACACAGGCGACTTCTTCGATTGGCCGTTCGTGGAGGCGCGCGCGGCCACTGTAGGGCTGGACATGAAGCAGGAGATAGGCTTCAGTAAGGTCACTGCTCGAGACGGCACCTACGCCTGTCGGCCTGCCATGCACATGGACTGCTTGTGGTGAGCTCTTCAACAACATGTTTTTTACCCAAGTAAAATCTTGTTTTATTCGGTGACGCAGTGCCGGCGATCCCGTTCTGTGGATACTAAGGTGATGACAAGGAGACATAATATAATGTCAATATTAGGAGTCGGGAACTGGGAAGGCACAAGTTGGCAACCGAGGAAACACATACTCTTAGCCCCTCGTCGATCGAAGCTTCGAAGGGAAGGCTTCAATAAGCCGTTTAGCTTAGTGGCTAGTCAGGGCGCGAAACCCGAAGACGTGGGTTCGATTCCGAGAGCGGCGAAAGACTTTTCGTTCCTTTTTTCAACAAATTTTAAGGCTTCAATAGTTATTGGGACTTCTACTCAATCCCTTCCACACAAATCGTAATCATATTTGAATCACGGGTCGAGAACTGCCTTGTCATGGTGAAACAGAAATTTTGAAGTTATTGAGTTATTAGCTCATTAAAATAATTACGGTCTTTCAGTTTAGTTTATAGGGGACAATGCTCAGATGATGAGATTCATTTACAGTTATTCCTCCACTTTTTATCCATTAATAAAAATTTGCATTGATTTAAACTTACTAAACTCTTGTTTCGCCAGGGAATAAAAACATTAAGACTGAAATTATATTATTAAGAAATCTTCTTCTTTAACTAATTCATAACTAATAAATAATAAAAGAATGTTCACAATGAACTCTGCTATAATATGCTACGGCGGACTATGCCCCAAAAATCTCTACAGAAGAAGCCTTTGCCCAGCAGTGACATAATATGTATAGGGCCTTATTATACTTTTTGTGGCCTTAATTCTCATTGTATATTTATTATTTTCAGTTGGGTTAAACGGGACTCATATCTGCCAGTGGGCTCGCAGGGATTGAAGGCGGTGGCGAAGGCGAAGCTGAGATACGACCCCGTCGAGTTGGACCCCGAGGACATGTGCAGGATGGCGGCAGAGCAACCGCAGGTATTTCAAGATAGTAATAATTTTCGCACAATTTTTGACACAGCATTATCTAGTAATGTTAAGCTAAGTAAAGATAGTACTATGGGTAACTGATAAACAGCCTCAGACATCCTTTGCTTTCATCACACAAAACTTTACGAGTAGTGTGAATCACACCATCTGGTTCGGGATCTTCGGGCAAGAGGCAGGTTCGGGATCTTTGTCCCTTCAGGTCTTAGTCCAGTCAGGTGATCGAATTGTTATCCTAAAATTAATGAAAACATCCAAACACATTAACGCTGCAGAACCTAAAGATAGTAATCATCTTCCGCATTGATTATATGAAAAAGAATAAAACAGTTGAAAAGCTGGGTTAAATATCTAATGAGTATATAGGTGTGTTGCGAGTGTTAGTAGCCACGGCAGTTATTAATGAAAGTAAACGCGAAAACATCGAAATAGGAGGAAATTTCACTGGCCAGTGCTAAAATTTTAATAAACCTCGGATGTATGTTATTATTCTGTTGCAGGTGCTGTCCAACTACTCTGTGTCCGACGCCGTGGCAACCTACTATTTGTACATGAAGTATGTCCATCCGTTCATTTTCGCGCTCTGCACCATCATTCCATTGGAGCCAGACGAGGTAATGTAAATAATCTAAATCAATTCTTTTTTTATGTATGTAAAACGTCCTTACAAGACGAAGGCTGTTATCCTACAGTAAGGGATCAATGTTTTCGAAGGGATGACGACTCTAGATCTAAGTCGCAGAGGTCATTGGGACTTACTACCCAAACCCTTCCACACAAAATGCAGTACAATACGCGATTGCCACAGTTTTCCTCGACCTTGTTCCAGGTCCTCCGCAAGGGGTCGGGCACGCTGTGCGAGTCGCTGCTCATGGTGGAGGCGTTCCACGCGAACATCGTCTTCCCCAACAAGCAGGTGGAGGAGCTGAACAAGCTGACGGCGGACGGCCATGTGCTGGAGTCGGAGACCTACGTCGGCGGACACGTGGAGGCCTTAGAGTCTGGTAACCTAACTATCCAAACCACTCATTATCATCCTACCCTCAACCCATCTAATGGGGTCGGTCCAATATGTGAATCATGTTGTAACTGGCCTTGGCTAGGTTTTTCATGACCGTCCACCTGCTTGTCGTCAACCCACTTAAGAAAATTTTTCAATGCCGGTGTTTCACAAGGCTGCGTACTATTTCCTACTCTGTTTTTTCTGTATAGGAATGATATATTGGAAATCAGCAACATAATTTTTTTTTTACATTTTCGGTTCGGCCCGGCCTAGTTGGAATAAGAATAGCAGGAAGAGAAGTATAATTTTAAATATGTTAAAACTTTACCTTCACTATCTTATTGATTATTTGATGGGAATATTTCTCCACCCTGGAGATGATCTAGAAAAATAGTATCTGAATAATAACAGCACCCGACCATCGATCGATATTGTAATTCATGTCGCTAAGCTTTTATAGTTGAGAGAAAATTATAGTTTTTGTACCAAATAATTCAAATTAGTTTTTAAATATAACTATATACAAATATGGAAGTTATAAAGTATGTAATTATTCGCAATTAAGGTTAATAAAGGCTCAGAGACTTTAATTAGCACATAACTAGATTTCGTTACCTAACGAAGAATGTTCCATGTTAGAAAATGACTCTATTTTTTTTTTCAGGCGTATTTCGTGCGGACATCAAATGCAAGTTCCGTATCGTGCCTTCCGCCGTTGACAAACTCATAGAGACGACCGAAAAGACAATGAAGCACGCCATAGAAGTCGAAGAGGGCATCCCTTTGGAGCTGGTGACCAACTTTGACGAGGTCTGCGCCGAGATCAAGTCCAAGCTGCAGCACATGAAGGACCATCCTCGGAGGGACGAGAACCCGCTCATTTACCATTTGGATGTCGGCGCTATGTACCCGAACATTATATTAACTAACAGGTTTCTACTTTCCTCATATAAAAGTAAAGTAGAGTAACAGCCTATACATGTCCCACTGCTGGGCAAAGGCCTCCTCTGCACAGAGGGTATCAGGTCATAGTCCACCACGCGGCCCCACTGCGGATTGGCGGACTTCACATATCTTCGAAAAATATTTTTTTTTGTTATTATTTCGAAAATATGCAGGTTTCCTCACGATGTTTTCCTTCACCGCGGAGCACGTGATAAGTCAGCACTTAAAGTTAAAAACTTCATAGGTGCCGGCACCGGGGATCGAACTCAGGTTGCTCGAGTATATTGAATTAAAGGCGAGCCACCGGACACTGAGCTATCACGGCTCGTTTCCTCATATACCATATGTTTATATAGAGTATACTTTCAAAATCGTTCCTTTCTTGTAAAATTAATAACAATATCTAAAAATATTTACATTTCATGAGTCTTGTTTTCGTGTAGGCACGTTTCGTGTAGTTTTCTACTGCCTGTTTACTTAGTTACTATCTCTTGAAATAAAAAAAAAACATAATATGCATCTTGTATACATACAACACATCTACAAAAATAATACTTAGCCAGATTCCAGTCGATATTACACAATATTTATAGTTGATAAACTCAATACCCCAGTCAGATAGACTACCAGCGTAGCGCGACACGCGAATCAGCCGCGAGTTTTAGGCGTCGTTCGTTTTTAGTCGACACGTCAGATTTAAAGACCATTTAAATTTAATACCAATTAAATATAATAATAATGTAATATAAACGTGATACACAAGTCAGATTGGCGACCAGCTTAGCGCGACACGCGAATCAGTCTCCAGAGCTCGGCGCTAAAGGTCAAGTGCGAATGGTGTTGCAGGCTGCAGCCGTCGGCCATGGTGAGCGCGGGCGAGTGCGCTGTGTGCGACTTCAACCGGCCGGGGGCCGAGTGCCAGCGGCGCATGGACTGGATGTGGCGCGGGGAGTACCGTGAGCATCTTCGCTAGATGTACTCCAGTGAACGGAGTTCGAATCCCAAGCACTGGAATTGTTAATTTACGTGCTGACTTATCACGCGCTCAGCGGTGAAGGAAAATGTCGAGAGGAAACGTCACAGACTTATAAAGATAAGCAGACTTAACACTAACTCACAAACACATGGTTAGGAATAATTTAATATCTTCACACCTTTTACTCTGATTAAAAGTCCAATAATGTTATCTCTTTCTTCCTGCTGTGGAAACATGAACACAAACATAGATAAAATTGTAATGAAGCAATCGCCATCTTGTTAAGCTGCAAATAAGCGACATATGGCGTCGAAAACAAATAGCAAGTGTTTTCTTTTGCGTTTATTTTCTGCGAATTGTTGTTCTTACGTCTTAAAAGTGAAAGAGGATGGTGAAGTGCAGTGCTCCTTTGTGCGGCAACGCAACTTATAAGAAAACAGCTGAAATTTCTTTCCATCGGTTAGTATTTAGTGCGTTTTATTAATTTCCGTATGATCATAGAGATATTTTTTTGTTAATGGCTAAATAGGTTAAAGCTATTAGTAATTGCCACGCTGTAAACTACTACTATAGAGATTTTCTTTCGATTTACATTCTTTAATTGACTAATTTAACACCTGGGACTCTCTGTTTGACGTTTTATCTACTTGCATGTTTTGATGGGCCGCATTCAGTAATTTTTAATTTTATTTCAATAATTTTTAATAATGTATTTAGTTATTTATGACTGGGATCTCGGATGTATGCTTATCACATTTATTGCGCAGGTTTCCAAAGGATGAAAATATAAAACTTGCGTGGTTGAGCAACATAAAGAGACCAGACTGGCAGCCCACATCAGCTAGTGTGCTATGCTCCAAGCATTTTGAAGCATCCTTAATAGATAAAAACGGATTTCGAACGGTGCTTGCTCCAGGAGCCATTCCAACAATCTTTGATCTGGTGCAAGACGTGAGTATTTTTCATTGTTTTTAATTGAGGTTAAAAATTACTGCATTTTATAAGTATTATATTGATTTTCAGAATTAGTTAGATACTTAATAAAAATTTGATAAATGGTTAGATACTACCTAGATACTTATAAAATACTTAAGTAATTCTGGAATATCATGGCCATAGTCTTAATCTAATAAATATGAAACATTAATATTGGTGGGACTCGGTAAAGTAATGCTGAATGTTTATTAAAAATACTTAAAGAGTGCCAGAGCATAACAATTAAATACACATACACTGAATAAAAGTACAATTTGTTAGAGATGCTTTCCTCACAAATGTGGTTTATTTTGTAAGCTAAAAAGCTTTTAATTAAGTTTATTTTGTAACAAGTTCCCAATTACTCAGGTATCATGAAATGAGTAAATTGTTGCTGATTGAACTGCACCTTGCTAAGATTAATATATCTGCTTTATGATTTTTTTTTATTATTATTTTGAAAATATCCAGGTTTCCTCACGATGTTTTCCTTTACCACTCAGCACGTGATAATTCAGCATTTGAAATTATAAATTTCATTGGTGCCGGCATATAGTAATTAGAAACCTTTTCATTTTTAGATTATGCCTACTTCAACAATTACAAACGAAGGACAGATTCTGCGAGAAATTCAAAACATACAGCATGGTGTGTCTAGTACAGTCCCGAATTACGTAAGTAAATTTCTCGCAGTCTTTATGTCTGATGTTTTTTTTTTGTAGTAATTTCTATTTATATTATTATTATGTCACACTCTGAAATATTATTCATAATGTATAATGAACCTACGATAATTTACTTATCTCAAAAATACTTCATGTACTTCCTAACCTTTTTTGAATTGATACATTTTTAAAGTGATAGAGTAAACAAAGGAGTAGATGTGCCACCTGATAGTAGATGGTCACCAATGTCAATTTCTATCCCAATAGGAACAACAACCTGGGTCACAAACTAGCAATTATCGGATCGAACCCACGACCCCGAAGCTGAAGCCAATACCTTGGCAACTGCGTCGCGGAGTCATCACGATTTTATGGTAAAGTCCTGTAAGGTGGAGAGAAGCCATTCTTTAAAGACTTATCTCTTTCATTACAACATGGTTATATGTAACATTAAAGATAAAAAAGTAGTAAGTTATTTCTTGACTTTCAGGATGAAGACAATCATAGAAAAGAAGAAGAAATAAGAAAAATGAAATATAAAGCCGTCCTCAAAAATAAAAAGATAAAAGCACTGAGACAACAGAATAGACGGCTTAAGAATAAAGTCTCAAAGTTCTCTGAAATAATATCCAGCCTGAAAGAAAAATTAAATCAGGATGAACTTCATATAATTTCGGGAATTAATATAAAAAACAAAGATTTCCTTGTTAGATATTTGAAAAAAGCAAAAAGTTCCACTGTGAGTAAAGTATTTTCACCAGAATTGAGAGCTTTTGCTCTGCAATTAAATTTCTACTCGCCCAGAGCGTATAATTTTGTTCGAACTTCCTTCAACACAGTTTTACCTCACCCAGCCACATTGTCACGCTGGTACAAAAAAGTTGACGCTGAACCAGGTTTTACCGGCGAAAGCTTCGAAACTTTAGAGGCATTAGCTAAACAAAGCAAACATGAAGTGTTTGTAAATTTAAGTTTGGACGAAATGGCTATCAGGAAAGGATTAGTCTGGGACGGAACTGAAAATAAGTTTAAAGGCTATGTCGCTACTGGCACAAATGTCTTCGACGATAGTTTGCCTTTAGCCACTCAGGCGTTAGTAATATTAGTGACGGCAATAAACTTTAATTGGATACTTCCAATTGGCTATTTTTTTATAAACTCTATGACGGGCGAACAACGCTCAAATATAGTCAAAATGGCAATTGTAATGTTATTTGACATTAATATTTTTGTATGTGGCTTAACGTTTGATGGTGCTGCGTCCAATATCGCTATGGCGACTCATTTAGGATGTGATTTCAATTTAAAACATTTCTATCCATTCTTTATGTTTAAGGGTAGAAGAATACATGTTTTTTATGACCCTTGCCATATGATAAAACTCATACGAAACACCTTAGGCGAATTTGGTAGTTTAATCGATCAAGACGGTGACGTGATAAATTTTAAATATCTCAGTCAATTGATGGAACTTCAAACCGAAAAAGGATTGCATTTAGCCAATAAATTAAAACAAGCTCATATTCTGTTCGCAAAACAAAAAATGAAAGTGCGTTTGGCGGTGCAGTTATTCAGTAGATCAGTTACCGACGTACTTTCTTTTTGTGAAGATAATTTTGACGAATTTAAAGGGGCTAAAGCAACGATAAAATTTATTTATATCATAAACGACTCTTTCGATATTTTTAAATAGTCGGTCCACACTTGCGCCGGGACACAAAAAAGCTTTGTGTAGTGGTAATATTGAAATGGCAAAAGGGCTAATTGCTACTTGGCAGGAATACATCATGAATTTAAAATTACCGAACAGAAATTTAATTGTTAATTCGGCTCGCAAAACGGGGTTTGTGGGTTTTATTGTGAGCTTACGTAGTGCTCTTAATTTGTACGAGGACTTAGTGTGCAAAGGAAAATTAAAATTTCTGCCAGTTTATAAAATAAGTCAGGATTTCTTAGAAATGTTCTTTGGAAAAATGAGGGCTAGGGGTGGATTTAATGATAACCCTAACGTTGTTCAATTTAGAACTGCTTATAAAAAAAAACATTATACGAATAAAATTTAAAATGGAAGGAGATGGCTTCACCATTCCAAATATAATTTTAAAAACAAGTTCTAGCAAAAAAGTTGTAGATATTGTTAACGATACCACACCTAGTTTCGAAAAAAATTTAATGCAACTTCACAATATAAACGAAGAACACATCAATTGTTTTCTTGAAAATATTGTTTCAAACCCCTTGGATGTGTATGCTCACCATGTGACTATTTACATATCTGGTTTTATAGCTAGAAAAGTAATTAAAGTTATAAATTGTTATAAATGTCAAATGTTAATGGTAGGAGAAAAAGAAAATTTCTTTACATCGTTAATTAATAAAAAAGATAGGGGAGGTTTAACGTATCCGTCTAATGGTCTTATAAAAATAGTTCAATTGTGTGAAAAATTCTTAAATGTTCAAGGGAAATATAAATTACACAAGTCTGATTACATATATAGCTGATTCCTCAAATTACTATTCAGATTTAAAAACGAATGACGAACATGATTTTAATCACTTGTATTTATTAGTAAGTGTAATTGTTAAGAATTACATTGATTTAAGGATGAAGCATGATGCTAAACAAAGCAATCTTTCTGACCGGAATTATCTGAAAAAAATTATTTTGTTTAAAAATAAATGATTCTTGAATACTTCTGTTTTTTATTCAACTCCATCCAATTACATTTGTAGGTTGGTAAATATTAATTACGTGCAATTTGATAACTAGTATTTTCGATAAACACAACCAAATTTGTAGTCTCTAATTAGATACAATCAGTATAGAGGTTGTGTTGTGTCTTAATATAAGTACCAAGGGTATAGCGAGTAGTTTTATCGTAATTCTGTGTCCGCATGACAAATATTCGGCGCGATTTGATGACTATTTATAAATCAAATTACGATAGTAAGTTGGTAATCAGAAGTAACAATACTATATAAAAAAGTGAAGTGATAATTGTACATTGTAATTACTTTAGAAAAAAAAAAAAGAAATAATTTAGAATTTTGCAGTGTTAAAGAAATAAAATATCAATAATTTATCCATTAAAGTCCCCGAATCCGGCCCTTTGAATTTTATCAGTGTGCGTGAAATAAGCATGTGGGTGTATTTGGCACGCTTTTTTAGTCATATGTTAGGTCTGCTTCTCTTTATAAGTCTGTGGGAAACGTTCATATTTTAGAAATAAATAAAAGTATTTCGAAAATATGTGAAGTGCGCCAATCCGCAGTGGGGTGGTTGGATGCTCTAATACCCTCTGTACAGAGGCCTTTGCCCAGCAGTGGGTCATTTATATAGGCTGTTACTTTAATTTACTTTTACATTTTTACTCGTTCTCTTGTCCCAACGCAACGCACACACGACAAGATGTGAATCATGTTGTTAATGGCATTAACAACATGATGACAACGGCCGCCTACCTGATGTCAACTCTCCTTGGAACTCACCCAAATCTGTAACAATTATCCGTAGTTTGTACAAATACTTATCCCATGTAAGAGTCGAAGTCGGGAATACAAAACTGAGATCGCCAGGCGATTATGAACTAACAACCCGTGGCGAACGAAGTCTGTAGCTTAGCGATTATCCAACCGAGCAATTAAGGCCTCATTATTTTAATCATTATCTTTCCGCTCATTGGCGTTATTTCAGTGTTTATATTAATAAATAATATTAATAACGTTCATTATAACGATTTTAACGTCATATACTCTGCACTCGCTAATATGTATCTTCAATTTCCTTATTAATTTTCATACTCTGCACTCGCTAATATGTATCTTCAATTTCCTTATTAATTTTCATAATTATTTCTTACACATTTATTTGGCCTCCATAATTAAAAGTCCTCTCCATTTTATATAAATGTACATATTACCACTCTGAAGTATTATTGTTCTTTCAGTGCCAGCGACAAGGAGCGAGTATCAACGTATACAGCAGCAATTGGAGACTGAAAAGTTTCCACCTCTGCATCCCGGTGGTCCTCAGAGAGCCTTCCACTCCCTGCCCAAGGAAGACCAGGTAGATTAACGTAGATATAACATATACGAAACAAAATGAATTTCTTAAAACAAATCTAAGAAATTTATAAATGTCAACGAGTCCTCTCTTCTACTTTTATACAAAATTAAAAACAAAGTGAGGACCATTTCTAATTTACATTGCATGTTTCTTGTATAATTGTATTATACTGACAGAGTTTCAACACGATGTCTCAATTAAAAAAAATACTTTAAATATTTAATCCTCAGGCGGCGTACGAAAAAAAACGTCTAGCGGATTATTGCAAGGTTGCGTACAAAAAAACGAAGGTGACTAGAACCGAGGTCAGAACTACGACCGTTTGCCAAAAGGAGAACTCTTTCTACGTCGATACCGTACGAGCGTTCAGGTAAGAGCTTTGAACGACTCCTCTGAACACTGAAGTTTCATGTGACAGACATGTTTTCAATGATGTGTATAATACTTGACAGTGTCGAGTCTTGCGGCCAATTACTAATTCAAATAAGTTTGTTTGAGGACTCGATTGGCGTAGTGGATAGAGAAATTGTCTCCTGTCGGGCAGGTCCGTCCGGGGCATTACCCCAGAAGACCGGCGTGCAATGGAAGTGTTATATATTACTCTACGTTTCGTCGTTAAGGTAATCGGGGCCCCACTCTATCAAAAGCTGGCAACGCATCTGCAAACCTACGAGTGTAGCAAATGTGCATAGAGAAGATATGTGAAGTCCTTCGCTTTCCATCGTCTTACATTAAAGAAGCCGTGTATATATAAATGTTACAGGGACCGCCGCTACGAGTACAAGGCGCTGAACAAGCAGGCCAAGGCGGCGGTGGCGGCCGCGCTCAAGGGCGGTGACGCGGCCGACGTCAAGAGCGCCAAGAGCCGCGAGGTGCTCTACGACTCGCTGCAGCTCGCGCACAAGTGCATCCTCAACTCCTTCTACGGCTACGTCATGCGGCGCGGGTACGCTACGGCCTACGCCGAAAACACTCGTTCGGCAGGCTTCATTCGATGGAAGCGCCTTCTTGCCTTCGGCATCGATCCAAATTAATCTCCAACAGAATGTCAAAGGATTGTGAAAGGTTGAGATTTGTGAGACGCACGTGGCATTTTTTAACATAATTGACGTGAGAGTGATGTATTTAAAATACTCCACAATAGCTGGTTGAAATGGGACGTTTATTAAAAATATCTCTAACAGAAAGCGATGACTCGATGTGGCGCGGTTCCTAAACGGTGGCTTCGGTGCAAAGATCAGTGCCGAAATGCGCCTCCCACACGGGACAAATGTGTGATCTACAGATGCTCATTCCGGATGTAGGTTTATTCCCAAGGAGCGTTACATCAGACAGGCGGCTGTCATAAAAAGCCATAATCATAAACAACATGATTCACGTGTCGTGCCGACCGCACCTAGGGGGATTAAGGACAGGAGAAAGGATAGGATCTCTAAAGCGTATCTTTAAGAGGCATTGAGCATATTGTCGAACTAAGTTGATTGTAGATAGTATTGCTCAGTTATCAATAGTGAAGGTTAATAAAGGTGTTTCATCGCAGAGCTCGCTGGCACAGCATGGAGATGGCAGGCATCGTGTGCTACACGGGCGCAAACATCATTATGCGAGCGCGCGAGATAATCGAACAGGTCGGCCGACCGCTCGAGCTTGACACGGACGGTACATAATTATCATTTTTGTTATCAAACGAAATGTTTATATCATCAACTACATAAATTTAAAACTAAAAAATTTAAACGGGAAGAGTATAATCTCTCTCGGTTAATTATTTTCATTACATTTTGGCACAAAGAGTATAATAATAAAATTAATGTTGGTTATGTTTAGGTATTTGGTGCGTTTTGCCGTCTTCCTTCCCCGAGAACGTTACAATCACGACTACGCATCAGAAGAAAAAGAAAATCAACGTGTCATATCCGAACGCCGTCCTCAACGCTATGGTTAAGGTATGGTAATAGTTATTTCGCCACAGAGAATCTTCTACTATTGTACTCACAGAAGAATGGCGTGAAACTGAGAAAGAAACAGTTAACGATTGGCAACACAGACGGGAAGTCTGCCGTCTTAATTTGGTTATGTCTATAATGTTTTAATATATAATTATTTTGATGACTCCGTGACGCAGTCGCCAAGGTATTGACTACGGCGGCGGGAGGTCGTGGGTTCGATTCCCATACGGAACATGTATTTGTGTAACCCACAGATAGTTATTTCGCATCCGGGTGTTTGTCCAGGTGAAATTTGTATTTGTAAAATGTCCTTACAATACAAGATAATGTTATCCCAAAGTAAGGGTAATGTTTCAACAAATATATATGTATTGCAATTCGATACAGGACTACTTCACGAACGACCAGTACTACGAATTGAAGGACCCCCAGACTAAGACATACGAGCAGCGCGCCGAGAACTCCATTTTCTTCGAAGTGGACGGGCCCTACCTGGCGATGGTGCTGCCCGCCTCCAAGGAGGAGGGGAAGAAGCTGAAGAAGCGTTATGCGGTCTTCAACTTCGACGGGTCCTTGGCTGAATTGAAAGGTGACATATCGTACTAAACGTAATGTCGCAACGAAGACATCCGCAGTAGAACAAAGGAAACCGACGTAGCTCAGAGGGTTAGTAAGCTGAAGTGGCGATAGGCCGGCTGCTGTGGTGGTAAGGTTCTCGAGTGGCAGCCACGAATTGGCTATTGCAGTGTGGGACGACCCCCCACTTGATGGAGTGATGACTTGTGCGAATATGCGGGAAGTCGATGCAGGTAGCTGAGGATCGTGCTTCGTGGCAGTTTGTGGGGGAGGCCTATGTTCACCAGTTGACTCAAACAGGCTGAAATGATGATGACGATGATGATATCCTACTAAGTATCAAAACCTTTCTGTAGACCGTCAGTAGTTTGTAAATATATAAATCGCAGGTTTCGAAGTGAAACGGCGCGGCGAGCTGCAGCTAATAAAGATCTTCCAGTCGTCGGTGTTCGAGGCCTTCCTGAAGGGGAACGACCTGAAGTCGTGCTACGGCGCGGTGGCCAAAGTGGCCGACTACTGGCTGGACGTGCTCTACAGCAAGGGCTCCAACATGCCCGACTCGGAGCTGTTCGAGCTGATATCGGAGAACCGCTCCATGTCGAAGAAGCTCGAGGATTACGGCGGCCAGAAGTCCACCTCCATATCGACCGCTAAGCGGCTCGCCGAGTTCCTCGGCGATCAGATGGTCAAGGACGCCGGCTTGGCTTGCAGGTAAGGTTTTAATTTTGATTTTTAGTTCCCGACATTCCGAACCCTTTCCCGCGTTCGTGGTCAAGGGATAGATACGAGATAAAATCCGTAAACTAGTTTCATTTGTGTACATGTATTGTAATATTATTGAGAGTATTGTTTGATAGTACACGCCGCACTCTGAATCGCTGTCTGTATGTGATTGACATGTTCGTGTATAGCTGCGAACAAATTTAATAGTAACTCCGATGTATGCGCGCGGAAACGTCACAGCTACTGATATTGTTTGCAGCTGCGGAAAATGTTTCTAAGCATTTTACTTCACGATGTATTTTTTCACTGCTGAGCACATGATAAACCAGCATTTAAAATTAACGTTTTAATTGGTGCCTGCGCCGGAGATCACACCCAGGTCGCTCGAGAGAACTTGAACGAGAGAACCCGGAGACTGAGCTTCACGGCACTAAATTGAACTTTCCCACCTATTTTCCTATGAGCTTTATATTACCAATACCATACCCAAAGGGTAAAACGGGACCTTGTTATTAATACTCTGCTATCTGTCGGTCGGCCTGTCCGTCTGCCTTTCCGTCTGTCATACAAAGCTGTATCTCATGAACCGTGATAGGTAGTTGGACAGTTGAAATTTTCACAGATGATGTATTTCTGTTGCCGCTATAAAAACAGATTAAAAATATTTAAGTGGGGCGTAATTGTACGGAACCCCTCGTGCGCAAGTCCGACTCGCACACCGCCGGTTTTCTCAATAGTTGATTCGTTGCCGTGATTTATTTTAGTATCGACGGTGCGCCCCCTCGGCAGGTTCATAATCTCGCGCAAGCCGGAGGGCGCGCCGGTGACGGAGCGCGCCGTGCCGCTGGCCATCTTCCAGTCGCCGGCCGCCGTGAGGCGCCACCACCTGCGCCGCTGGCTCAAGGACTCCAGCCTCAGCGAGCACGTGGACATCCGCGACGTGCTCGACTGGCCCTACTACATCGAGCGGCTCAGCGGCGCCATCCAGAAGATCATCACCATACCGGCGGCCATGCAGGGGGTGAGTGAAGGACAACTCTTCTACAATTTTAATTTGAAAGGCACGAAATAATATGCAAGCAAACCGTGTAGCCCATTCCATAACCCTTCAGCGCTATTTATTACTCTAAAACATTCACAAACAGTTACTCTAAAAGACAATACCAGTTCTACTCGCTTTAAATATATTAAAATATCATTTTTTTTTTCTGTACAATTGGCAAGCGAGTAGGCAGTTCACCTGATGTTAGGTGATTACCGCCGCCAACTACAAAAAAATTGGACACCGGTTATCTCACTCATCAGACCAAACACGGAAGTATATATTTCCTCTTCAAGCCGGTCTTCTGTGAGGCTTTACTTCCCTGGACGAACCTGTTCATTTCTTCCACAGCAGAAGGTGCTATGTGGCCCTACTACTGTTAAATAATTTGACTACGAAGAGACGAAAAATACTTTTTCGTCTCTTCGTATTTAGACTTATATATTATATTCTTATATTCTTTGTGTATATATTATATTTTTATTACAGTTGGATAACCCGGTGCCAAGGGTACAGTATCCGGATTGGTTGCATAAGAAGATGCTAGCGAAGACGGACAAGTACAAAACGAGAAAAATCACTGAAATGTTCAGCGCGAAACCAAAGGCGTCCCTCGAAGATGACAACGAGGCGGGCCCAAGCAAAGACACTTCGATTGTAAATAAAAATTGTTTTAACTTGTATGAATTTACGTAAAATGTCGATTGTCGATAGAAAGTAAAAGTGATTGTAGGAGAGACAGTTAGTTGGTGAAAACTGAACGAGAGTGGTGTTTTATTGTACAGAATTTTGGAAATGGTGCAAGCTTTAAATGGGTTTCAAAGTTTGGTAGTTACAGCGTTCGTCAAAAATATATATTTTATCCTTACTTATGTAAGGGTATTCCTTAGTGTTCATTTCTGTACAATATGTTGATGTCTCTCGAACCTGAGTAGTGGGTTAAAGTAAAAGAAATTGCCCGTCAAGCGAATGAGTTGTAGTCGCTTTGAAGTAGAATCTGACGCGACTTTGGACTGAACAAATGGCAGCAGTAGTGGTAAACTGCACTTAAATTCTGCACCAGTGAGGTTACCAATTCTTGTGTGAAATAAATGTATGTCTCACACGAGTGAGAATTGTAACATACACTCGGAAAAATCTGATATACCATACACAAAGGTAAAACTCATTTCGCTAACTGCTCATCTCATCATCATTAAACCACGCTAAGATTAAAAGGAGCTAAAGCTTGCTGGAGATTTGTCAGTAAATTGTGTAAATATCCGAATAGTTGATGACGTATTTAGTGTTTAACGATTATTTGTAGGCCAATGAAGTAGACATAGAAGACATCGGAAAGAACATAACAGAGAAAAGCCCGATCAGACCGATAGTGCACACGATAAAGAGGAAGCGGGAGGAGTCTCCGACCAAAGAATTCGCCACTTGGAGGGAGGCCTTGGGGCCGCCGCCGCCTTTCGGAAACACTAAGGTGCGGCGGAAACCACTCGTTGTTTAAAGCTATTTTTTTAGCTTTGCAGGAGAAGCATAATTTAAAAATACCTTTTTCCAAGTCTTTTAACGTACTATTTTTTTCTGTCGCCTTCTTTAACTTTAACTGCGCCAAAATTTCTGAACGTCCTCTTCGACCCAGATCTTCAGATGGGTCGTTTTGAGCTATGTGTGAGCGAAAATAATATATAAAGACGTAATGTCTGACATTACGTCTTTATATATTATTTTCTATGTTTCACCACGACCATAAGGCCCGTGGTCGTCATATGGAACGGCTGAAGGAATTTGAACATAGGTATACAATCAGTACCAGCCGATACGAATTTGGGACCTCAAAGAAGAGCGTCTGCCTCAAAGATCGCCAATGCATTTTTTAAGCCCTCTAGTGTTGTAAAAGTCCATTCCATGAGCGGTGAAGATCTCTAACCATCAGGTGACCTGCTTCTCGTTTGCCTCATTTTCCAAAAATACATCTTCAAAATATACAAAAAATACATCTTCGAAGTATTTTTGTATATTTTGCATTTGACTATTATTAAGTATTAGTGTATGTTGATTCGATTTAGAAACTTCGTAACTATGTTCAGAAATTAATATTTGTCTAATTAATATTCAGTTATTATGCTTCATTATTTTATTTTAACAGGAAGAACGCATCGCCTGGATTGTCTTCCAAAAGAAGAAATGGAACTGGCAAATGGAACAAAGGGGTTACAGAAGTCGTACCAAACGTGGTATGATATTTTCCTTAATAAATTGGATTTATTTCTAAATTAATTAATCATATTTAATAGCTTATGTTATGATATATTCTTTCTTGTAGGTAAAATAGACAAGTCTGCACCAGTTATCCCGAAAAGCACAGGGCCTATGAACACGCTGGGTGGCTTCATAAGGCGAGCTCAGCGAACATTGCTGAACACTCCATGGCAAATCATCCAGGTAAAAAACTCCACTGCCAACAAGTGAATTCAAAAAAACAACAACCTTTCTTGTATTTAATTAAATCAGTTTCAAAACTACCTTTTAAATATGTCTGCATTTTGAGTAGTAAATGTTATAGTATGCACTTTTTCCTTATATTTTGAAGTAAAACTTCTTTAAGCGCGACTAAGGGGTTGCTTTTACTTGGGTTACTGAATGTTATGGCCGACGACTATGCAACGGAAACTCGTTTCGGTGATGACTGATGTTTCTCATGTGGTAGGGCTACGCAACAGCCTTCACTGTTGCCCGAATGGGCAGGTCTATCCGGGGAAGTACTACGACCCGACATTAGTCCGGCGTGAAGTGAAAGTGTTACATTAAATTTGTGCGTTTCGTCTGGTGAATGAGGTGACCGGGAGCGACTTTATTTAAAGGAGGCGGCGCATCTGCAACCCTATGGGTGTTTCAAACGTTAATGGGCGGCGGTTATCACTCAACACTAAGTAAACCGCTTGAAAAAGAAAACTCGCGTCATGGGGATGGCCGACAGAAGTGAAAACATAAAACAATATCAAAATTAAAATTAAAATCTATAATATTAAATTACAATTAATCTACATATTTTATGAGGCACTGCGAAAAGTGTTTGTTAAAAATAGCCGACGATGACGGGAGTTGAGGGGCATGACTGTAGTAACGACGTAGTTGAGTAAGGCGCGGTTTCGCGCAGGCGGCGGAGACGTCGGAGCCGGGGCTGTTCCGGCTGTGGGCGCTGGCGGGCGGCGAGCTGCACCAGGTGCGGCTGCGCGTCGAGCGCGTGTTCTACGTGAACCAGCGCGTGGCGCGGCGCGACGAGCGCGGCCCGCACTGGCGCCGCTGCGTGCGCCTGCTGCCCAGGGCGCGCCCCGCGCCCCACCTCTACCGCTACTCCGTGCCCGAGCGGCTCTACCGCGACCACCACGAGTGAGCGCCCCTGGCCTATTCGCTTGAGCCGTAGAGCCGAAATAGCTCAGTGCGGCTCTACAACGTTCAACACGAGTGAGCGCGTCTGCGATTCCATGGACGGCATCTTTGTCTTAGCTGTAGAGCCGAAATAGCTCAATGCAGCTATAACGCGACCACCAAGAGGGAGCGCCCCTGCCGTTCCGCAGGCGGCTTCTTTGTCTTAGCCGTAGAGCCGAAATAGCTCAATGCAGCTATAACGCGACCACCAAGAGGGAGCGCCCCTGCCGTTCCGCAGGCGGCTTCTTTGTCTTAGCCGTAGAGCCGAAATAGCTCAATGCAGCTATAACGCGACCACCAAGAGGGAGCGCCCCTGCCGTTCCGCAGGCGGCTTCTTTGTCTTAGCCGTAGAGCCGAAATAGCTCAATGCAGCTATAACGCGACCACCAAAGGGAGCGCGTCTGCTATTCCACAGACAGCTTTTTTGTCTACGCCGTAGAGCCGTATTAGCTAAGTGCTACTCCGCGGCCAAGCGGCTCTTCCGCGAACACGTAAACGATTCCATGGATGGCTTTGTCCGAGTCGTAATAGCTCAATGCTGGGCATCTCCAGAAATCTCGACTTCATCATTTTATTGCATTTATAGCGATGTTTGGTGCTATCTAGCGTGCATAATTTTCAGTATGAAACATCTCACAAGCAACGTTAAACGATTTAATATTGATGTCGCCTTGCCCTTATTAATTAATCATAACAAAAAACCTGTTAATGTAAAACGTGCTTTGATTACAACAACCACACGATATTAAATAAACATAACAATTCGTTTCATTGCTTATTGGTCTCATGATGTCTCTTTAATTTTACAGAGAATTAATGGGAGAACTGTCCGCTCCGGAGATTGAGGGAATTTACGAAACCCAGATGAGTCTTGAATTCCGAGTACTCGTCACGCTGGGCTGTATCTGCGTAGTGGATCCGCAAGAGGCGAAAAAGTAAGAGAAAATCGATATTTCTTTCGCTTGTGTTTTCTTAATGTTTCTTACCGAACTCCGTCATTTTGTACTGGGTATAGCTCCCATTGGTCCAGTGGTGGATTTACAAATTTGCCGCCAATAGTGCAACTTTCAACTTTCGCCGCCCCTACTGACCTTTGAAATTCGCAATCATAATAATTAATCTATTGTATCAATAAAAATCCAACTTAATGATTTGTGCTCTATCATCTTGAATACATCAGTTTTTTCTAGTTATTAGTATGATTTTGAACTAGGGGTTTGTTGTCAGTTTTTAGATTATTTTTACAACCCACAATTTAGGGTAGATTTCTTAATTAAAAAAAGCTCAATCATGTTGTAATAATAAGGTGGGGTAAGGTATGCCTTAAACATATTTTTATTGTATTGTGTGTTAACTGAGTTACAATAATGACATTGTTTGTCACTGACAACATTTAAATTTTTATTTTTAGGTTAATTCAAATGGGTTCGAACAATGTGGATACTTTCAATTTGAGCCAGCTTCAATTTAAAAGCGTCGCTCATCAACCGTATTTGGCAAAACAGGTAGTTACTGTTTGGAATTTTATGTTTACTACTGTGAAAAATGTTCATGGTAGTAATAAAAAGGCAAATTTACTTTCCACAGGGTGGAGTCTCACCTGTAAAGCATATATTCTTCTATCAACACTCGGCTTTGAACTCAAACCGCAGCATGTGGTCTTTGATAATGGGTCCCACTAAGAAGGCATATATATTCGTGCTGGACACTGTAAAGACCAATCAGGTGCCTAATATGAACACACTGTTTACTGCTGAACGGGCGGCAAAGTAAGTATGACATCTGCTTACAATTAGAAACAAAAAATATTACTTATTTGTGTATGTAATTACCACTTAATTTTGTTTAATTACGGCCTAAAATTTGGTATCGTCTTTATTGTTTCTGGGCCAAGAGCATGGCATTCCAGGCATTGTTGGAAATAAAATTTCGGGAACCGAAAGGTCAAAACAGAAAAATTGAATAATAGTGATTTTAATTAATTTTAATTTGAAAATGTATTTATTTAAGAAGTGGAATGAAAATTGTTGATGTTCACATTATACATTGTAAATATTGTCAATTTCGTACATAATTGGCTAGTTAATATATATTAGTGTTTTTCGAAAAAGATCGACTGACACTAACAAGTTAAGTAAACTGTTATAAGTGAATAATTATAAGTTCTAAAAAAACGTCATGAATAAATGTAATTTCGAAAATGGTAAGTTAGCACTTATAACGAAACATTCAATATGTTCCCAAATTGCAACTCGAGTCGATCTACCTAAATATATAGATAGATCTGTAGACATGCAGGATAGATGTGTAGACATTCAGACGAGAATAATGAGTCTGTTTATATTCGATTTCAGGATGAAACTGGGCACGGCGGAGAGCGAGCTGCCCGACGCGGAGCTGACGTGGGAGGTGCAGGTGGAGAGCGAGGCGCGCGCGGTGTGGCGCGGCGTGGGGCGAGCGCTGCAGCGCTACCGCGACGAGCGCTGCGGCGCCACACTGGTCGCCATGCAGACGGCGCTCTCGCCGGCGGCGCTGCTCGCACTCGTGCCCGGTACAGCCTCGCTTACTCGACTCGAATCGAGCGCTGCAGCGCTTTGAAGACGCAGAGTAGCTAGTACAGAACATTACGTGTCTTCCACAAAACTGAGCGAGCGCTCGTGTAGAAAGAGTAGAGTATAGGTAAGAGGCATGGACCTTGGTGAACGCCCGCCAGAGTGCACTTTCAACTTTGCAAAATCCTTTACTTACATCACTGCAGTGTTTCATTGTCCGTGGAGTTATAAATTTTACTAATCCTTATATTCGGGGCGCTTTTCACAACGCTTTGTTTCCTTTCTCAGTAGGTACTAATATAAACGTTAATTTTCAATTCGATAAAAAAGTATGTTAAACCATATTGTGGTATGTATTGTAAACTTATATTACTTTTACAACTCGTCAATAGCAACGAATAAGATCGAATATAACCAGTACTTTAAAGATCCTAGAACTTGATTTTTTATTAAATAAATTATATAATGTTTAAGCATTGCTTTATTCACGACTCATCAATGGCAAATTGTTTGCAGGTCTTTCCGAGTTTCCACTGGTACCGCTTCACGTTCGGGACGTCGAAACTCTATACAGCACATTGGAATGGCAGCGAATAGGTGCTCGAGCCATCGTGCGTCACTACCTGAATTTAGACTCAGTATTGAATCTCACCATTGAACAATGCAGGTAAAATTATATTTCACATGATACATGTTCCCATGATGTTAAGTGATTTCCGTCGCCCATGTACACGCACAGTTCAATTGGGGCGGCCGGTGCGTTACCAACTTTGAAAATTTGGGTTTCGGTTACCTCGCTCACCTAACACTGACAAATACTAATACTCCTATTTCATGCATTGTATTCTGTGAGGTTGTGGAACTGCCCCGGGCGACACCATAGTTAGTGTATACATAGAAGAGTAAAGGTAAGAGGCATGGACCTTAAGGAATGCCCGCCACAATGCATAAGTTTCACATATTTTAACATATTAAAATGTTTAATGTTCTTAGTCTTTTATAACATTCACAGGTATTTCCACGTCCCCCTGGGCAACATGCCGTCGGACCCCACTCTCTTCGGAGCCGATCTGTTCTACGCACGCCATTTGATCAAGAACAACTTCGTTCTGTGGTGCTCGAACTTAGAGAGGCCAGATTTAGGCGGTCGGGAGATCGATGATAATAGGTAGTAAAATTAAACATCTAGAATTTGTTTCTCTATTATTTAATTTTTTTTTACTGAGATGAAAACTTTTTAGAATAATGTTTTAATTCAATAATCCTGTAATACAAAGTCGTTTTAAAGTAAAGTAACAGCTGATATACACATTGCTGGCCAATGACCTCTGTACCGAGTTCGACTAATTCACTAAGTTAATAAAGAACGCAATTTAAATAATTCGTCCGTCCTCGAACCATTTCCGAAGGGATTATGATGAACTTGTAAAGACTAAAGGTCTAAAGCCTTCTCGTGGAACGCGAAACGACGGGGGAGACTGGCGTTGCAGGCTGGCGGGCGAGGCGGAGGCGGAGGAGGCGGGCGGGTGCGCGCACGGCGCGAGCGGCGCGTACGGCGCGTGCGTGCAGCTGGAGCTGGACGCGCTCGGCGTGTGCGCGCTGCTGCAGGCGCACCACGTGCTGCAGCTGGAGGGCACCAGCGCGGCCGCCCCCTTCGGCGCGCACCACTCCATACAGGACGCCGTCGCCTCCGGTACGGGCCGGCTCGATAAAGGACCGTCCATTACGTACGCTTACTAACTAGAGATGCGCAAAACAGTGCTTCAAATAGTAATGCGATGTTTATTATATCACTCATCGAAGTAATATTACTCAAAACCATTATATATTACTTATTACGCAGTAGGTACGAAAAACGAAAAATGCCCGCCATCATTGGAATCTTAGTAAAATATCTTGCTGTCACATTTTCATCGTCCGTCTAATAACTCCACACCGTTTAAAAGTGTTGGTAAGTGCTTAATCCATTGCTCGCTTCAGGTGCTAACCCGACCGTGAACTACGACGAGACGGCGCAGTGCAGCGCTGCCTTTAAAATCCTGCGGACAATGATAGCGTCCTGGCTGCGCGACGTCACACTCTACAAGAACGTCTTTGCCGATTACCAGATATCACACTTCTATAGGTATGCTACATGCAATCCTGAAGATAAGAAATATTAAAACGACAACTGTATGACCCCAGTGAGCTCTCATAGTTAGTTATCATCTTATGCAATATATTTAACCTTTGAGGTATTATCAAAGATCTCAGATTTTAGATTACTTCACATCTTATATAATTTCTAATTTCAGGATTTTTGACGCCCACCAATTTATATAGGAACCATACATGCTAAAATATTCGAAACATCAAAAAAGCGACATTACATTCCATAGAGTATTTTTTTAAATAAATTGTTGTATACAGTGGCTTTTTTAAAGAAATAAAAACAAACTTTTTTTTCCCAACAAATTGCACTTCTATTCACTAAAACAGAACTTGTTGACAATGCGGTAGTCATTAATAATTGCGTCGTATACTTTTGAAACGCACTTGTGTGCGTGTGCGTGTTAGTTATGAATGATCGCGCGTAAAATAAATGAGTTGCCCATAAATCACGCACTTTTTGAAATAAGTTCAAATGAATGTAATTAATTAATTCCGAGTGATTTTAAATATTTATCATTTTTTATAGAACATTATTTATGTCTACAAATAAAAAATGAATATACTTACAAAAGTCTCCCTGTATATAACAAATAAACTTAGAGCTTATTGATTTCGCAAAGGCATGCACAACTCTGTAACATCGCTCCAGGATTTGTGCAATTGATCCCTTATCATCCGAAAATACGATCACATGACCTCCACAACCAAATCGTTAGATGTCTAACATCTCTACCATCTTTAATTGTCTATTACAAAGGTGCTTAAGAACCATTTACCATTTAGTAAATACCTCTAGGTGGTTGAAGACGCCGACGGCTCTATTATACGACCCCGCCCTGCGCCGCACCCTCTACAATCTCATGAAGAAGCTATTCCTCATGCTGGTCGCCGAGTTCAAGCGGCTGGGCTCCACCATAGTCTACGCGGACTTCAACAAGATACTGCTCTACACCAAGAAAAACACCGTCATGGACGCCATTGGTGGGTAATTGAAGATTGAATTTATTTGTTGATAACATTATCCTGTGTTGTAAGGGTATTATACAAAATTTGACATGGACAAACAGCCCATATGCAAAACAACTATCCGTGGGTCACACATCCTTGTGTGTTCCGTGACAACTCTTGTTGTTCCGTGTGCGAATCGAACCTACGACCCCTGACACCGAAGACGATACCTTGGCGACTACACCACAGTGTCATCACTTTTGAGTAAAACGTCATTATAGTGAGAAGTGGATTGTTTATTTTTACAGAATAATCCTATGTGTTGTTTCAGTGTACTAGAAATCCCCATTCTAAATTACATTTAAATCTAGATTTCATATATATTTTGGAGTATTGTTAAAACTAGTGTAAAAAGAGTAGACCGTCAATAGAAGTCAAGATTTTTGCGACTCGAGGAAGCGTACCGCACGTTACCCCATTTTATTTACAAAAAATGTATGCTTAAGTTTCATGTTTAGCTACCAGAACCAAACTATAAAATTATCTATAAGTAAATAAAAAAAGATTGAAATAAATTATTATAAAATATATTTTCATGTCTACTTACACATATCACTAGGCTATGTGGAGTTTGTGGTGCAGAGCATCAGAAACAAGGAATTGTTCCACGGTATCGACATCCGCTATAAGCAGTGCTGGTCGTACCTGCTGTGGCTGGACGAAGCAAACTACGCAGGAATACAGGTTCGTGTAAAGTAATCATTTTGTAAAATTGGGCTTATGTGAATACTAATTAAAAAATAAATATTTTAAAAATTAAATCTCTACGAACTCCCGACATATTAAATACCTTACAGTAAATCTCTCCCGTAAGAATTATATTGAATGAGTTTAAATTTGCAAAAAAGTTTACTTAATAAAATGACATAGATAAAAATTATGATGATAATTAATAAAGTAACAATAACATTTCTTATTGTAATTGTTAGTCATGGTACCTACTTAGAGCTGATTGTTTAAAGCTAACATGTATGCCAAATTACCCATGTATCGACTTTTCAGGGTAAACTACCTCAAGGTCTAGTGGAAGTGGGCTCCTCTCAAGTGCCTGCTGCTAGCGAACAGGAGGCTGAAGATGACGTAAGAAAAATAACACCCTTATATGGCTTACCCTTTTTGTTTTAATAAGTTTCTCTATTATAATGTTGTCATATATTAATGTTCACTAAAAATTTTAAAATGTTATTTACCTAAATATAATCTGTAATGTTCTATTTCTTTCCTGTATACAGCGTGTCGTTCCCGCCGCGACAATAAATGAACACACATATAGAGGATAACTTTTTAAAATTGTATTAAGCATTTACATTCTTTAAACATCAATATTTACCGAGTTATTAAATTTTACAAAACATACATTTTTAGAACACCCTTACGTATAAAACTGTAACGTAAAGTTCATTTGTAAAGGCCACAAAGCATATGAATGGGTTGAATGAATTTAAAAGAGATAAAACATATTGTTAGAAGGAGAGACTTGTAATGCGACGTTGTGGCAACGAATGAAAATGTCTCTGAATGAATGAATGAGTTGTAGTTGTATAGGATGTTACAAATTTTGTTTCTTATTTATTTAATTACTTTGTTTGATAAATATATTTTTTTAATTATGGAGTATTTAACGTTTTATATTTTTTTATGATTATTGGCAAGTATAGTTAGACATGTGTTCATTTATTGTCGCGGTTGTAACGACACGCTGTATATCTATGTATATCCTAATCCTATTTGGCAGTTTGCAATTCGTGAACGAAACCTTCAACTAACACATACATTTGTAGTGTTTACATCATTATTTTTTTTACCAACCTGCTGCAAAAACTAGGAAAATTACATAAAAAAAACAATTAAAACATGTAGAAAAAGTACGAAAAGATTGTCGCCGCTGTGGGAATCGAACCCACGTCTTCGGCATTCGCGGCCTGACGCTCTAGCCACTGAGCTAAACGGCTGATAGCCACAGTGACGAAAATCTTAACGCCTTCTATCCACATTGTTATTTAGCATTTGAAGCAATGCTTGGGGCATCTATTGTTATATCCTTTACAGCATACAAACAATCTCGAATATCGTTTTACAACGATAATTCGAACGAGAGATGTCGCCATTGCTTTTTATAAATTTTAAAGTTTTTTATAGTGCTGATCTCTGCACTTAAGATTGAACATTAAAACATGTAGAAAAAGTACGAAAAGATTGTCGCCGCTGTGGCGTGTACAATTAAAAAAAAACAAATTAAGAAACTATAGGTTTTGTGTATTTTTTTACAAATTTAATAATAAGAGCGATTAATATTTCAGGGTGCCGTGACTATGCAATGGAACTTGGCTCAATTTCTGCCCCGAGCGGTCCGCGATCAGTTCTCGGCCGCAGTGGCGGGCTTCCTCAGCGCAGCCTACTCAGAGCCGGACAGGCTACCGGCGCTGGTGGCAGGCGAGATCTCGCAGAAACTCTTCCAGTAAGCACTAATTAACTATGCATATATAGCTTGACGACAAATTAGCTGCAAGATGGTTCGATTTTAGACTGTGACGTGGGATCTTCGATAATGCAACTTTTATACTCTTTGCACGGATGTTTCATGTACATAATTATCATAATTTATCATTTTTTACCATCCCTGTATCTCCAATCGCAGAGTAAAGAAAAATAACTGCCTCTGTATGTCCCATTTCTGGAAAACCTTTACAGAGGGTGTTAGCGGAACAGAAAAAAACGCGACCTCCCTGCAGATTGGCGGACTTCACATATTATCTTTGAAATATTTTTTTCGTTTGCTATTACTTCTAAAATATGCAAGTTTCCTCACGATGTTTTCCTTCACCGCTGAGCACGTGAACGTGATAAGTCAGCGCTTTGATAATTTCATTAGGGCAGGCACGCAGGATGCTGGAGTGTATTGAATAAAAGCGAGCCCCTGGACACTGAGCTATCACGGCTCAAAGAAATATCCAATCGCAGGGTAACGGAGAAGATAAACAGCCGGATGCCCACATTGCGGGAGTCGGACATCGAGCCGCAGCCGGGGCTCCGAGCAGACGCGTTCGGCGCCGACGCCACGCCCGCGCTGCTCTTCGTCAACGCGGTGTGCAAGGTGCTCTCACTGGACGCAGCGCTGGAGGAACAGGTGCTCAAATACTCTAAGTATACGCTTCTGTACCGCAAATTGACCGCAAAAATATTTTGCGCTCAATCCGCACATAGATCCCGTGGCGGATTATCCAACGATATTCTCTATCTTAAGGACGTTAGAACTGTCTACAGCATAGCGATCTAAGGAAGCGTACCTATACTACGTGACCCGTCTCAATGTCCTCTAAAGGAAAGCTCGCGCTTTTTTGAGCTATACTGAAATATGGTGCGCAACGTTCGTTTAGCGCTTTTAAAACAACCAAATGATCTCCATGAGACCACAGGTAGATATTGTGTTTAACACGAAAGCGTGGAGCTTGGAGTATATATTACGGATGGTCACCATGAGGAGGGACGGGGGGGGGGGGGGGGGTTAGTTAAAAAATTAGTCACGTAGCATAGGTTCGTTCTCCAAGACGAGATAAAACAAAATGGCGCTCGTTCGGAATTCAAAAAATCTCGAAGGAAAAACCGTGAAATCATCGTATTTAATTTTTTTTATAAAGTGACTGTGCATTCATTATAATAGTATGTATTTTTATGGTAGAGTCATGTTCCTGAAATTAAATTAAACGTTCGACACATTTGACAGAAAAATGTCTTGAAAACTGCGCTTGGAGATTGCGCATTCAACGTCAAACGTTCAACATTGCAATGACGAATTTAACGGTTTGTCGTCGCCGCGTCCAGGTGACGCTGCTGCGGCGCAACCTGCTGCGGCTGATCGGCGTGGGCGAGTTCAGCGGCGCGGCGCAGTGGCGCGAGCCGTGCGCCTCGTGCGCGCTGCCCGAGCTCATCTGCAACGTGTGCAACGCGTGCCGCGACCTCGACCTGTGCCGCGACACGCACCGCGACACGATCAACGACACGTACGTTGCCTGCCCGTATTTTCAGATCTTTATAACATACTGTTATTGCGTAGTCTCTCTCGGTCTCGGACGAAAATTTATTATGTCCTCGGTCGCGGTCTCCTTCTTCTGGGTTCTAGGTTCGGACCTTACTGTAGAGTTGCAATGTAGGTACATCAATTGACCTAATTTAAGTGCCTCAGTACCATATCTACCTCTTATTGACTAATCCATATATGTTTGAATGTCTAAATATATAAGCGGTAAAACTGTTTGCAACCAACTTCAAAAAGGTCAATTTGGTTGTTTTTTTTTATTTTGTTACCTCTGATATTCCTCATTGATGAACTGATTTTAAAAAATATTTTTGCATTGGATTTGGTTTAGCTCCCATATTAAAATGTCCCATACATTTTAATATGGGAGCTAAACTAAATCCAATTAGTAATGAACCTTGGACTCAAGAGATACATGATACATCAATAAATTCCTCAAAATCAATTAGAAAATGTACAGTGAGTGAGATATTGAAAGTTGGATTTGTTATTTGTTAGTAAAAATGTTATTATGTATACATATATATTAAACCTCTGAAACTACACAATTAATTAAATGTAAATTTAAAAGCCACGTCATTCCTAAGTAAAATAGACTATATTTATTCAAATAAATGTGGCTTTTTACTATCAAACTACAATATTTCAATACTTGTATGAGTCATAAAAAAGCAACATGAACAATGATATGTTTCTGTGCAAAGTGATGTAAAAAAAAAATAAACAAGATTTTATATATTGATTTAGGTTTTTTAAAGTTTGGGTTTAATAAAGCTACTATTTTCCATACTCAACTGTCACATAAATTTATGATATCTTATCCTTTAAACAAGCAATTCTTGTGAATATATATATATAATCGGAATCTCGGAATCGGTATCGGTTTCATATTTAGAAAATGTCCTTTTATCCTTTTTTTTTCTTTACCAGATCATTTTCTTTATTAATTATTATTTTTATTACATGATATTTAAAAAAAAGTCCTCCAGGCACTATGTTTTAATTATTACAGACCAGTATGCTTGTGTCCTACTTGTGGAACCCCATACGACAATCAAGAGTTGGAATGGCGGCTCATTGAGATAATGAACAGGCGAGCAATGACTTACACACTGCAAGATCTTATTTGTATCAGATGCAACCAGGTAACTAAATTTTATATATTTGTATTATGCATATGTAATGATTACTGTACTTTTTGTATGTCTGTGGGCTAATAAGTCTCACAGTATGGTAGCAGGTTTGCATTATCACATAGATATGCACTATACTTGTGCAGTGGCAAGTTTACCATTTATTAATCTTGGAGAAAGAGAACAGCATTATCTAAAAGATCTCTTTTCACCTGTATATATTAAACAAAGAAATGCCTTATTTACTTATATTTATAATATGATTGCTTACAGGTTAAAAGGGAAAATCTAGCGGTTGTATGTGATTGTGCGGGCGATTATGCTCTTATGGTTTCAAACAAAGAAATTCACACACAGCTTATAACATTTAAGACAATTGCAGAATACTACAAGATGCCATTGTTATTAGAAGTAATTGAATTTAATATGAGTAATATGTGATATAAGTTAAGCGTTCTTTATGTAAGAGTTGATGTAATAAATATTGTATATTTGTTCATTTTTTTACAACTTTTATTGCATACCCCTAAGTTTTTAATCTGATATTTTTTAATCTGAAAAGTGGTAAACAAGCTAATGTTTCACCTGATGTTCAAGAAATAATTGCTGCCCAAGAACATTTGCAACACCCATGCTGCCGGATGCTTTTGATAAAGTGGGTCACGGCTACTTCAATCACCAGACAAATTACAGAAGTATTACATTTCCACTTCACACTGGATTTCTGTGAGGTTGTGGTACTTACCCGGATGGACTTGCCCACTCGTGCAACAGCCGAAGCTGTTGAGTGGCCTTACCACATCTAATAGTTTCCTGGTAAATAGATATTATAAATATTTTTTTGTTATACTCGATGAAAAATTTTCCCCAACTTATAAAGTATAACTTGGATATCATCACAGTGTTAAAATAAATGCATTATTTAAATCAGCTCTTTAGTGCATGCACCTTTAATAGTATTTTATACAAATGTCATCTACCAGTGTGAAAAAAAAATAAACAGTTTAATGAGTTATATTACTATTATTACATTATTTCAAAAATTTAAAATATTATTTTAACAATTAAAGAGTGCTTCTTTCTTCATTTGGGGTTTGACCCAATCCTTTGGCAACTTCACTTATGCATAACCACTGTCCGTCAGTGTTTTCTCTCCAAAGACTGACTTTATTATCACCACCAGAAACAGCCAAAATGTTCCCAGTAAGTGACCAGCTGACACTCCATACTATGTCATCAAAAGTGTTAAGAATTGTTGGTGTCCAAGATACATTATCATCGCTTGTCCAGATTACAACTCTTTTATCTTGGGAGCAACTAGCAATCATGGAATGTTGAAGTCCCAGTGAAGGTGCCCAAGCAACATCTCTCACCCAGTCCATGTGCATTTCGAGACGAGTCTCCTCCACCCATTGGTCTCCTTGTTCTTTCCAAATCTAAAACATTGAATTTTCTTCAATCTTCCAATAGAACCAGTATGATAATAGACAAAACATGTTATTTCACAAAGTATTCCTTAAAAAACTATAATTAAAAATTCATGGCAGCTATTTATTTTTGTTCTCAGTTCACACCAATAATTGTTTACATTAGTGGAGTGCTTTGAGAAAAAAAAATCTTACTAAAAGGAATTTGCCATTAATTAGCATAAAAATTTATTTTTGCCAATAATGATGTTAAGTGATAATAGTTGCCCATAGACATTTGCTAGATACGTAGGGTTGTAGATACATGCTTCACCAGCTGGTCAATAAAGTGGGCTTGGTCACCTTACTCACCAGATGAAATGCAGAAATACATCAATTCTACTTCATACCGGTCTTTGGTAATGTTGTGGTACTACCCCAGATGTACCTGCCCATGTAGGGTACTTTTTGTAGCCCTACCACAATATACCACTTACCATCATCTTTATTTCACTTTCTTCTCTTTAAAAAACCATTACCTTTATTTAAGATTCAGAAATACAATTAATATGACATATTTATGCCAAAAAGTTTAGATCATTACATTAATTAATACTGAATGAATATAATAAAAGACTTGTTACTAAACAAGTACATAGTAGAATGAGTATAGAAAGAAAAGAAAATTCACATAGATTAACTCATAATCTTACATATAGTTCCTTAATAGATCAAAACACAAAAGTTAAGTGTTATAAATTGTTTTAATTTAATCCTCAGTGACAACAAATTATTAATTACTACTTGTTATTTACTAGTTTAATATTTACAGAATGAAAAATTATATAACTAGTTACATGATTGAACTTGCTAAATTATGATGCTACAGAACAAATTTTAGAAACCATGAAGTAACACGAACGCACACGCACACGCGCACACACACACACGCACACGCACGCACGCACGCACGTACGCGCCCACACGCACACACACACACACACACACACACACACACTTTACTGACTTGAAAATAATGGACAAAGTGGCTAGATGGACTGAAGCCACACACGACGAAACAATATTTTAAAATTTGTTTATGAAACAAAGATTTTTGAAAAGAGAATTAGGCAATAGTGTATTTGTTGGTGATAAAGGTTAAGAAAATACATTTTATCTATTGACTCCACTTCAAAATCCTGTTACGCCAGCAGAACGTCTCTATAACGAATAAGAAGTAGGAATCTTCTTGAGCAGACTTACGCTGTTTGTAAAAATAGGTTTCCTATGTTAGCAAAAAAGATAATATACATTTGTCTCGTGTCCAGTCTGTAATTGTAGCATGTGCAATTAATCTAATTTTTTTTTGTGTCATTGTAATTGTTTAAGAGAATGTATTTCATGTATATAAATACGTAACACAAAATAATGCAAAAAAAAATAATGCAAAATTAAAAAAAATGTTTCTCGTCATCACGTGGAATGCCAAAATGTCGACCAAGTAAAAATACCCGCGACTGTAAGACGTTCGGTCCATCAACACGATATCATTTATTTGTTTATTCGCGACAATCGTCCTGTCCGTTGATGATGGACCGGTCCCAATACAGCCTGGCGCGGTCATTTTCGAGCACGGCCTCCGGAGAGTACGCGAGCTCCTGGTGTAGGATTCTGGCTACTAGGTTGTGTCTATGCAGATACTCAGAGTTAGAAAGCATGGAACAACCGGAGATAACATGCCGAAGCGACTGCCCGGGCTGGCGACAAGCTCGACAGATGTCGATATTATTATTATTATTTAATTGAAGTATAACATACCTTTATCAAGTTATCACATCCCCCAGATACTATCCGTTTGGGTGCATCCTTATTACTAAGAGGATCCAGATTTAGGTCTGCAGATATTGCTGGACACCAACTGATAGAATTTACACCAATGGCATGTGCAGCAGGAATCTTTTTAACATCCCAGTTACCACCATCTTGGTTATATGTGATTATAGATATGGACCCATCAGAACTACAACATGCTAGTATAAGTCCATACTCATCGGGTGCCCATGCAACGGAGTTAACAGAGCTTTCATGTCCTGTATATTCATATAACTTGGTCCATTCGCCAGACTCCTTCCAAATTATGACTTTTCGGTCGTAAGAACAGGAAGCCAGCAAGTTACCATATTTCGGGTGCGCCCAAGCAACCTGCCATACTGGGCCGAAGTGTCCTTTTAAATCGGCGGCAAGGGTCTGCGTACCACTCTTGATATCGTATATCTTTACCGAATTATCTGATGAACATGTTGCTAAACGTAATCCATAGTAGTCTAGCTCAGCATCATGTATCATGTCTTCATGGCCTGTATCAATCGTATTCAATACACTTATCATTTTGTTGAATATTTATCTAGTAAAAATATAGGAATCACAAGTATCCGGCTGAACAACTATTTGTAAATGTCAGAAAAGTTGACGTGGAATTTAGTGTTGCTACTAATAGCAACCAAGTATTAAGTATTTCATTTGTCAGTTTTGTCATTGTAAAAAGAGTTCAGGAGAAACAATCACAATGTAGCTGTTGTAGATGATGCTGATGCACGATGACACCAGTAGCTCCACTACATCTCGCAATCCATGTTAACGAAAAAGGAACAATTATACAAAGGCGGGCATGACAAGATCCAAGAGCACCTAAGATGGTCATTGAAGCTTCGGCTTGGACAACAATTAATAGTGAGATCTATCATAACATAGTAATAAGCTGAAAATAGCACTTTCATAACGAGACATGCGTACGTCAAATAATCGGTTCACCGTCATCATCATGAGAGTTTTCGAGACTAGTACTGAATATAGTTGTAAATAAATACGAGGTTGCTATTCTAGAACATTCCATTGCCACTTTAGCTTACTGACCTCTGAACTATGTCGCTTACCTTTATTGTACTGCAAATAAGACTATTTGAGAACTACCACACGGAAAAATAGTAAGCATAGCCCAGTTGCTGAGAGACTTTGAGCTTTAAGATTGTGAAAATAAATGATTTGCGAAAATTTTTGAAAATGAAAAGTTTCGTACTTAATTACGCGACAGTTGAGCCATTGTATGCATATTTACATTAAATAATGGTAACAACATGAACAGGATGTAAGCGATTTAAAACTGCTTGCGATGATTAAAGAAAAACATAACGCTATTCTTACACACTGCAATCGGTATACACTAAAGGTAGTGTGGAAGTAGGGACGTACACACTCCACTCTTCAGCCAAGCACTGTACGTATTGTACGTTCGCCGGTGAAAGATAGGTCCCCGATTTGCAGCCTGTACAATATAGTCGACGTCAGTGTTTGCCGGGCTACTTTTGAATTGCTTAAATCATGCATTGTTACTTAATAGCGAGTCTGCCTTTAATCAAACGCTAATTATTATGTATTTAAATAGGGGAAATTATAATGATTTTCGTACTTTTCGGAACTTTTATAACTTTGGGAGCCGGCAGGAGGGAATAATTAAGATGCAGTACAAAGAACAAGCCGTGTTGAGAAAACCATAATCTTTTATTGTCACTCGTTGCTATAGAAATTTGTCAATACTATGGTAATGCTAGACCGATGAGAGTAAGGGTGTAAAAGATAAGAGCGGTGCTACACAGTAGCAAATGAGTCGCCACATAACCATGTCAAAAACAGCTTACTACTACCTGAGTAGTAAATACTATACATACGTATAATTTTCGTAGGCTTGGACCCTAGGTGGACCGACGACATGGTAAGAGTCGCGGACAATCGGCAGGCAGATGTAAATGGCAGTGTTGTTCGTTGTGGTGTTTTAAGGGGGAGGCCCATATTCAACAGTGGACGTCTTGCGGCTGATGAGGATGATCATTTATGATTTCATTTGTTTGTTTTTCTTCCTATTGGTTTGCTTTGTGAGTTATCACAATTCCGAAAATGTCAAGTTTACATATTATGACCATTGACCACAAAAAAAAAAAAAACTTATGACAAACGTCAAATTGAAGTGCCAGTACCCTATTTTTTAAAGGTTTCTGAAAATATTGATGAGCTAATAATGTTAAAATAGTTAATTATATAAAATGGCTGAGAAAGAAGGCGGTGTCTTTTACAACTTGCAAAGTTTACTAAATCAAGATTATCGCGGTGTAAACGTATGTATTATCAGTAAAAGTAAGTAAAATGTTCATTGGTGAAATGTTTTTATCACAACTATGTGCTGTTTTCAGATAGCGGTATATGCACTTGCCACAGCATCGCTAGCTTTTTCTATACACAAAATCCGTCCGGTAAATATTTTCATCCTTCTTTAGTATTCCCCATGTAGTTCTTTTTTTACATTACATAACAATATTATTTCAATATTCTTCTATTAGATTAGCAAGTTTTCGAAAGCCAGCAAAGTTCCTGACCATTTTATAAGAAAACATGAACCTTTAAAAGGAGTGTATGTTGGTGTACAACACTCACCAGTGCGGCTTTTAATCAACCATAAAGCACCAATATATTTACCGTTGTGGCATTCCAGTAAACCTCCACTTCCAGTAAAGGTAAGTTTTCTTAAAGTTGAACTTAAGTTTGAAATCAAACATCTATGCTAAACTTATAAATATTGTAAAAGTGATATGCTTTTTTGTATGTAAATGGTTCTTCTAGGGATTGCTACTTTTCTGGTATTAATAGTTTCATGGAAATATAATATACCATTTTCTCTCTGACAAGGCTATATTTTATTTCGGTAAAAGTAAGTTTTAATTAAGAATCTCAAGAAATAGCAGTTGATGAATTTATACAATGTGGCCGTAAATCAACATACTTAAAGAGAATAACTTTTTAAAATTGTATTAAACATTTACTTTCTTTAAACATCAATATTTACAGAGTTATAAAAATTTCCCAAACAAATAATTTTAGAACACCTTACTTTGAACACTGTATGGTAAAGTTCATTTGTATAAGTCACACAGCATATGAATCGGTTTATTGATTTTAAAAGAGATAAAGTATACTGTTAGAAGTAGAGACTTGTAATGCGAAGTTGTGGCAACAAATGAAAAAGTCTCTGAATGTGTAAATCAGTCAGTTGTAGTTGTATAGGATGTTAGAAATTTTGTTGCTTTTTTTTATTCAACTAGTTTGTTTGAAAATTATTTTTTTAATCATGGATTATTTTTAATGTTTATAGTTTTTAAGATTATTGACATGTAGCATTAGAAGTGTGTTCATTTATTGTTGTGGTTGTAACACCATGCTGTTAAACTTTTAATTAATTCTATTTCAATTCAAATATGCCATCTTTTTAAAGCCAGGACTCACAATACTGCTCTATAAAACAAGGATTTACATAAAACAAGTTGTAATTTATAAATGTTATGATCATCATAACCTTTATAAATGACTAAGAAAATTAAAAATAATAGTAAAATAAAAAATACTACAACTTATAGTACAGTTTTGCTTTGTTTTCTAGCTGTGGGGTGTTGACATTGTTAGTGGAAATGCCATAAACTGGCTGGAATGTGTGGCCAAAGACAAAAAAGTTACACTCAAACCCATTGGAAGAGACAATGAAGATCTCATATCCAATGTCTTACTGCATTTACCACAGTCTGAGGTACTAACACTAATTTTAACTTATAGTTTGGTTCTGATTTCCATTTTTGTCGTTATTTAAAGTTTTGCTTGTACTATAATATTATTTTTATTTGCCTATATAAAAAAATTGTAACTAAGCATTAAGAATTGACAGCCCCAGCCAGGAGAAATTGCTTTCTATGGGCAATAGCTGTGTAATGTACAGTTGTTACATATCACACCATGTTATGTAATTTGCATATATTCGTAAACATATGATTGAATCTTTCAGAAAAAGTCAGTGGAGACCATAGACATTGGACAGAAATTAGTTGAGCTTGGTTTTGCTCAGGCTTCAGTTCCTGTAACCATTCAGAAGAAAACTGTAGAATCACAACTGGCATCATATATTATATCAGCTGAATCATCCGCAAAGAAGTATCGAAAGGGGATTTGGTCAGAAAGACTGCCACCAATTCCATTATATGTTGTTTATTGGAGAAAAGGATCCCAGTTTACTATTGACATACTTGTTTTGACTGTCAAAAAACTTGTTCAGCTATTAACTTTTGCATCAAAAAGTGCCTTAGTTCTTACAAAAAATATAGCTCTAAGACCATTCAGGTCCTCATCCAAACAAGTTCGAGCTACATGATTATTATTGTTTATTTCTATTAAAGCTTTGAAAGTAAAACCGTTAAATCCATGAAATTAACAACTTTTCTTCTAGTACCATTTAATGTAGAAGATATTTGTATATATGTAAAGGTGGGTAATAAATGTATACTAATTGTTTAGTGTTAAGTTTTTAAATGGCTTGTTTCAATATATTTATAAATTCGTAAAAAGTTTCTTTTGTTTCAATTTTAAATTTCAAAACGCCTTTTAAAACAGGTATTCTGTCATAAAATGGTCATAAGATTATCAACTATGTTAGCTCTAGTTGTTGCATGTTTTGGGCTGGCTGACCCAAAGTAATGCTACTGCCTCAAAAACAATGTCTGATATCCTTTCCCTTAAAGATTAACCATAATTGTCACATCTAAAAAGAGAGGTAATTACTTGACATCTTGAAAAGGCTAGGTTACCTTTTACCTTCGAAAAATTAAATTCGATGCAGATTGTTTTTAAAATTTACTCTATTAAATACTCTGGAGTAGACTAAAATGACAGAATTTACTTACACAGAGCAGTTCATTAGTATATAACACTTGTAGCAGTCTCTGTATGTTTATCATCTGAATAAAAGATTAAAATTAAAAAAGCACTGTTTATTCAAATTAAATATGTAGTATATATTACATTAAAATATATATATCTTAATTAAAATAGCAAAAGAAAAGGTACAGCTAGTAATCTAATGAATGAAATAATATCAATTGAACCATTTCTTTTCTCTGTATATGTAACACCAAACAATTTTTACCCCAATAAAATAATTGTCCTTTGAAGTAAACACATTGTACAGATAATTTACAAAAATACTGTTTTATGAAAGAGCAGTCGCCGAAGCTTAAGTTAATACTTTCCAATGACTGCTTACTAAAATTTCTTTAACAAACGGATAAACTACAAATATTATGCAGTGATACAAACATAATACCTTTTCACTTTACGAAAAATTTCATTGTAACTACGGCACCGTTAACTTAGCTTTGTGCAACTGCGATTCACGTGAAATGAATTCGTGGATATAAAAATACAAAAAGCAAGTCTGATCCCCGTTTCTGAGTTGTGGCACCGATAAAATGGTAGATCGAAAAATATAGTCGAGGTGGGTGCGCCCTCCGCTCGCTGATACTTTAATGAGCGTAGCGGCGGGCGGATCGGGGAGCGGAGCGGGCAGCGGGGCGTCGTCAGAGCACGCTGCAACGCGACAGCCAGGACGGTGGCTTGCGCTGTTGTTCATTCGCTCGGAGTTGGTGCGCGCCGCTTCTAGCACCGGGGGGATTGCTCGCTTCCTGAATATGTCAAAGCGGAAATGGTAATAACCCAACAACATATGGGACATAAAGAAACAAAGGTGTCTACCGTAGAAATGTTCATAAAATTCATTTTTTTTATTTTGCCCTACTAATCAAAACTTGATTCTATTTTTATAATTAATTATTCAAAGCTGAGTATGAGAATGTTTAAAAACCAAAATTTTATTTAAATGAAGTTCGTATTTATTGGTTGGTGACTTTGAAGTGGCCACCAATGCCCAAAAATATCTCAAAAATGTTACATTACATAGGCATTACATAACTAGGTTTCCCTAGTTCCATATTTCTTCGCCGAACAGGTGATTTCAGCACTTAAATTGTAATGGACAATATCATTGATATAAATGTGGGGTCACTGAACTATACAAATTAAAAAGAATAGTCCTTTCACTCATCTAATATGGCATACATTTTTAACTATCAGTGCAACATCATTCATGTTGTTTTACAAAACACATGCACAAAGAAATGTGTTTAATCTTTTAATGCATGCTAAAAATTTGTTTATACATGTTCTATGAGAAAATCAGAGGCAATCAGATAAAGTAAATTATTAGATTATATTAACCCCTAGGTGTGTGATAAGTTATTAGCATAATTGCAAATAACAATTTCATTGTCGCCGGCACTGGGATTACAACTCAGGTCCCACAAGTATAATTAAAAGAACACCCAGAAAGTGAGCTATCACAGTTCTTATAATCACATACAATTACTAACCAACTATTAAAAATAAATATTTGTTTGGTACTCATTGTGCTCGTTGAATATCTATTCAAAGAGACATATCTACTATCTATCTACTATGAAAAGATAACATGCAATGAACAAGTTAACTCCATTAAATTAAATCATGTTTGATAATAAAAAATGTACAAAACTGCTAGTAAACTAAATGATAGTGGTATTTTAAATCATGCAAGTTTGCATCACATTCTGATTGAAGAAAAATATATATATCAGGTAACACTTGATTGCAAGGATATAGTGCTTTTCAAATATAAAAATTTAAAGTGTATTACAATTTTGCATATAAATGACTCGCAAGGCAATATACTATTCAGAAGCAAATGCTGATCACTGGCTTATCAAAGGAAACCAATCAAGGTTACAATAAATTGTTACTAGATTGTCTACAACAATGCACAAGCAACATGCAAAACATAAATTTGAAGTAAGGAGGAAGGAATTAGCCAGTTATTTCCTTCATAAATATTAGGATCTTGCTTCATAAACATAAATTAATTCAACAAAAAAATATCACTAGAACAACAACATATAAAACTCTAATTACCTTCTGTTTTTATATAGAAAGCCATGGAACAAAAAGAAAGACATATTAGATGTAAGAGCTGTACTATGCTTAAAGAAATTTTTTCAATGTGTTCCAAAGATTAAGAAATAATCTGAGATTTTATTTAGGATTTTATTGTTTATTTTTTTTTTATATCAGAAACTTTGGCATGCATTTTGAAAGTGCACTTTTGAAATGTTTTATCTTAATGTCTATTATTTTTTACTATTTTTTTTTATCTAAATCAACCAAATAATTTTAAGAAAGTAAAAATATATTCATAATAATAGTATCAATAAGCCATAGCTTATTAAAAAAATATATAGAAGGTAAATAATTGTTTTCATAACAATCTTTTTAATAATACATAAATTGAAATATTCAATTTTTACCTGTTTCTTTTCCATTTTTGCTTTTATATCTCTGGCCAAAGTGTAAAATGCATATTCCACATTCAATGAGTCTTTTGCTGACGTTTCTACAAATTTAATTTGATATTCTATAGCTAACTGTTCACCTCGCTCTTTTGAAACCTGAAGTGGAGAAAATTGTGTGTAATTTGACATTAGTGGCAATAAAATATACAAACACATATTTTAAATATCCCAGCCAATTTAAAAAGCTACTACATTAAATATTATATATAAATATTTATGCACTAAAATATTATATTTAACTTCAAAAAAACTTTATTGATATGAAATAAATTCTGCATTGTTGAATGTTTCACAAACAAAGGAAGTTGCTTGGTTAGTACTTCTTAAAAACTAAGAGATTATCAACAAACTAGCTTGGCGAATTGTTTGTGAGCTTCCCAAGACACATAATGTATTATATAATATGAGATTATAACAGAAGATGTAATTACAGAAGAAAATGTATGAAGCTATTTATAAAATGCTCAAACTTATTTAGGGCACTTATTTACAATTAGGGCTATCACATTTTTATGTTGCTTGTCACAAACATATGTGTACTAACAAATGATTATGTATTAAAGGGAACTAAATGTTAGCTCACATAGTCAAGATAATAAATAGTAACCGGACAGGAAAATGTTTATTAACATTCATTAAACATTGTTAACAGCTATATCATATAATTAGTGAAGTTCAAGAATTGTTTTAATTGATGAAACATAATGAATATGGATTCTTTTACTTATTCCGTTTTATTCCTTTCTAAGAATTACACAATAATTTTTTAAAAGAGTATTTAATCAGTAAGGTTTGATTAAATGATAAAAAATTGCATGACGGATATGATAATTTTCATATTAACTAATGATTTAAAAAAGATAAACCTTTAATAGCCCATTTATTGTAACCATCCAAGGCACTATCATTTATTAAACTGTTGATTTACCTGTCTTTTTGCATCCAAATCACATTTATTGCCAAGAATCATTTTTTCCACATCAGCACTGGCATTTTCTTCAATATTTCTTATCCAATTCTTAATGTTTTCAAAGCTCTTTTCATTTGTCACATCATAGACCAACATAATGCCCATGGAACCTCTGTAGTAAGCAGTTGTTATAGTACGGAAGCGCTCTTGTCCAGCAGTGTCCCTGGAAAAGAAAATATGTAAAGCTTCCACAGCAATAAATATACCTACTAAGCAATTAGCTTTTAAAATTCTTACCATATTTGTAACTTGACTTTTTTACCATCAAGGTCTATCGTCCGAATTTTAAAGTCAATACCTGCAAACAGACCACTGATATACTTGACTATCCACTAATTAAAATTAGTGAGTATGATGTCATAAACAATTCATGCATTTAATTTGATAAGGGCTCCATTTACGTAGTGCCGCGCCCTTTTCTTTCTTATGGTTAAAGAAGCTGCTAATTAACAATAAAGGAAAAAAACTCATTCAATGACAATTACATACAAAAAATACAACTTTTCTGACAATAACCTTTGATACAAAGACTTAAAGAACTTACCGATGGTAGATATAAAAGAGATATTAAAAGCATCTTCAGAAAATCTAAATAGTATAGATGTTTTACCAACTCCAGAATCACCTATTAAAAGTAATTTAAACAAATAATCGTAAGTTTTTGCCATTTTTTTACAACAATCTGATTACAGAATACACGGTCACTCATTTGGCATTTTTGAGTAATCTTATAGAGACGTTCACGTATGTCTCTATTGACTATTCTGTAATTACAGCGATATCGATATTCGACACTGAGAAATACTCGATAAGCAATATGTACAAGATATTTTCATAATAGTGCATTATTTTTATATTTAATATAATAGATACAAGTACATTTGGTGAAGTTAAACATATATTTCCACTTTTAATAAATATTATGTAATAATAATTATTTTTATATTATTAATATGTATTTCTACGCTCGAATTAATAAAATGGAAAAAGTAATTAAATAATTGAACCATTAAGATTATATTAAAAATTATGCTATAAAAAATAAATACTGACCTAACATAAATATGGTCTTACCAATTAAAGATACCAATTTAAAAATTTATATAAATTAATGTATTCTTGATTATAACATCGATTGAAATGTATCACACACCACTCGTAGATAATCTTACCTCATGTTGGATTTAGCAACTATTGCTTTAGCAATAAAATTACATAAAAACGGCAAAACTGATTAATCCTAAATTAAAATTCAGAAATTGCTTTGCCGAGGAGACAAGAATGTCTATCTGCTCCAATGAATAGTTTCCACTGGAAGTAAACCAACAAAGACAGTGGGATATTCCCTTGGTTCAGAGAATAAAGAAAGCTATGTTTTAGATAGTGATTTAGAACGTGCCCGTTTTCTAGTCGTTTCATCTAAAGAATCAAGTTATTGGCTTCTCGCTGTACCATCAAGTAACTTGGGCACATTACTTTACGATGTAAGCGTTACGCATTGCTACAGGAATCCGTCTGGGGGCACCGATTTGTCAACAGCATCAATGCCCTTGTGGTGTTAATGTAGATAAACGTGGTCGCCACGGGTTTTCTTGCGAAAAAAGTGCATGCTGCTTTTCCCGCCACGGTTCCCTGAACGATATCATCGGTAGGGCTCTTGTTTCCAATAAATTACCTTCTATTTTAAAGCCCTCTGGCAAGAGACCCAAAGTCTTGACTTTTATCCCTTGGGAAAGAGGCAAAGCCCTGGTTTCAGAAGCTAATTGTGTAGCCTGCCTCTCCTGCCACGGCTGATGACAAGAGGGCTCTTTTCTCACTCAAAAGTTAAGCATAACTAATCAACGAGGAAAAGCTGTTAGCGTTCTTGGCACCATGTCCTGTAAATATGTTTGAATATAAAAAAGTAAGCCTATACATGTCCCACTACTGGCCAAAGGCCTCCTCTGCACAAAGGGTATCAGGGCATAGCCCACCACACATCCCCACAGTGCATTGGCGGACTTCACATTTTTCTTTGAAATATTTTTCTTCTTATTATTATTTCGAAAATACCTAAGTGTCCTCACGATGTTTTCCTTCACCGCTGAGCACGTACTAGGTTAGCAATTAAAATTAATACGTTTGTTAGTGCCGGACGTTGGGCATGGAACGCAGGTTGATCAAGCATATTGAATTAAAAGCAAGCGCGTGGACACTGTGTTGTGTTAATGTTGTAAATATTGGATATAAAAAACGTTGAAATGTAATTATTTCCTGAATAGGTAACGTAAAAATAAAGATAGGTAAATGTCAAACTGACAGACGTTTTCGATGACAATGCGTCAAACTACTGTTAAAAACACCGCCGTAAAACATCCAGATCCAGAAGTGTTCGTTGGCGTATTCATTGAAAACCGCCAAAAAAGAAAAGAAGAAGAAGAAGAAGAACACCGCCGTAAATGAACTACTTAAAATTATTTTGAAGTTATTTATGAAAACTTGGTACGTAAAGAAAACTATTAAGTGGATTAAAACTACAATGTTTTATCACGTAAGTTTTTGCAATAATTTGTTATTTTGTAAACAACACCCATACTAATTTCAAGAACATTGCAATTAATCCTGTAAGTAAATAAAAATCTAATGTACATAAATTTCAATTTCATGTCATACTATAGATATCTTTAGAACACGAGATATTGCTGCATCCTCGGTATTTTGGACCACAATTACTGGATACTGTTAAACAAAAGTTGTACACGGAAGTTGAGGGGACATGTACTGGAAAGTATGTTTAGAGTATTGGAATATAAATTATATTGCTCTTATTGATGGCCAAATGATAGCATGCTTTATTGCGAGTTGTCGTTAATATACAGCTAATCTAGTGCTTTCTTTTGTTTTTTGTTTTTAGTTTTTTGTAGCTGTGCAATCTATTATAATTTTATTTATCTTAATTTTGTTTCCTTATCAATCAACTATAAACTGTTAATAAATTATAGGTACGGATTTGTAATAGCAGTGACAACAATTGACAGTATAGGAGCAGGACTTATCCAGCCAGGTCAAGGCTTTGTTATATATCCTGTTAAGTACAAAGCTATTGTTTTTAGACCTTTCAAAGGGGAGGTTTTAGATGCAATAGTTACTCAAGTAAATAAGGTAATAACTATCTCTATACCTATACCTGAAATAGTTTATAAAGTAAATTATCGTTTTTTGTTAATATAAATATTATTTAGAGAATTTTGTATGTATATATGAATTAGCTTTTTAAAAATGAAATTGAGGAAGTATAGCCAAAGAAAATTCACTACACTGATTTTAATTGTTATTTAATTTTATTATTATAGGTTGGAATGTTTGCACAGATTGGTCCCTTGAGTTGTTTTATATCACATCATGTAAGTTATATTTCAAATATGGTATTTTTAAGATTATATAGCTTCAAAAAGTTAATATTAATTTTTAGTTTTAGCATATAACTTATTTATTTCCACAAATGTACAGCATATTTTGAAGTTGATATTGCACTTAAAATAAAAATTACGATAGAGAATAATCACTAACGAATTAATCAACAAGCATAATTCTCTGGTCGCTTATTGTTTTCGAGAAGATAAATATTTAATACTTGTTATTTCTGAAAGAGAAAGTCCGTCATTTTATTACTTTGACTTCAAAAACTGTCTACATATTACTGCCATCATGATAAATATAGGAAGCGGGAGACATCATACTCAAATTAATTTATTTGATTAATTGTTTCGTTTTCCTTGAAAACTGTAAGCAACCAAAGAATTCTGCTTGTGATTAATTCATTTGTGATTTATCTCTATCGTTTAAAATTGTTTTTTGTTGCAATTTTCTGTTATTCAAAAAATTTTCTGAACATTTACCTTTTCAAATAGCCGTCTTTCATTGTCTTTCATTTGTATTTTAAGTGTTAATTTCTCCACTTAAAATGAATGGTAAAAAAATTTATAAATCTATAATTTTGAACTTGATCAGATATTTGAAACATAAATATTGATCAGTTCTATCCTGCAGCTTTTAGTCTATTTAATCTTTTACTGATTTATTTCATCTTCAGTTGAAAATATTCAGCTTTTCTTATTTTAGTCTATCCCAGCAGACATGGAATTCTGTCCCAATGTGAATCCCCCATGTTACAAGAGTAAACAGGAAGACAATGTCATACAAGAGGAAGATGTTATAAGATTGAAGATTGTTGGCACAAGGGTGGATGCCACCGGAATTGTAAGCATTTGTAGTCATTTTATTCAAAAGATACTAAGTACATACAAGCTCTGTCAACATGTCATTCACATTTTAAGATTGATAATGATGACTGAAATATGTAATGCTATTGAAGTTTCAATAACCACAATGCACCAGTTGTAATATGGAACAGTGATTTGTGTATAAAGAATCTATAAAGTACATAATTATTTACTGGATACTACAGGGATTTACTATTTTGACAAAAGTTTGCAAGTTTTATGAGAGATGGTAGCATAAACAGAGGAATTCATCTGCTTGTAAGTGACTACTGTTTTCCATCAATCAACACCCATGGCTGATTTGAAGCACTACCAGTCATTTAAAATATGACTTATGCTCGGTTTCTGAACCACCGATCATTGTAGAAGTCAACTAGCTGTCAAATAGATTTTCAAATGTTCATTCTTTTCATTAAAATCATTCTGATAAACCTAAAATTGGAATTGGAACATCATTCTGATCAATTCAGAGAGTTTAACAATCCTTTTGACAACTCAGTTACCTCACTCGCCAGAGAGGATGGAGACAGTCAATCTGTGCTTTTATACTATTTGTAATTGATAGGCCCAGAAGTGGAACTATAATTTTAGGTTGTTTTGTTATTACTTGCTTCTGTGGCGACACAATGTAATTTGATATATGAGTTGAATGCCCCATGCGCCTTACATTGTGCAGCACAGTACAGTTCCTTTTGTGTATTAAAATTTGTATTTCATTTTTTCAGTTTGCTATTGGGACTTTAATGGATGACTATTTGGGCCTCGTAACACAGTGAACACAGTATGCGTATATCTATATATGGATGCAATTAAAGTATGGAGTATAAACACATTATATTTGTTATTATTTATTTGGCATTCAATTAAACGGTTAAAAAGTACATTATTTAATGTAACAAAAGTGATTAGTCAAAAAAAGGTAAAAGTATTTGGGCATCTTCAGTCTATACAGGCAGTATGTGTGTGTGATGTTAGTAATCTTTATTATTTCTTATTTTCAGATGTATAAAATTTAGATCTTAATCTAAAATAAAGCATATGATGCAAAATACAGTACAGTCTTACTATATGGTGCTTATTATTGAATGTAATTTCATTACGCGTGAAAAGGAATTGTACAAGAACTAATCATAAGAAAATTATAAAAATACGAGTACAATTTTTATATTAATTTAATTATTTTAGAATATTGAATGCCAAATGTATTACCAATTTTTATTTTGCTTACATTCCATTAAAACACTGTCTAATTCATCGATACTGTCAAAGGATTAATAGATTTTTTTTTTATGATCCGAAAGTGGTCTAAACTCGTAACAGTTGCACAAACATACTTTCATAGGGGCATTATGTCAAAAAAAAAATTTTTATATTAACTCATATCATATACAAAATCCATACACTAAAATAAAAAGGAAATTAAAAAGTCAATCATAAAAAAGTATCCAAAGGGACGAATTAAAGTCTTTGGTTTACACTATCTATATACATAAAATGTCAAATATGTGAAAAAATAAATAAACCTAAAAAAGTGTATTACATAATTTTAAAAAATTATGGCATCTAAATAAATAATACTAAATATGAGATCAGAACAAACTAAGCCATGATTCTAAGCACCACCGACCACATATTATAAAGTTATATTAAATAAACCCATGTCATAGAACAGTGGCCTTATTACATTGAAACCACCTTGAGCGAAATACACCATAATGCTCCAGGGTGAGTTGGAGGACATAATATATTTTATTTGATTAACTAACACAAATTCTTTTCTTTTGTTAAATCTAACCATCATTATATATATATTTTCAATATAAAATATTGAGACATAACATTGTGCAATATATTATTATAATATGCTTGCATTATATTTGAACAATAAGTAATTAATTTTGCAGTCACAATATATTTGCACAAATTTTGTTCAATGAATTTACGCATTCAATGAGGCACAACCAGCAATACCTTAAATGATATATGAACATGTTTTTTTATTATAATTTGAAATTAATCTGCACTATACCAACAATTTGAAACACATTTCAAAATTGTAAGCAAAATCCAATTTTCTACAGGTGAGAAGTTGGACTGCAACATTTGAATCAAAAAGCACAAGATTATGTTAGACAACAGATTTTGATTTCATTTTTGCAATGTTCAGTACATAAAATTAGAATGTACGTCACCAGTTCTTAAGGTTGTCTGCAGGTCATGACGTCATTGAAGCTTTAACAATTTCACAAGGCACAAAACAAGAATTCAGGACATAGGAAAATTGGTTAATATGTTTAATATGTGAAACAATGATAAAATGTATATAAATATATTTGTACCTTCTAAAGTCTAATAAATAGTGTGTACTGCGCAGTACACTGAAAAAGCGAAACACTATACAATCTATAGAATAGGAATCTGTGACGAAATCTCTTACATAGGAATATTTCAGGACCATCTACTTAGACATCATACATAGAGAAAAATGACTTAAAGACAGCGAAGGGGTAACGTGGGTTGGCGCGGAGCTACTTGTATACCGACATTTTACCTACTTCAATGGGATGATAAAATGGAATTAGAATGAAAATTTACATTTATCATTAGTCTTTGGATCATTTCTCTAGTCTATTAAGTATTTATGACATATTTATTACTTCACTATATTTCTAAAGCTGATTTTTATTTTATTCATAGAAAATTTACTGCAATTGAATCTATGTGATGCAGAAGTGGAATAAAACGTCGATATGGAAGGACTTAATAGATAACCATACTAAGGGGATTAGGAATTACGACATCTATTTAACATCAGAAATATCTTAACACTCTATGAGACAAAAAATTGAGATATTCATTAACCATGTAACATGTAACTTTAACAGTTATAATACTGATATAATATATTTTAAGACTATAGATCGGAATATAACATCTATTATAAAACTGGAATTTATAATCTGTTGAGCTATTTTAATTTAATTATGTGATTGATTTGTGCTTCCCCGTCTTCTGGCAACTGTAATCGTCCATTCTGTCACTCGTAACCGAACGCCACTTGAACTGTCGTTTGCATGAAGTAAATGTGGAATGATCGAATCTCTATTGCAGACCTCAATAATTTTGACAATGCGATATATTAAATTATTTAATCTATTCCCTATGTTCGCCACAGTGCTCCCTACTGGTAGGGATGGATGAATACGCGAATACGTCATGTCGACATTTACTTCCCCAACTTTACCAACAGACCAATTCCAACAAATCCGTCACGCACGCGTTTATCGCCCGCGGTCACGACAGACCGTAACTACCCTTTTTCTACATTTTATAATAGCCACAACGACCGCAACGGTGTTTTATCGTCATGGTGGTTTGACCGCTCTCTAATAATTAGGCTGGTTTTTTAAAATTGTCGATAACAAACCTTGTGTTTTAGAGAAACAGTTTTTTGCCTCTTGGGTTGTCTACATTCAAGTTTCTCGTTCTAAGCGAATAAAAGCGCTAAGTATTGACTTCTTGCTTTTTTGGTTTAGGTAGGAGGGCTTTTCGCCACACTATTCATGGTTGACTGTATGAACTTGATTTGATGCGATCGTGTGGCCTACGCGAGTTTTACGAGTATTTAACGCGCGTCGAGGGCGGGGTGGGGGGCAGTCGCGCACGGGCGGGCGCGGCGTCCGGTGCTCAGCGTCGGACGTGGAAGCACTGGCACTACGCGTGCGGATGTCACGAGGGCCGGGCGCCAGCGCCGCTGGGCTCCGCCACCGCCGGCGACACCGGCCCGCGCACCGCCTCTATGTAGTCCTTGATCAGCGTCGCAATCTGGTACGCCTGCGTGTACGGAGGAAAACAATTAGGGATACCGCTTACTTACGTAAAATCTGTGGGGTCCCCGAGCTAGAGTGGTTACGCATTGTTGAAGATTGCCAATTTCGTGCGCTTTGGTAGTGTTAACATTAAAGTAAATAAATGAATAATTGCCTTAAACCGTCAATATTTGCCGTCAGGCTATGGCTATTATCGGAGATGTTTAGATTTCAGTATTAACTACGGTTGACAAAACTTGAGTGGGTAATTAATGTTGACTACATTTGCAACACCCGCAGTACTTTAATAAAGTGGGCGTCGGCTATCTTACTCACCAGGCGAAACGCAAAAAACACTCCCATTACTTTTCCGGACGGACCTACCCATTAGTGCAAAGCGAAGACTTCTGTCCTATCACGGTAGCACAGTGATCTTATCCCCGCCAGCACTGAGTGCGTGTAAGGAAGCAAAGTGGGGGGGCGACTCGCCTGGTCCGTGGAGAGCACGAGCTTGGCGTGCTTGCGGTCGGCGCGCGTGACGAGCAGCAGCGCGCGCGGCGCGGGCGAGACGGCGAGCAGCTGGTCGTGGTCGTGCGAGACGAGCGCGGCGCGCGCGCCCCGCCGCAGCAGCGTCAGCCCGCGCGCGTCCACCGCCAGCCAGAGCGCGCGCGGCCAGTTCGACGTGAACGATTGCTGCGGAGCGGCCGGCAGACGGTCAGTGCGAGGTCCGGGGGGCGGATTCACGAGAGAGATTCTTTTCTACTCGACTCGCTGTTAGTTACGGGGAAAATGTTTCGCGTTTCAAAATGAAGACGGCTAATGTGCTGGTTAATGCTTTTACCACCACACCTTATTGCCAATGTGGGATGGATGAGCTTATGTCAACTGGATGGCGGTTAAGAATGTAAAAGAAAAACGCCCGATGTCACTGAATGCTTTTACTGCACTGAAATATATTAAAATTATAATTACGAACTAAAGTATAAAAATAGGTCGCGCATACGAGCGCTTGCAAGTGTCAATATGTCGTGTGTGCAATTTTGTTCTACTATAGAAAATGTACGGCTTCGCCTGTACAGCTATAATGATGTATTATGAAGGCGGCCTTTGATCTATAGTGTTTCAAAGACTAGTTTTTAACGGATATCTATTTTCATAATCATGTAGGATGGAAAATCTATATCTCTCGTTTATATGTCAAGCGGTAAACTCTGGACAAGATTGTAGACATAAAAAAAGTCGAAGTGACTAGGTAGTAGGCAAGAGCCGTTGAGTAACAAAAAAAACGGCGGCGTGCGAGGGTTTAGGAAGGTGGTGATGTAGTGACATCAGTGGTCAAGAAAAGGGTAAAGGTGGCTCGAAGGCGGTAGCGAGCGCGGGGTAAGGATCGTGATGCATGTCTAAGGCAAGAGCGGAGGCGGCTTGCATACCATGATGTCGAAGACGGTGACGCGCGAGGGGTAAGGATCGTGATGCATGTCTAAGGCAAGAGCTGAGGCGGCTTGCATACCATGATGTCGAAGACGGTGACGCGCGAGGGGTAAGGATCGTGATGCATGTCTAAGGCAAGAGCGGAGGCGGCTTGCATACCATGATGTCGAAGACGGTGACGCGCGAGGGGTAAGGATCGTGATGCATGTCTAAGGCAAGAGCGGAGGCGGGCGGGGTACCATGACGTCGAAGACGGTGGCGCGCTAGGGGTCAGGATCGTGATGCATGTCTAAGCCAAGAGCGGAGGCGGGCGGGGTACCATGACGTCGAAGACGGTGGCGCGCGCCAGCGGCCAGGAGGCGGCGAGCGTGAGCGCGCGCTGCATGGCGGCGTGGGGCGCGGTGCCGCGCAGCGCCAGGTGGTGCAGGCGCACGGCGGGCGCGGGCAGCGCGGGCGGCGCCAGCCGGGCGGGCAGCACGCCGCGCGCCGCCGCCGCCCATTCCTCGCCGCCGCCCTCGCCGCCGCACTCGCCGCCCACCACCTGCGCGTGCAGCGCCGCCACCATCACCTGCGCCGGCGGAGCAAACACGTTAGTCGTCGCGTCGTTACGAAGCCGCGCGGCGCACATACACTGAGGCTCTGCAGACCCTGGCGTTTAACGTGCATTGTAGTTTTTCTTCCAGTTTATTGAGTTTCGCGACATCTATTAGTGATTTTATGTATCCCACCTAAAAAAATAAGTTTTTTTGTGTGTAAAATCTCTGAGCGCGCTACTGACCTCTGGGGGGCTAAAACGAAGGCAAGTAATTAGTTTCTGTTGCCACAATGGACAGGCTCATGAGAAGTACTTCGGCTGTACAAAAGGTCAGCGTTAAGTAGATTGGGTAAATAGTCAAACTTTCGCGTTTCATCTGGTGAGTGAAGTCCAAAGTTGGTTGTCAAGATTTATTTGTTTAGATTTAATGGTAAATGTTGATGTTTAGTTGGAAAACTGGACTCACGGCTTCATCGGTCTCTATGGGGAGGCGGTCGTGGCGTATCGCGTGCAGCACTTGGTAGTAGAGCAGCTCCATCTCGGCCACGCACGACGTGTGCAGCGGCCTCTCGCCCAGGAACAGGCGCTTCTTGAACACGAGCCTGCAAAGTGACGCAGGGTCATTGACCCGTTACGTGCCAGAGGTCGCGAGTGGACTGAGAATGATCATCATATTAAAACATGTAGAAAAAGTATCAATTTGTATGCAGGAAAGGATATAACAATAGATACGCCAAGCATTGCTTCAAATGCTAAATAACAATGTAGAAAGAAGGCGTTAAGATTTTCGTCGCTGTGGCTATCAGCCGTTTAGCTCAGTGGCTAGAGCGTTAGGCCGCGAATGCCGAAGACGTGGGTTCGATTCCCACAGCGGCGATAATCTTTTCGTACTTTTTCTACATGTTTTTAATGTTCAATCTTAAGTGCAGAGATTAGCACTATAAAAAACTTTAAAATTTATGATCATTATAATTATGAATGTGGTTGGAAGGAGTAGGGCAAGAGTGAGACCGTGGTAGGTTCGGAAGGTTGGAAGAGGAGTCTTTGCTTTAATGAGTTATTGTTAGTTGTTGTTAATTAAAATTATTATATATACTTTACAGAACACCAAAGAAAAAAAAATTAAAGGAAATGTTATATAACTATAAACTTAAAAAAAATTATGACATTGTTATTTTTTTTTTATTTTGCAATAAGCCATTACCGTCTGATTAAAATAATTATATTAAACTGACAACGCCAACAATTATATCAGAATAAGCTGTGTGATACGCCTGAACTTCGCACTGGGCGGACATCGAACCCACGATGCAGAATTAATTTGGCGACGCACACGATTAGAATTACGAAGGTGATTAGTTTATTTAGTACAAAGGTTATATTTGGCGTAGTGGAAAATGACTCTTTCCTCAGAAGGTGTGAGCTCGATCGTCACTACTGGAAAAATATTTTGTGATGAACACAGCGTTATTCAAATGTTCGGACATTTATATATCCTTAATATGCATTTATTAACAAAATAAATGTATAGGTATGTGTATCAGTCACCTAATACCCATAATATAAGCTTTACTTAGTTTGAGACTAGATAACGTAAAAATATGCCGGGAAATAATTATTGTTTGTACCGACCTGCAAGAGGCGGCGGTGGCTCCAGCCTTCTCCCAGCGCGCTAAGACATCGCCCACTCGCTCGCTGCCTGCTAAGGCGCGCTCCCCAGCGCCCGCTGGCGTCGAGTTTGCGCAAACCTCGTACAACGCGTAGCCTGTCAAATTATAATATATTTTTTGCTTTATCTGGTAAAAACATGGTCCTTGCTCTTGCTGCACGACGGGATAGTCCTGTGTTGTTATTGTGGTAGGGCCACGCAACAGTCTTCTCTGTTACACGAATGGGCAGGTCCGTCCGGGTAAGTACCATGAGTAATGAGGTATCCGGTGCCCACTTTATTAATGGGTGGAAACACATCTCCAACCATACGGGTGTTGAAAATGTCCATGGGCGGCGGTTATCACTTAACATCATGTGAATCGCCAGCTCGTTTGCCGTTTTCTAACATAAAAAAAGAACGTCTTACATACATAAATTTTATGGGGCTTGAAGACCTTCGCTTTCGTAATAATTTTGGATTTAAAACCGAGCTGACGACAGAAAGGCATAGCGTACACTCCTTCAATGCTTCTTTCAAATCTCCTAGGTGAGATCGTCACAAAATGTGAAACATGTTGCTAACGGTATTGGCTAGGTGTTTTACGACCAAATTATGATAATTTGCATATCATAGTCTATCGTCGTATATCAATTGTAATAGTGTTCTAATAAATTCTATTATCATTTATATCATCATAGCTGGTGTTAGGAATTAGTCTCAACATCGTTTTGGTCCTTCGTGCCGGATAATTTTTTCTTAAAATGCAGGGCTCTGCTATAGATGAGTTTGTCGCGCCGACCTGTCGCGGCGTCAGTGAGGCCGATCTTGTCGCGCAGCATCGCGACCAGGTGGTCGGCGGTGGCGGCCGGCCCGAACACCAGCCCGTGCTGTTTCCCGTCGAGCAGCAACACGCGCACGTGCATCGGCCGCCTCGCAGCGGCGCAGAGCAGCTCCTCGCGAGAGGGCGCGCTGCCCCGACGCCCGACCTGAGCAATGCTCAGGGCCACCTGAGCCCCGATGGAGGAAACATCAGATAGGAAACTTCAAAGTCAGTGCGCGCCGAAATAGAAGAAACAGCGCCGGCAAGACTGCTAGAGGAGTTAATTTAGGGGTGTTTTAAGTTTGATGTTATCGATGTTAATGTGCTTTTTTCGTTGTGCTTCTGAATTGACAGATTATGGTGCAGTTTTTTGTTTGAAATGTGGCGTGGTAGACCAATAATTTGTTTTTTTGTGTCAGGGGATTACTTAAAATTTTATATTATATCTATTGCTGGTTCAACACAGGTCAAAATTGAAACATTGGCGGTATGTGAACGAGTCAGCAACCACTCAGCGCATCCAGCTTGGTGTCTACTTCTGTCTCTATACACCGCGAGAAAGAGCGCACCCGCTCGATCTATCTCTATCTTCTTTCGTGTACGAAGTGCGAACGACTCTGCAACTGCTCCCTGTCTACTTCAATCGCGAGGGAGAGCGCACCTGTTCGGACTATCTCTGTCTACTCGCGTCTGATGCACCTAGTGCGGCCTGCCTCCGTCCACCTTCGCGTGCAAGTGCGAGCGGGACGCACGCGGTCGTCTCTTTTCACCGCGTACCTGCTCGGCGCGCCTCGCGAACTTGCCCTCCTCGCCGGCGTGCAGCGCGGTGCCGCGGTAGCGCAGGTGCGCGAGCAGCAGCCGCCGCAGCGGCTTGGCGGGCGGCAGCGCGGCGCCGACGGCCGCGCACAGCAGCGCCCAGTGGCGCGCAGACACGCGCGACGACGGCTCCGGGTGCTCCGTGGTCTGAGGGAGAGCGGCGACGGTCGATACTACTAGTAGGAGGTGAGGAGTCCGGGTAAGTAACACCGCCTCACAGAAGACCGGCGTCAAGTGGAAGTGTCATACTTTTGCGTTTTCGTCTGGTGAGTAAGGTAGCCGGGGTCCACTTTATTAATAGTTGGCGATGCATCTGCAACCCATTTGCAAATGTCCATGGGCGGTGGTTATCATTTAAGATCATGTGAACCGCCAGCTCGTTTACCACCTTCTCTCATAAAAAAAAACATCATCGTCACCTCGGCGCTGTTACTGGAGATTGAATTTTGACGTAAGTATTATGGAGCTAATGTCGATTACTCGCTAGTAACCAAATCTATCTGTAGATAGAATATTCCCGATACCCGGCAGCGTTGCAGCGCTGCAGTACCTGCTTGATGAGCTGCATGTAGAGCTCGCAGAGCAACGTGTCCTTCTGCAGGCAGCGCTGCAGCAGCGCCTGGGCGAGCGCCACGCGGTCGTCGCCGTCGCCCTCGTGGCTGCCGGTGCTGTTGTTGTTGGCCAGGTTGCCGGTGCTGCCCTCGGACGCGTTCAGCCCGGCGTGGCTCATTATGTCCTGCAAACGGATCGTTGACGATACCCCAAAACGTGCTTGAAATACTTACATGTCTATTGACATTTAGTTAGAATAGGGTTCTTGTTTTTTTGTTGTTGCGAATGTATGTGTAATTTTTATTTGCTTGGTTAACTTATAGCTTTACAAAAAGTTTTGAGTCTAATTCTTTGGTACGCTCTACAGCCTAAACCTTTCGACGTTTCTCAACATATGGTTTAGATTTGTCTCGTTTATAGTAGTTAGTGTATTTTGTCCTTAGATTTATCCCGGTTATAACAGTTCTATAGCGAGATTTCAATATGGTGTCGGTACAAAAAAACTGAATAAGTATTTAGTTAGTATATCTAATTCCGACTGCATTAGGCTATTTGTTTCTTTCAATAATTTGTTCCTGTTGATATTAATTCAGACAAAAACAAGTGCAGTGCAGGGACAACATAATTATTTGACAAGTTTTAGTTTTGGATTTGGCAGTATTTCAATATGGTGTCGGTACAAAAAAGAAGAATAAGTATTTAGTTAGTATATCTAATTCCGACTGCATTAGGCTATTTGTTTCTTTCAATAATTTGTTCCTGTTGATGTTAATTCAGACAAAAACAAGTGCAGTGCAGGGACAACATAATTATTTGACAAGTTTTAGTTTTGGATTTGGCAGTACCTTGAATATCTGCATGGCAGCCACCTCTTCGGCCTCGTTGAGCTTCGTGAGGCTGTGGGGCAGCGAGCGCGCCCAGCACCAATAGCCGGAGGGGAATCCCTTGTAGCTCTCGCCTTGCGATTCTGTCGCCGTGTCGAGACGCACCCTCTCCAATCTGTGCTTGCTTAGCCTAATAGAGATGTAGTTGTTTTCTCAATTACTTGTAATGGAAATAGTTCATTATGTACTTTAATATCAAATTGACGTTTGCATGCTGTAATTAGCTGAATATGTTGCACCAAATTATGATGAATTAGATCACAATGTGCGGCCATATTTCGGCGGTAAAGACCTTCATTAATCCATTCATTCATTCATTCATTCATGAGTCATTTAAAACAGGAACGCGGATTTTAATTATGTTAAATTTCTGCCGTTGTATGAACGGGCCAGTTTGTCCAGGGAAGTGGCTACGGCTTTGCGAAGACTAATATTTATACTTCGTCTATCAGAGTCAGGTAGCCGGTACCACCGCTGTTAAGGTTGACAACGTAACACTACGCAACGTAACGAACCTTAGGTCCTATCAACATCAGGTGAACTGTCAGTTCGCTTGCCGCCTTCTACACATAAAAAAGGTAAAGTAGACTTTAAGACACGTAAGGTGCAACATGGCTTTCCCCCTTCTCACGTACAGCGGTAAAGTAGACTAAGTCGCAGGTCGTACATGGCTTGCCTCCTCACATAAAGAGGTAAAGTAGACTTTAAGTCTTAGTCGTAAGGTCGAGTATGGCTTGCCTCCGCAAGGTGTTCCTGAGGAAGCCGCCCGCGGAGAGGTCGGTGGGGCGGCGCAGCAGGCCCGAGTCGACGAGCGCGCGCCGCGCCGAGCGCAGCGCGGCCGCCAGTCGCGCGCGCTCGCCCGCCGGCGCCGCACGCCTCGGCGGCTCCTCCGCGAGCCCGTTCGCCAGCGTCGGGCTGTACGCGGCCATCAGCCAGGCGGCCTCCTGCTTCTGCGGCGACTCGAGCACTATGCACCTGTCGATAAACGTTCATGGATTGTCTGTGTGGGGAAATCCGAAGACGTTAATCTATATTTATAATAAAGAATTGTGAACTGTCGAGTTGTCTGAATTTAGAAATCCGAAGACGTTACTCTATATTTAATAATAATAAAAAATTGTGAAGTGTCGAGTTGTTTGAATGGAGAAATCCGAAGACGTTAAACTATAACACTTAGATGCTGTCACTGAATCAAAATTAGCGATTATGAAGTTTTAATAAAACATGGTCCTCGCTGGCCGGATGAATACTGCGAAGCATTCGAAAATTCGGAAAACTCAAATAAAGCACGGTGATATACGTAAATTACTTTCATTAATTTGTGCAATATTTGAGTAAATAAGACAAATTACTGTCATAATAACATCTACATTCAAGATGACATCTGCCAATCCATATGAGCTTATGCCTGAATTCTCTAATAGAACAGGCATTTACCTAGCATTAATTTACTCTTATATCTCGCTATTTATTAGAATGATAAATTGGAGTTGTTTCATTGATGGAGAATTCTGTTTAATGCAGGATGTGGAGAGGTAGTAAGTACCTCGACGTAGTCCTTTTGCAGGTCAGTTATTATTAATTCTTCTTCAAAATTTAAAAAAAGGAAACAAACAACCACAGACGTTTTTATCTCTAAATATCAATAAATTTACCGACGCTCGCGATAACAGCTGCTCAAATAATGGGTTGGCATCTTTGTATCCTATTTGTCCCCAAATCTGTCGAGTAACCTAACCTAACCTAACCTAACTTGCTCCGACTGCGGCTGGCGTGATCCTTACCTCAGCCCGTCGTGCTGACCGTGGTGGGTCAGGCTGATGGTGAGCCCGTTGTCCACTGGGTCCATAAGCAGCGCAGCAATGTTTGAGTACGGGTATTCGGCTAATACCACTTTATCCGCCGGCCGGACTAGCACCACGCCTTCCGCCCCCACACCAAGTAGGACGTTCGGCCCTGGTATAAACGGAGATACATATAATTCTCCAATCGCTGTTGTTAATAAACTTTCTGGATTATGTATATAATTCTCCAATCGCTGTTCCCGCGTTGTTAATAAACTTTCTGGGGTATGTTTGAGTTCCTCAATGCATTAGTACTGTATAATAGAAATTATGTGTGTTAGTTTGTCTCTTGCAGAGTAAACGAAACGCATAAATATATTTCTATTAACTTTGTGTAAAATGAGATCGCAAATCGTCTTCTTTCTCCTGCACTTAGCCCACCTACGCGAGGTCGGCACCGTCGGTGATAGACGGCCGGTTTGAGCACCGAGATACGCAACAATTATGTCACAAATAATTGTCCCGTTTGTGAACCCACGACCTCCACGCCGAAAAGCAATGGCTTAGCGATTGCGCTACTGAGTCTATTACAATAGATTGCATGTACACGGAAATCATACCCAGGAATTAATACGCAATAAGCATGCGTTGAACACTGTTGACGCTAACAAATTTTCAGTAAAATACAGAGGGTAAAACTTACCGTGGGCCCAATACCCCTTGTAGGTGACTGGGAACAGCGTGACTCCGTAGAGGGGGTACTGCATCACGCAAGATAGGTACAGAGCTTTGGCGGTGAGCTCAGCGCGCCCAGCGCCGTACTGGCGATGCGCCTGCGCCAGGATTGTGGCCTGCTTGGTCAAATTAAAACCTTTGCTATATTACCCTGTTTAAAGTTTGTTTATGTGAAAAGTTTCCAAACGAGCAGACAGTTCATCTGATGTTAAGTGAATACCGCCGCCCATGGACATCTGCTACACCCGAGTGTTGCAGATGCGTTGACAACCTTTTGGAAATTGGGCTCCGGCCACCTCACTCATCAGACGAAACGTGAAAGTATTATACTTCCACTTTACGCTGGTCTTCTGTGTGGTCGTGGTACTTACCCGGACGAGCCTGCCCAATCGTGCAACAGACGAGGCTACTGCGTGGCCCTACCACTGTAAAATGTAGTTTAAAATAATAGAAATAAAAAACCTCACGTAACAAAAATGTTCTGTGAAGTATGCTTAATCACGATATTTAGAACGTCACGATATTTTATAACACCGTGTATTTGAAAACAGTTTTATATGCTGTGTATTGAAAGACTATTAAATCTCCTTAAATGTCAAAAAGGAATATAGGAACCGACTCGACTGGAGACGCCTCATTGATGAGGATCTTGGAATACGCAGCAGCTTCCGACAGCCAAGCTTTTGCAAACTAAGAGTAGTGCGCTAAAGCATCTGTATTTCGCTGACGTTAAGTACATCGCGACAGTGTTCAAAAAACAAGCCGATGCCATATTTACGAAACTGTTTCAATATCGACACCGTTTACGAAACAAGATACGGCAGTACACCACTAAGTGGGCGGTACCGACCCACTGGTGGGCGGGGCGGGCGCGCGCGATCCGCTGCGGCAAGAACTGCTCCGGGTGGGAGTAGTAGGCGCGCGTGTGCGGCGGCGCCGGGCTCGGCGGCGGCTCCCCGAGGGACACCTGCGCCTGCAGCCCGGCCAGCTGCAGCGCCACCTTCTCCGACACGGGGAACTCGTCCAGCTGTTTTGGGTGACAAGAGAAACGCCCCCATTATCGAACGAAACCATTTCTATACTACGCGACGCTCCGAATACTTTGCAGCGATCGTGTTCGCGGGACAGATAAATGTATAAATATAACAATAAACTAAACATATAAAAATAACTTCGTGTTCCCGTAAACACAAACTCTCGTAGAAATCCGGAAAACGAAGAAATAATATATGCAGGCTATATAAATTCTTCTCTAAAATCTTAATACCGCACGTTAGACGTCACACCGAATTCCATAAGTACTTACGTCTATAAATTACTTAATAATGATTAATAACATAAATAATAAATTTAGTTAACCGGAAGTAAATGTTTGAGGTACCATAAAGTTGAACATTTCCTTAGTTTATTCTCAATATCGGCTCGAAGGACCATGTCAAATATATATGGACCATTCATGATTTTTGATCCAACTAAAAATATCCGAACTACCTACACCTGCAAACACAGATAAATCCGTACCTTTACTACACTGTGGACTGCCTGTGCGTATAGCAAGGCTACTTCAACGGGATCGTGGGGCAGTTCCCGACCACCGCGGAAAAGTCGCCGTTTGAATACGAAGCGATTGTCTGCGGATCCCCCGCCAGGACCTTGCTGCCTGTGTACATAAATTTGTTGTAATATGTTAACCTTCACCTCATCTTTTTTATGTAAGATGACGGTTCACCTGACGTTAGTGATAACGAAATTCGAATAAAGAAATTTTGATGTGATGTTAAGTGATTACCTCCGCTATAGTACCTAATGTGCAACATCTGTAGAGTTGCAGAGAACGTGCAGGAACGCAGGCTTGGGACAGTTTTCAACAGCTAAAGCAAATAGCTAGCTAAAAGTATCTACTTGAAACAAGAATAAAAGCGTTATTGTTTTTGGAAGGCGCGATAGAAAAGTTGGCGCGTGGCCTGACCCTGGTTGTTCACATTTGAACTGGAATATAATGATAAACCGGAATATAATGATAAAATTGAATTTGACTACTATTTGGTAAATTAAACTAAATGATAACGAGAACGCGCGGTGTGGACGTAGACGAACTGGTCGTTAATTGAATGGTCGGAATGCGTTAAGATTTTCGTCGGTGTGGTAATCAGCCGTTTAGCTCAGTGGCTAGAGCGTCAGGCCGCGAATGCCAAAGACGTGGGTTCGATTCCCACAGCGGCGACAATCTTTTCGCACTTTTTCTACATATTTTAATGGTCGTTAATTTTTACAAATCGAACACGTTGAGCAAATGCTAGGATATTACGTGCGGCTCGTCGCCCGTAAGCTGGCCCGCACGAACTGGTCGTTTACAAATCGGAAACACCGTGCGCGTGTAGTTCTAGAATGTTATGTGCGGCGGCGGGGCCACGAAGTGTTCGTAATTTTTACAAATTTAGCCGAGCGTGTGTGATGCTAGAGTGTCACGTCGGCGTGGTGGGGCCACGAATTGGTCGTACAAATCCAAAACACCGAGCGTGTGTAGTTCTAGAATGTTATGTGCGGCGGCGGGGCCACGAAGTGTTCGTAATTTTTACAAATTTATCCGAGCGTGTGTAATGCTGGGACGTTAGTTGGGGCGCGTTGACGTGCGGCGGTGGGGCCACGAGGCGGTCGCAACTCACATCTCCCAGGCGGCGATGACGTCGTAGAGGTAGTGGGCGGCGCGCACGTGGTCCTCCTTGTTGGCGCGCTGCTGGTAGACGGCCCAGCCGGCGCGCGCGTGCGGCGCCAGGCCCAGCTTGTCGGCGAGGCGCGCCGCCGCCGCGGCCGCCGTGTCCGCCGGGTGCACGTCGATCGCCTTCGTGCGCCCGTCCAGGAAGAAGAAGCGGCACACGATCGTGCCGAGGCGCCGCATCGCCTGCGCATCCGGGCCCGCTTTGGACGTTCGCTCTGTGCTCCGCTTATATACTAGGGTTCGGGGGCGTTTCGTGATTTTTGTCGCCGCGAGTCGCGGGACTTTCGGCTCGAGACACGAGACGAGACAAGATTGTCGAAATTATTATATAATCGTTTTTATTTCCATATAATTAATGGAAAAAAATAATTTCCCTTACTTTAGGATATCCTGTGTTGTAAGGACGTTTCATAAACATAAATTTTACGTGGATGGACGTGGTAGAAATAATTGAAGGAGCCTAGCGCCATCTTTTAGTTTAATGAATAATTACTTGGCCTAATACGTAACTATTGAGTACACAATACAAAAACTTAAATTATTGTATTGTGTATATACTCATTAATCGTTGTGATTATGACCAATGATTAGATACTAGAATTACTAAATAACAGTAATGTTATTAAGAATTAGTTTTAAAAATGTCCATTTTTCTAGAAATTTCACAATTTCGTGTTACGTGCAGATAAAGAAAGGAGAGGGAGGTACAGCACCGCAAAAATGAGTATGGATCAAATTGTTATACTCACCGCGATCTCTACGGTGCTGGGCGGCAGCAGGCGGGGCGCGGCGCCGCGGCAGTTGTCGAGGCACCACTGCGCGCAGTGGGCGGCGCGAGGCGCGCTCGGCGCCGCCCGGGCGCGCGTCCGCAGCCAGGCGCAGTAGTAGCGCGCCAGGCCGCGGCTCGGCTGCCACGCCACCGCGCACAGGCACAGCACCAGCCACACGCGCTCCGCCCACTCCTCCACTGGGCACTCGGTCAGCTGCCCGAAGCGGTTAGGTCTTAACGTGGGCACGTCCCACGGCTGGGCAAAGGACTCCTCTGTACAGAGGGTACTAGACCACAGCCCCAAAGTAATAGTAAAGTGACAGCCTATACATGTCCCACAGATGGGCAAAGGTGACCTCTATACAGAGGGTATTAGGATATAGTCCCAAATTAATACTAAAGTGACAGCCTATACATGTCCCGCAGATAGGCAAAGGTGACCTCTGTACAGAGGGTATTAGGGTATAGTCCCAAATTAATAGTAAAGTGACAGCCTAAACATGTCCCACAGATAGGCAAAGGTGAACTCTGTACAGAGGGTATTAGGGTATAGTCCCAAATTAATAGTAAAGTGACAGCCTATACATGTCCCGCAGATAGGCAAAGGTGACCTCTGTACAGAGGGTATTAGGGTATAGTCCCAAATTAATAGTAAAGTGACAGCCTAAACATGTCCCACAGATAGGCAAAGGTGAACTCTGTACAGGGGCTATTAGGGTATAGTCCCAAATTAATAGTAAAGTGCAGCCTAAACATGTCCCACAGCTGGGCAAATGCCTCCTCTGCAGAGAGAGGGTATTATTGCATAGTCCAACACCGCGCGACTGCACTGCTGATTGGCGGACTTCGCATATCTATAATTTTTTTGTTATTATTTAAAAAATATGTGCATTCACGTTTTCCTTCACCGCCGAGTGCGTGTCAGCGAACTCCGTTCGGAAAGGTTCCGTAGAAACTTATTATCTTATGAGTAAGTTACAAATCAACAATTTACGGGTTTTCCTTGTTTTGAGTACAATAAAATACTTTGGACTGTAGTCCAAAGTAGTTTTTTTAGTTTTTGTAGTTTAGTCCAAGTTAGTATTTGTAGTTTCCTTGTTTTGTATTGTCCAACCTTATGGACGGATGGAGTTGATGATTCTGGGTCCGCAGGATATATAATACGGATTCTTTCTTTTTTCCTCCTCTTATCCCACCTACGTGGGGTCAGCACAACAAATGAATCATGTTGCTAGGTTTTGACGACTTCATGCCTGATGTCAACCTTCCTTTATTACATAACGGAACAAACATTCAGATCCGGAATTTTCTGTGGATCCCACAACTATTTTTCCCGCGTGGTAACCGAACCCGCGACAGAAGCCAACAGCTTAGCGACTGTGCCAATGCCATACTACAGTAATTGGAAGATAATATAATATATCGCTTTACCTGTCTAACGCATTGGATGATTATTTCATCTCTCAACTCCTCCCTTTCAAGTCCTTTGCCGATCACCGACTGGATCACTTGCGTCTCCTTTTCCGTAGTCAATTCACCCCTCATGTACCGGCACAGGTCCTGCGATGAACCAAAGGATTACGATTGCCATCGCCACATTTTGATATCTAGTAATCACAAATCTGTTTAATATGCGGTTGAATTGTGGTTTGTTTAAGGTATAACACTGAATGTAACATTATCTTTGTAAGTATAAAAAGTATATTTGGTGTAGTGTCTTTCTCCCCTCCTCAGCTTTAAATAATTTTAAGCCCGGAATCAATTGTCAAAAAAAGAGTTTTGGTTTCTGAAATTTTGATCATTAAGAAGTTCATTCTCATCAATTCAGGGAGTTTAACAATTCCTCTGGCAACTCAAATAACAATTGAAAAGTCATTTGACAGCTGATTAGTTAACATTTACGATGATCAGTGTTTCAGAAACCGGGCGTAAGTGTAAGTTATAACTTACTGGCTTTTCGCCCGCGGCTTCGCTCGCGTTGAGCCCTTAAATAAATATCGTTGTTTAAAAAAATCCAATTAAAAAATAGCCTATGTCCTTTCTCAGGCTCTAGCTAGACTGTGTACCAAATTTAATTTAAATCGGTTCAGTAGTTGTGGGGTGAAAGCGAGACAGACAGAGTTACTTTCGCATTTATAATATTAGTACGGATGTGACCATTTACCCGAAAAATGTTGACTGCAGCCGTGACGCTGTCCGGGTCGTGGAGCTGAATGTGCGAAGTCGGGATATTGTTGCCCTTATGATAGGTTATCATTTCCTCTTTCGTCAGCAGCTCCATCGATTTGCTCTTCCGCGTCAACGTCGCGATTATGGTTCCTGTAAAACCGTAATACTTGTCAAACAAAAACGAACATTTATTGGAATCTTAAATTTTACAAGTTTTTATTAACGAAAAAAAACTAGTGGGCGATTTCTTACTGTGGCATAAGAAAATTTTTTTAGAAGACTTTTTTATTCTGTATTGTATCGAATCGGCCCCATAACATTTTAATTATTTTTTTTGCTTGACCTCGCTTTTAATTCTAAATAATAAACAAGAAATATTTTAGAAGATAATATGTTAAGTCTGCCAAATATTCAGTTCCTGGACTATGCCTACTACCCAATGAAATTTTTTATAACAATTTTTATTTTTAACTCTTTATAATAAAAAAAATATATAGAACAGATATGGGGCAGTGGGACATTGGATTATACGCTCTGCGCCATTGAGATAAGGTTACGTTTTGATTGGCGCGACTTGCCTTCGGGCGAGCGCGGGTGGTCGTTGAAGTAGAGCTTGGCGAACTCGGCGAGGTCGGTGGCGTCCGCGGGCGGGGTGGTGGGGGGCGCGCTGTTGGGGGGCGACGCCGCCTCCATCTGGTGCAGGCGACGCTCGACGCGCTCCTTGCGGCGCGCGTTGCGTTCTGTGCTCTATGGCCAAGGTAGAGGGTTGAATTTTGGGTGCATAAACATCAAGTCAATTTGGAACATTGGTAGAGATTACGTGGGCATTCTACGATCCTTGCTTTATTATTCTCCTCCACATTAATACGTCTACAAGTACTTCGTACTTTACGCTTAAACAATGTTTGGTTAAAATGTCTTCTCCGTATAGTCAATATTATTTCTTTAATAAAATAAATAAATTAGTTAGTTAGGTATTGGAATATTTTAAATGCGGAGGTTTAAGTTTAGTACTTATTAGTATACTGGTAAATCTTATTAACTGTAAATTTTCCTTTAATTTATCAATAAAAGATATTACTTCAAAATTACTAACAACATTAAACATATTATTTTCAATTCGCTGCCTAACTGCAGTATCGTAAATAAAAAAATCTTTCCTATTTTTGAATGGTGCCAGAAATTCACACGACAGATGGTAATAAATTACACAAAAAGCATCATCCTCCTGGCCTTATCTCAAGTGTGGTCAGCGCAATATAATGAATGTTATTGAAGTTAATTTTTATGTTTTTAAATTAAATGAAGTTAATTATGTTCTTGGTGCTTTTGGCTAGGGTTTTTACGATCCGCTGAATGCCTGACGTCAATCCTACTCGTGAACAAACACCCAGATACGGAACAATTATTTAGTGGGTCACACAAATACTTTCCCCATGCCGGAATCGAACCCATGACCCCCGGCGCACAGGTCAATAGTTTTGACATTTGCGCCATTGAATAGTCAAAATTATATTAAAATACAGCAGTGTTGTTACTTTGGTATCCACGCAACAGCTTCGACTGTTGCACGAATTGGCAGGCGCGTCCGGCGAGGTGCCCACAGAACAATAGCGTGAAGTGAAAGTATAAAACTTTCGCGTTTCGTCCGGTGAGTGAGGTAACCGGGTCATTTATCAATGCCTATAATGGTTCTTTTATTCAACGGGCCGCCGTTAGTTACATAGCTTCGTAACTTTTATAACGCAACGCCGGCAACGCAATTGTGAGCCCTCGGGTGTTGCAGGTGTTCATGGGCGGCGGTAATCACTTACCATCAGGTAAGCCTCCTGTTCGTTTGCCGCTTTTTTCTCATAAAAAAAAAAAAACATCAGCCGAACTGCCAGCTAGCTCGCCACCTTCTCACATAGAAAAAAAAAAACATTCTGTTGGCGTTCTGGGACTCACATTTGAGTCACCGTTCATCGTCGGCGGTGGGCTGATGCACGTGTCCATTGGGATGGCGGCCGAAGCCGATGACGTGTTGTCCGGTGACGTCACAGCGCTCGGAGCCGGCGGGAGGGGCTCCTCGAAATTCTCCGCGTCCGTTTCTTTACCAGCAAACCTAAAAGAATACACATTACTGAATCTCTTTGGAGTGAAACTATTTTGTGAAATAATAAGCTCGAAGAACTACAACTGGGTCATAAATTAAGAAGAGTTCTCTGAAGTTTAAGGTCAATACGCTATCTTACCCGTTATTCTCCGGTGGTAAAAGCGGCGGTGGCGGCGGTGTGGTGGTGGGGGGGTCGCTAACCGGTGGACGGGGAATTACCGATTCGTATATCGGCTCCTTCCCATTGACTACCGAGAGCTTGCCATTCGGAATTATTCCGTTCGTGAGCTCAGGTGGCGTCGTATCTGTTGTTATAATAAAAGAGAAGAAAAGATAAATTGAGAAAAATAATAATCTACCTCCTACTCTTAAGCTTAGGGGCAAGGTCAAGTACCTAGGAAGTAGGAAAATGTTCTGCAGGATATTAATTTGTGGTATCAATCCATTTTTTACAGTCGTCTCTTCCTTTTTAATTGCATTTTTTATGTGACAAGGTGGCGCGAGCTGGCGGTTCACCTGATGATACGTGATGACCACCGCCCATAGATTTTCAAGATTTGCAACCCCTAGTGTTGCAGATGCATTGCCACCTTTTAGTAAAGTGCGCTGCGGTTACCTCACTCATCAGACGAAACGCAGAAGTATAACACTTCTACTTTAGGCCGGTCTTCTGTCAGGTCGTGGTACTTCCCCGGACGGACCTTCCCTTTCGTTCAACAAAAACTGTTGCGTCGCCATACCACAGTAATTGCGTGCGATAATTAAATAATTACTACCTAAAATGATGAAAACCCAGCTCTATTGTATACAGGTGACATTATTTAAATATTTTTGAAGAAGCGTATTGAGAACTTTTGATTCAGCCTTTTTGTGCATTCGTCATGCTATCGTTGTTATACTTTTTATATTGGTCCAAAATTATGTTAAATATTTTTATTGGTAAAATTATATCGAATATTTTATTGTTCTTTTTAATTCAATTCAAACTCGTAGTGAACTTTAACGCCCGGTTTCTGAAACACTGATCATCGTAGATGTCAACTAATCAGCTGTCAAATGGATTTCAAATTTCATTTTAGTTGCCAAAAGGATGTTTAAACTCTTTGAAGTGGTGAGATATCTGACGTATACCTTTGACGGCTGGCGGCGGTGGGGGCGGACCCGCCGGTTCCGGCAGCGAGCACGTGGTGGGCGGTGAGGGGAAAACTGGCGACTCGTCTATCGGCGGCTCCATCGGCGGCGGAGGGGGGAGTATAAGCGATGACGTCATCGCGTCGCCGTTCGACTGCAGCGAGCCGTTCGTGAGCGATGACGTCATGCCGTTCGTGAGCGATGACGTCATGCCGTTCGTCATCGACGACGTCATGCTGGGAGCCGGGGTCGCGGGCTGCAGTATGGAGTGGAGGGGGAGGGAGGAGGGCGGAGGGGGCGGGATGTCGTCGGAGGGCGCCCCGTCGGGCTTCCGCTGCGCCTCCGTGTGCGATTTGCTCAGTTCGTTCATCTCCGCTGCCAGCACGTGCTCCAACTGCAGACGAGCACGAGAATCGATTAATTATGTGTTACGATCTATAAATATACCCAGAATTTGGAGAAATAAATAATTTATTTCCGCATTTATTTCAAATCAGCAAAGAATGCAATATTCGTCTATCCTTGTCTATCGTACATCATGTCGATTTTTCTAATTCGTATCGGATGTATATTGGCAGCTGGTTATGTAGCCATCAAAATATACCTACACATATGTATATATACAACGAGACACGAGTTTATTAATGTTATCCTCATCAATTCGGCCTGGTAAAGTTCATTCCTAAACTTAGCCTTCCCATGATCCTGAGCCACCTGAGCTATCAACTTCGCCTTCCAAGACTCTGTTCTATTAATAAGGTTAAGTTTCGAATTGAAATGATTGATAGAGATCATAGACAGATAACCCTACGCCTACTCCTATTAATAAGGTCCACTTTGCAATTGACCTCTTTAAGAAGGTAGGGTAGATAGCGAACCTTAAACCGTTAACAATAAGGTGCAGTTTCGGATCACCTCTTGGTGCAGGTCGTCAGCCAGGCGCTCCATGGAGTCGCCGATCTCCGCGATGGTGGGCTGGTGGGCGGGCTGGCCGTCGGGCGCGCCCCTCTGCGCGGGCACGTCGGCCAGGAAGTCGAACAGGTTGTCCAGGTTCACGGACTCCGCTCTGCCGCCGCCGGGGCACGAGAGGCCGCGCAGCTGGTCCGCCATCGTCTCCAACTCGGCCCGTTCCATGTTCACCTTCTCCGCGAGGCTGTCGGAAGGAACGAACGCTCACGCTTTCGGCTTAATCGATGACCCGATTGGCGTAGTGACTAGTCCACCTGTCTTTTGCGCATGATGGTGTGGGTTCGATTCTCACTATTAGAAAATATTGTGTAAGAAAGTATGTTTAAGTATGTTCACAAGCTTTGCATACTTTGGGACTAGAAAACGTTTTAAAAATATGTACTGAAAGTGAAATGTATTATTACTATTTATATTGTTGCTGCTTTAGGGCAACGTTGCTAGCTAATGAGGCGTCAATAGGCGTATGCCAGAGATCTGTTCCGAAAAGGTATGTTTTTCAATTACCTAGTGTCTACAGTACAAGCTTTGCTTAGTTGGTTCTAGAGAAGATAAAGGGCCAAGACCCAACTAAGCAATTACAGCGCTTGCTTCAGCGCTGACTTAGGGCAACGGCGCTAGCTAATGAGATAACATCGTCGACGCCGAAGTGTGCCGTCGGACCTGTTCCTCTCCTCGCGCAGCTTCATCTCGTCGTTGACGCGGCGCATCTCGCGCAACGCGGCGGCCACCTCGCGGGCGAACGCGCCGCGCAGGTGCCGCTGCAGCGTGAGCGCCGCGCGCCGCAGCCGCAGGAAGCACGCGCGCTCCTTCCAGCCGCGCCACGCCGACTGCAGCACCACCGCGGCGCCGTGCAGCTGCGCGTACTGGCGCCGCTGCACGCTGCCCTTGTACCACTGCAGGGGGGGCGGGGGGGGGGGGGGGTCGTACGTTAGAGCGTTCTAGACGATCGCACGCAATACCTACGGTACCCAGTTTCATTTCTAGCATATCCAGTACCACTGGAGAGGGGGTGCAGGGGAGTCGTACGGTAGAGCGTTCTAGAACGGTTCCACGCCAAACCCATGGTGTCCAGTTTCATTTCTAGCATATCCAGTACCACTGGAGAGGGGGTGCAGGGGAGTCGTACGGTAGAGCGTTCTAGAACGGTTCCACGCCAAACCCATGGTATCCAGTTTCATTTCTAGCATATCCAGTACCACTGGAGAGGGGGTGCAGGGGAGTCGTACGGTAGAGCGTTCTAGAACGGTTCCACGCCAAACCCATGGTATCCAGTTTCATTTCTAGCATATCCAGTACCACTGGAGAGGGGGTGCAGGGGAGTAGTACGGTAGAGCGTTCTAGAACGGTTCCACGCCAAACCCATGGTATCCAGTTTCATTTCTAGCATATCCAGTACCACTGGAGAGGGGGTGCAGGGGAGTCGTACGGTAGAGCTTTCTAGAACGGTTCCACGCCAAACCCATGGTATCCAGTTTCATTTCTAGCATATCCAGTACCACTGGAGAGGGGGTGCAGGGGAGTCGTACAGTAGAGCGTTCTAGAACGGTTCCACGCCAAACCCATGGTATCCAGTTTCATTTCTAGCATATCCAGTACAACTGGAGAGGGGGTGCAGGGGAGTCGTACGGTAGAGTCGTACAGTAGAGCGTTCTAGAACGGTTCCACGCCAAACCCATGGTATCCAGTTTCATTTCTAGCATATCCAGTACCACTGGAGAGGGGGTGCAGGGGAGTCGTACGGTAGAGCGTTCTAGAACGGTTCCACGCCAAACCCATGGTATCCAGTTTCATTTCTAGCATATCCGGTACCACTGGAGAGGGGGTGCAGGGGAGTCGTACGGTAGAGCGTTCTAGAACGGTTCCACGCCAAACCCATGGTATCCAGTTTCATTTCTAGCATATTAAGCACTAAAGTTTCGTAATGGCTGTGGGTGTCATTCTAATAGGGACTGCTTTGTAACACTGGAGGGCAGTAGATGCTTGTTCTAGCGTATTAGACCCGAAATCTGTGGTCTTTGTCTTAGCTGTGGGAGGTACTCTAATATAGACAGGCGCCGCCGCTGCACGCTCTTCTTGTTTCGAACTTCGAGAACTTTCTACAACGATCGAACGAAGTTGTAGTACATTAGCAACCGCTGCAAGATTCTGTGGGCCTTGCAAATGCTTACGCATATTAATAACTCTCTAAACAAGTAAGTTACGGTTCGTACGAGCACTTACTGGTGACTTTAAGTAGTTATTAGTCTATTTGACACTACTTGTAGATGGTGAATGCCCTTCGGGGTATAAAAAATAGTTATAAACCTATTCCCATATGTAATGAATATACCTATAAAATTTCACGAAAATCGGTCAAGCCGTTTTGGCGGAGTATAAACACTAAAACTGTGACACAAGAATTTGATATATTAGATATACCTTACAGGATGTTATAAAAACGTGGGAAATTAAGGATTGATACATATTCTAGCAATTGTAGCTGCAATCAAATTGTAAAAAAAACAACTCACTTTCTGTATGAGAAGTGCGGAGGCTTGCAGAAGGGCTGTCCTTTTGGCTTCCAGTGGCGAGTGCACCGAACTTCGCATGAATATCTTCGTGTGCCCAATCTGCCAGTCGCTCTCGGGCGCGTTCACCAATGATGTGATTGCTCTAATAAAACAAATATGTAATATTAGGGAGTAAACAATAACTTTCATTAAATTTCATAGTTTTCATTTTAACATAGTCAATAAGCGATTAAAACTTTAGAATAGCGGGCATATCGTATCGTCAATTTGTAAAAAAAAAACAAAAAATAAGGATAAATCCTGAGTCGCGGGAAATATTTATTAAATCGTTCAATAACAGTTAATAAATATTTAACATTCAATAACAGTTAATAATTATATATTAACTGCTATTAAACGACAACCGCCGCCCGTGGACTCCCGGGCTCCCGTCCCGGGCTCTCTGACGGAGTTGCCCATTGGTGCAACAACAATGACTGTTGCCCATTCGTGCAACATAGACCGTTGCCCGGGGTATTGCCAACGGGGTACCCACGAGATGTCCGGCCGCCTTGGCCTGGGGTGGGGCAGCAGGCAGCGGTAGCGCGCCTGGAACAGAGGCGCGGGTAGGTGCACGGGGTAGCCGTCGCGGCGGATGCGCACTATCTCGTTCATGCCGAGGTAGCGCAGCTGCTCCAGCACCAGCTGCTCGCTGTACTTGCCCGCCTCCTTGTTCTCGTTCGGCTTTATGCAGCGCACGTACCTGCGGGTACAGTCGACGTCAGACAGAGTGGACTTATCGAACGCTGCGTGTACAGTCGACGTCCGACAGCGTGGATTTATCGAATCGACTAGTGGACGCTGATATCGTGTACGATGTGGTTTGTTTATAAAATAGTAAATTTAATGCGATGTTTCGTGATTTCAAAATAATTGGTCGAATTTGGTGAAAACTAATGTTTAAAAATGTCCAAACAGAAATGATCTCCCTTGAATTTTTTTTCTATATGCCCGAGAGCTTTTCTCGAATAAACTCCGAAATTACTCAATGAAAATTATTGGTGTGGTAAAATGATAAGAGCATAAATATTTTAATGAATATATGTAACATTTTCCATTTTGATAACGTCGAGGGCCGCCTTGGGTGTAATAGCTATTTAGTAATATATCGAATAGTTTAAGGGCGTACGAATAGTTGAGCGGTACCCATACGTATTCGAGTATGTAACTCGAATACGTATGGGTACCGCTTAAACCATAATGAATGGTTCTACAAACATCGTATAAGCTTAGACATCGTCTTTATTTGTAAATTAAACTTTATTTGTTCCTTAATAATCCTTAACAAAGAGTCACCTGGCATATTTGCACATCAACAATATTATCCCCTTACCAAACATCGGTAGCTTGAAGCATATCAACTAATGACTGTAGCTGAGCTCGGAACGTATCGACAACGGTAGGTCGACCCTTCGACGTACCTCGCTGCGTCGTACTTGTTGCACCCGGGCTTGAAAGCGTTAAATCCTGAAATAAATAGGTTCGGTAATAAACATCTGATCAGTTCTAAGAGTCATATATCCCATTTTGGAATATATGATATAAAAGGGAATAAAAATACATGCTAAAACTAAATTTAAAAGATCCGGCTCGAAGGACCATTACAAATAAAATTACAAGTAATAATTTTTTGCTTATAAAAATACTATATATTATTTGAATTAATTCATTAATTTAGATGTTTCGATCCCTTTACAAAGCCATGTAAATTGTAAATTATTCATAACATCGGGAATTGAACCTTAAATCGAAGAATAACTCAAAAAATATTAGTCAAACCTGACAAATTACAGACGTATACTCCAAGTGCTCACGCAGATATAACAGGTATATGGTACAAGTGGAGGAAGTTATGGGTACTGACGTGTCCGGGAGGCGCCAGGTCCTGGGAATAATCCGCCAGCTCTCTGACGAAGGGATTCGCCGAGCGGCTGAGGTGGTCTATGAAGGCGTCCTGTTGGGTGTCCCTGTTCTTGTCCACGAAACCGTGCACGCTGTAGGTGACGGTGCCCGCGTAGTGCTGCACGCCGAACTCCTCCTCCCACCTCCTGCGGGAGCCCTTCACGAAGCTCTGGTGGTCGCCGAACTCGCCCTGGATGTTGGTCAGGTACGCGCCGTCGCAGCCCTGGAATAAATAATTGAAAATCGTAAATATTCATCGTTATCTTTATATGTTTTATTCTTCTGTACGTGTTTATGTCACTGAACTCCTTCTAAACGGCTGGACCGATTTGAATGAAATTTTTTGTTTCATGGTTTAGATTCACAATTCGTTTTTTATTTATTTATAAGTCGTTGTCGGATTTAAGTCGCGTGTACAAGACAATGTCTGTTGGGTCCGCTAGTTTAATATAAACTCGGACATACAGACTCTATAGCAGATTAAAAATATATATTTAAATCTAAATTAACGTGATAAAATCCGTAAACTAGTTTCATTTAATATGTACAGTATTCATTATGTTTTTTATTATATTATTATTGGTTATGTTTATTATCAAAAATTCTACAGATTTTATTGGACGTAACAGTTAATATAATCGACAAAATCAACAGATTACTGAGTGTGTCGTATACCTAAGATGAGATATGTAATTTGTTAAAATCATTACAGTACATTACTACTATAATTTTACCTGCACAAGTTTATATTGACCTAAACAGTGAAAACTGTGGTACAATAAAGTATAACCCAGTTTCATAAATTAAATATAAATTTGATCTATGATATTAATAGGTGCTTTTAACGATTGATTTGTTGTTAATAGGTTAAATAGAAACTTTGGTGGTGATGGATTAACGATTGATCTGTTATTAGTCGAAGGGCAAATAGTATTTTGATAATATTTCATAGATACCTTTGGCATATGGCACTGCTCGCTCAGTAACTTTAGCAAGCTCCGCGGCGGTTTCTCTAACAGCTCCAAACAGGCGGCATTGTCCGTGAATTGTATTTGATTGTAAATGATACCCTCCTGTCGATACTGGAAATAATAAAACAGAGAGTTATTGCGATAAACAAATTCATTTCACTGCTAAATTGATGGACTGTTTTTACTGCTTCATTGCAGTTCAAATCAGATGACTCGATGGCTCTGATGCTGAATGATACGACGCCAGGATTGTGGGTTCAATTCCGACTGGGACTGTGTGATCGAATGATAATTGTTCCCAAGCATAGTTGACGTCGTACAAAATCTAGCCAAAACCACTTATAAAATGATTAACATGACCGACCTCAGCTAGATGGGATGATCGTGAATTCAGATAGCTCTCTGCTATTTTCGTTGTAGGTTATTCATGTTAGCTTATTTTCGTAGTTTTATCACGAGTTCACAAAGTTCGTCAAGAAAATATTTACACGAGCCAACATCACGATGGATTTGTGTTCTATCAAAATCCGCGTATCTGCTTTTTATCAAAAGGTGGCAACGCATGTGCAATCCTATGGGTGTTGCAAATGTCCATGGGTGGTGGTAATCACTTAACATCGGGTGAATTGCCAGCTCGTTTTCCATCTATCACATAAAAATAGTATGCCTGTATTATGTACGCACGTAACTAGTTATACTTCTTTAGCGTAGCAAAAGTAAAATAACAAAAAAAAATATCCCCTTTCACACTCTTTGTTTGTGAAAAAGATATTAAATGCAACTGATACCGGTTAAAACCGTTAAAGTTATAACCGGAGTAGGGGTAAATGTCATAAAGTTGTCATGATTGCCTAGGTCGCTTTGCAACCAAATTCATCAGGTCGCTTTTTGGCAGTCGCGCGCGTTAATGATTCGTTAAAAATTTTACTCCAGTAATTCTTTCACAAACGCGGCGAGAGGTTTCACTTCGAAAAAAAAAAAAAAAAAAAAAAAAACCACTCACGATCTCCTGCTCGAGCGCGAACACGTAGTTGTTGAAGAACATGTGCAGCTTCTCGTTCGCGTAGTTGATGCAGAGCTGCTCGAGCGAGTTGGTCGCGAAGTTCTCGAAGCCGAATATGTCGAGCACGCCGAGCGCGCGCGCCGCCTCTCGGCCCGGCGCCGAGCAGCTGTTCACGTGCCTCACTAGCCACGCGAAAGTGCGCGCGTACAGGGCGCGCGCCATCGCGTGCCGGTTCTCGCGCGCCTGCGGACGCGAGGCGCTTTGGATTATTTGTGTTTGTGTGTGTTGTGACGATGCGTTGTGTGTGTGTCGGACCCACGACACACGGCGCCGGAGCCACTTTGGAAAGCCGAGTGTTAGTGCGCAAAATTATGCAACGACTTGCTTTGTGAAGTGGCGCGAAAGTGCGCGCGTACAGGGCGCGCGCCATCGCGTGCCGGTTCTCGCGCGCCTGCGGACGCCAGGCGCTTTTGATTATTTGCGTTTGTGTGTGTTGTGACGATGCGTTGTGTGTGTGTCGGACCCACGACACACGGCGCCGGAGCCACTTTGGAAAGCCGAGTGTTAGTGCGCAAAATTATGCAACGACTTGCTTTGTGAAGTGGCGCGAAAGTGCGCGCGTACAGGGCGCGCGCCATCGCGTGCCGGTTCTCGCGCGCCTGCGGACGCCAGGCGCTTTTGATTATTTGCGTTTGTGTGTGTTGTGACGATGCGTTGTGTGTGTGTCGGACCCACGACACACGGCGCCGGAGCCACTTTGGAAAGCCGAGTGTTAGTGCGCAAAATTATGCAACGACTTGCTTTGTGAAGTGGCGCGAAAGTGCGCGCGTACAGGGCGCGCGCCATCGCGTGCCGGTTCTCGCGCGCCTGCGGACGCCAGGCGCTTTTGATTATTTGCGTTTGTGTGTGTTGTGACGATGCGTTGTGTGTGTGTCGGACCCACGACACACGGCGCCGGAGCCACTTTGGAAAGCCGAGTGTTAGTGCGCAAAATTATGCAACGACTTGCTTTGTGAAGTGGCGCGAAAGTGCGCGCGTACAGGGCGCGCGCCATCGCGTGCCGGTTCTCGCGCGCCTGCGGACGCCAGGCGCTTTTTGATTATTTGCGTTTGTGTGTGTTGTGACGATGCGTTTGTGTGTGTGTCGGACCCACGACACACGGCGCCGGAGCCACTTTGGAAAGCCGAGTGTTAGTGCGCAAAATTATGCAACGACTTGCTTTGTGAAGTGGCGCGAAAGTGCGCGCGTACAGGGCGCGCGCCATCGCGTGCCGGTTCTCGCGCGCCTGCGGACGCCAGGCGCTTTGATTATTGCGTTTGTGTGTGTTGTGACGATGCGTTGTGTGTGTGTCGGACCCACGACACACGGCGCCGGAGCCACTTTGGAAAGCCGAGTGTTAGTGCGCAAAATTATGCAACGACTTGCTTTGTGAAGTGGCGCGAAAGTGCGCGCGTACAGGGCGCGCGCCATCGCGTGCCGGTTCTCGCGCGCCTGCGGACGCGAGGCGCTTTGGATTATTTGTGTTTGTGTGTGTTGTGACGATGCGTTGTGTGTGTGTCGGACCCACGACACACGGCGCCGGAGCCACTTTGGAAAGCCGAGTGTTAGTGCGCAAAATTATGCAACGACTTGCTTTGTGAAGTGGCGCGAAAGTGCGCGCGTACAGGGCGCGCGCAATCGCGTGCCGGTTCTCGCGCGCCTGCGGACGCGAGGCGCTTTGGATTATTTGTGTTTATGTGTGTTGTGACGATGTGTTGTGTGTGTCGGACCCACGACACACGGCGCCGGAGCCACTTTGGGGGGCCGAGTGTTAGTGCGCAAAATTATGCAACGACTCGCGTTGCTTTTTGGCGCGAACGCACGCGCGTACAGGGAGCGCGCGAGTATTTGTGTACGTGCGAGTTGTGACCAATTTATTATAAGGTCTGTTGTACACTTGTCCCGAGTGGGAATTGGACTAAGACCACCGGCGCCGAAGCCAATACAAACTGTCACGGAGTCGTGGGCGATAGATATTATACCCCACTCGTGTTACTTTGGGGAGCCAAGTATTGCGAACTGTTATGAGGAATACTGCAAAAAGGCTTTTTTTTTTTAAGAACATTATTTGTTACACTGATGTTTTAATAACTATATAATACAACTTAGGAAATATAATAATAAATTGAATAATTATACAGATTGAGAATTTCTCACGACTGAACTGCAACAAGCTTACTTCTAATGCGCTTAGCTACTAAAAATATACTGACACAGCTCCTTTATAGTTAGAGCGCAAGACTGCATCAGCGTTACGACCAAATTCAGTATTCAAAGCGAAACGTTCCGTATATAATGGCAGTATACCTCCGGCAGACGTAAAGGTATGTCGGTGACGTTCCCGCGCACGTTGATCTGCCGCTCGAGCAGCACCCTCCGCGCAGTGGGCGGCGCTAGTCCGAGCAGGCTGGCCGCCGCGTCCACCGCCTCCGCGTCCTCCGGGCACAAAGCGCTCCGCTCCCCATCCACGTCCTGCTCGGATGAATGCAACTGTCATACAGCTCGCGCTGTATAGGAAATGCAGTATTAACGCGCCCGCTAGATGGCGGTACGTGTGGTTTTGCTGTACACTACCATCTCTATGTTTTACTTACTATAATGTGTATTATAATGTATAAATGTGTGCCGAGGGCGTGCAGAGATTAATGTTTAGTAATTTTATAACCTAAAACTAATAGGCAGAGATGGTGATATCGAATCGTCGTTTATGTATCTGTTCCTGCTCGTAACTGACGAAATTGTGTATCGCAACGAACCTCACGTAAGTGAGACAGAAAGCGCTTCTCAGTTGTTATATGAAGAATGGAGCTTGATATATCCTTACAATACTTGGACTATCTATTTGTAGTGTTGTCAAGATTTGGTTAGTGGTTTTCCTTTTGAGTTTGCACAATATTTATAATAGTTTTGTGTGTGTTTAGTGCGTCTGCATGAGTCACAACAAATCTCCCTGTGAAGAAGTAGTCAAACTGGACTAGCTAGTTGAGTTTGATGTAATCTGAACTGGCCTTCCACCGTACCTGGAACTGTATGTTGCCGAGCCAGAGCACGGCCGCGAGCACTTTGAACAGGCCCTCGCACATGTGCGGCGGCACCTGGAGGACGGTGAGCGCCAGCTGCAGCGCCTCCAGCTTGCCCTGCTCCCCGCCCCGCCCCTTGTGCGCCTCCACGTCGTCCATGCGGAGGTACTTGTACTGCACATCGTCCCGCAGCCGCAGGCTGGTGCGCAGCTCTGCGTTGTACTGCGAACATCGTCATCGTCATCATTCCAGACTGTTAGAGTGTAATGCTGGACATAGGCCTGCCCCACGCGTCATCATCATTTCAGCCTGTTGGAGACCACTGAATATAGGCCTCCCCCACAGACAGTCCTGAGCTGCATGCATATATTGACTTCCCGCACATTTTCATAGGTCGTCATTCAAACTAGCAGGGCCACTTCTGAATATAGGTCTCCCCCTCCCCCCTTTATCCTCCTCCCCTTGATCCCAAGCCACCTTTATCTATCAACTTCCCGCACATTTTCAAAGTGGATGTACTCCATCTAGTGGGGACTGCGATGGCCAGTACGAGGCTACAACTCAAAAAACTTTTTCTATGTTATCGGTTCTATGACAGGCCCGTCGCCACTAAAATATGGCAGATTTAATTTTTTACGTGCATTCCAGGGTGGCCCTCACCGCCCCCAATTATAGATACATAATAAATGTATCTTTTTGGTATTTGATATTATAGACTTTTGTACATAGTCGTATAAAGTTATAAATGTCAAAACGCGCACACGCTATACTCCTTTATATTCAATTTGTCTTTTGAAGTGTGAACTTTTTAAATGACAATATTTATCTTATCCTTTAAACGAGCAATTCTTGTATATATATATATATATATATATATATATATAATCGGAATCACGGAAACGGCTCCAGCGATTTTCATGAAATTTAGTATGTGCGTAGATTCGGGGGTGAAAAATCGATCTAGCTAGGTTTCATTTTTAGAAAATGCCCTTTTATCCATGTTTTCAGGGAATGAAAAATATAATTCGAATATGACGGTAAATTTCGCCGCAAGAGAAAATGTCATAATAGCTCGGTCGGTAATCGGGCGGCCCCAAAACAGACGGCCGTGGTTCGTGTCACGATCATTTACACATTAATTTTTTTTTTCGATTCCAGATCATTGCTTTCTTTATTTTTAATTTTTCGTCGATTTGTTATTTCGTTATTTTTTTCCTTTTTTTTAAAGTTCTTTCTTTTGTGAAAAACATCAGTTCATATTTTCTTATTATTACGCCGGTGAGATCGAAAAATATAATGCATATTTCATTACTAAGTAATTTGTATCTAAATGTAATTTACAAAATACACGATTTATCAAAAAAAAAAAAAAAAAAAAAACAAACCGAGCAAAGCTCGGTCCTCCGGGTACTTGCCTATTATAAGAGTATCAAACCCACGTTTAAATTCTCGTCGGTTTAAAAATAAATTAATTATTGAGCAATAATATTTGCAAAACTGATATGAAGTGAATAGATGAAATATCATTGAAACACGATCCTACCGAATCATATATTAGCACTCATAATTAATTTGCTCGTTCTATTGGAAGCAATGATGTGTATTCAGCAAATGTTTATCTGTAATCTTTGTACCTACATAGCTTTACAGGGATCACGTGTATGTAAAAATCAACTCTTTGATACACGAAATAACGTTTAATTTGTATTATAAAATGATCCGTACGAAAACAGAAGGGAACGAGGGTGCAGGCGCCCTCAGGACGCAACGCTCGAACAGTTTAATGAACCTTCGATGGATTACGCAGTTAACTTTGATTACACAGTTGGAGTGAAGCTTGAAAAATAGGGATGGCACAAAAACATGAATAAAGAAGAAATGTTTGGAAAGGCCTTACCTTGGCGCCCTCAACTAGCTGGTAGAAGACGTGGTAGTTGGTCTCCCTGGGAGCCGGGCCGGTGATACGAGCCCGTTCAAGAAGGAAGTCACGCAGTACAGCGCCCCTGATGCCTCCTCTGTGGTCAAGTCGGACCTCGACGAACTTGCCGAAGCGCGAGGAGTTATCGTTGCGGACGGTTTTCGCGTTGCCTGGTCCAATAAATGGCCATTATGCCCCAAAATGAAAAATTGGAACATATATTCATTAATTTGCTCGATCCAGAGACAATTCTCCACTATTGTATCTACCCATTCGTCTTCCCGTAATAATTAATCTGGAAAGTAGTTTAAGTGCGTAACGTATAGTATTTTATTATTAATTCAGATTCAGAATTGTTATATTATTCATCTTAAGTGCTGTGACTAGCGCTAAACAATTAAAATTAAAATTTCAATAGTAAAGGCGACGTCTCTAGATTTCAAATATTCATTTTAAAAATGTCGTTTGGGAAAGAGTGTTTGCCGTAAAGGGAGCACATTAGATGACGTCAAGCGTTGCTAAAAATTCAGTAAAAAAACAAATACGTGATTTCGCGCGGTGATTAAGTCTACGGCTAAGCTCACTAAGCTTAGCCGTAGACTTAATCACCGTAACAGTGACTGGACGTGTAATTCGGAAGGTTTGAATCATGGTAGCGGCAATAAATTTTGCGACATTTTTATCTAATTGCATCGTTTTATTAGGAACTTGTCAATCCAATCACAGCCTAAACACGTATTGGTGTTTAAGAACGCTGCGTGGCATTATGAAGTTTTTCGCAGTGTGACATCTAGGTTCCATTCGGAGACTGGCTGAGGTAAGTGTCGTTTGAAGGAGACAAATTCTGATCGATTTCAGTTGTTAAGTTGACAGAAACTGCCCTGTAGTCCCGTTCTCATAGAATAGGGGTAAGGTAACCCCTGCCTGTCGTAAAAGGCGATTAAAAAGGGACACTAGGTTCAAGGACAACCTGGCAAGACGCTTTATATGACGTGTTGCCGCAATGCAGAGGGAATTGGGCTTCGTCCCACCCTGTCACCCCCTATAACAAGAAAAAGTTGATAGAAACTGAAAACCACAGTCTGCCTACCAAAAGCCTCGAGAACTGTGTTAGCCTCGAGGATCTGTTGCTCAGCCCAGGTGGCCTGGCCACCAGCCGCGCACAGGTACTGTAAAATGAGCTTCGTGGTCTCCGTCTTGCCGGCGCCACTCTCGCCAGATATCACCACTGATTGATTTTTCTCACCGTTCTGGAATGTCCACAAACGTGAATCAGTATAACTGTTAACACAATTGGATGACAACATCGATGGGATGGATCAAGGAGTAATTTTAAATTATCTTACCTTTCGTGAATCTTAATAACTTGAACATTCGACTGTCTCGAAGTGACGCTATCTAATAAAATCTTATTATTAGAGACGATGAATCCGTAGATTATAAAGAACAGCTCAGTCAAAACTTACTCTACGTTAAAGAAAACTGAACAAAACCAGGATAGTGTCTTGCTAAGTGGATTCCTAGAAGTTTGGTAAAATGTCACGTAAAATAGCTAGTATATTCGCTCTATTTACACTGTTTATTAATCAATAGGTGAAAATTAATGGGAAAACAACTTACGAACTTTGTGGATTAGTCCATTTTTTAGAAAAATATACAATGCCTCTAAATATTACCTGTAGTGAGCTGTATGCGGACTCTGCTAGTGCGAAAACGTGAGGCGGCATGCTGCCGAACGCTTTTCCGCGGTAGTTTTGCATGTGCTCCTGCAGAAGCGTGAATGATGATATTTAACGAAACCCTTTAACTAACATTGTATGAATGTTGCGTTTTAATACTGTAAGTACCTTAAGATTGAGTTGGCCATATTTGTTCAAAGTCCTAAGGCTAATGAAAAGCTTCATCGGTCAAATAAGTCTCTATGACTACTCACTTTTTATATGAAATGTTGGCAAGCGAACAAGCTCTCAACATTACATGAATCGTTATCTGAGGTTCATCACCACCACCCATGGACGTCTACAACACCTGAGGTTTCAGATGCGTTGCCAACGTCTAAAAATGGGTTCACAACACGTCCACTTCACGACGGTATTGAGGCCGTGTTAGTTCCCCGGTTTAGCCTGCCCATTCGTGAAACTACAGAAGCTATTGAGTTGCCCTACCAGCTGCTAGGGTTACCCAGTATCACCACTAATAATACACACTAGTGTTCTAAGATTATAGAAGATATATACTCTCTCCAAGGAAGGACATTTACAACATTTGAAAAAGCAATCGTTACAGGAATGTTGTGGTTGGCAACACTGTATACTGGAAATGAAGTTATCTATTCGAGCGAAGCGGCAGAGGAGCGCATGGAGCAGCGGTCACTTGCTTTTCGGCTGCGTTCCCGGACGGTGAAATAACCATTATTGTTGTTTGTTGTCATAATAGTTGTTAATATTCATGTTCAGTGATAGTTAAAATATTATAATCAAGGTAGTAACATTTGAACTCTTATAGGAATATTTAGATACTGATACTTTGTCTATTTATTCCGTGTAACACTTAGCAACAACAGTATTCATTTCAATATCTGCTAATACTCGTACAGTAATATGGTATGTGCAAACTGCATTTGCATCAGGTAACAGAACACCGGAAGATTTAACTCACCATTGTGTAACATCCCAGCTCCTTGTACGGATTCACAGCGACCAGAATGGAACCGGTGTATGTCTGATTATAGTCAGGAATATATCGCGTTTGGTACAGGGATAATGCTTTGGTAAAATTATTTAAGACTACTTCTTTTATAACAATTATGAAATGTAACAATTATTACAGATAAATTTAACTTACTTACTGTATCTTATCTCCGGTTTCTTTCGTTATTTTCAAAATAATTTATTGGAACCGCTCTCAGAGGTGTAAGTAAACAATTCATCATAAAGTTTTTAAAAGGGTTTTGTATTGGATCCTCTTAACACACGAAAGTGAATCATTAGGGTACCTACTCAGTTTTATTTTTTTCTTTATTATTCTTATTACTATCTCATCGTATACGGATTACGGGTTGTTGATGCTGTTATGTTTTTTTATGAAAGAAGTGATTACTGAAGATCTAGCTGGTGGGCGGTCGGCACGTGAATCGAGGCCTTTGGTTAGACCACTAGTACAACAGGTATATGGGGTACATATGGATTCCCATGTTATGATTAATTTTACCTAAAAAGTAAAACAAATCATACTATACATCTATATTATTTTTAAGGTCCCTCTGAGCAGATAGGATTGCTCACAATGGTAGACTTAACGTATCTTTGAAATATTTTTTTAAAATTTTTCTTCGATATGCACGTTTGCCCACGGTGTTTTCCTTCATCGCCGTGCCAAATCAGCAGTTAAAATTGCAATTAGAAAAGACATTGGTGCCAGCACCGCAGTCTAGCCTCAGAATGCTCGAGTATACTGAATTAAAAGCTAGCATCTGGCCACTAACTACCTCGGCTAATACTTTTAGGAGTAACACCCGGTTTCCGAAACACTGATCATCGTAGAAGTTAACTTATCAGCTGTCAAATGGCTTAAAAAGCAAAAGTGTAAGATTTCGTAATGCATCTGTTTCAAAGGATACGTAGACCAAGTCGTGAATGTAGCGCCTCTTGAGGTTGTCGTTGATGGCGGCCTCCGTGATCTCCGGCATCATGGTCATGTCGGGCACGCCCGGGCCCTCTTCCGCGTCGCGCTCCTCCATCTTCCTGGAATTAAGGTTTGAATGTTAGATAATTTTGGTAGGGCCACGCAACAGCTTCGGCTGTTGCATGAATGGGCAGGTCCGTCCGGGTAAGTTCTACGACCTCACAGAAGACCGCCGTGAAGTGGAAGTGCCATACTTCTGCGTTTCGTCGGGTCAGTGAGGTAGACGGGGCACACTTTCTTAAATGGTGGCAACGAATTTCCAGGTATTTGCTCATGTTTTTTGTTTTTAACTGTTCAACAGTTAAAAACAAAGTGTTCAACACTTTAAACTAAAATAAAAAAAATGTTGCTTGCACATGGTATTCTACTTTCCGGTTTTTGTACTACGAATAACCACATTTTCTACGCTAACATATTGTTATACTACACTTTTTGAAGTGTACAAAAATAAGCGAAATAGCGACGTAAATCATAATGCCCTTTAATAAAACTGCATGTGCCATAAAATTTATGTTATTAATAAAAAGACAAATCTCGAAGAATACACTTGCGTTCTTCAACGAGATAAACGTGCAAAAATGTGTTTATTCGCATAATCAGATAACGTACATAAAGCCCCTCCCCTTCGGCTACATCAGACAACAGAGTCGAGGGTTGGAGGGGAATATTTCAAGGTCATACGTCAAAAGTCGAATAATATAACAATTCAAACGAGACTCGAGCGTCGATATAAGCTTCTCTTTAACGTAACTAATACTTCTTTAAGAAATCTTATATTTGCCGAGGGATTGTTAGTTGGTTATTATGTTCTATACAATTAAGTTAAACACGGTACAACAATGTATAAAGCATCTCCCATTACGGAGTTTCTGCGTATTCGTATGCATAGAATCTTGAGCTTAGAACTCAGAAAAAATTAAATTTGTTTTTCCTTGAGAGAATGGAAAATTGACAAAAAAAATAGTAAATCTATTCTGATTACTTTTTTTTAAATTAATATAGGTACGGTATTTCTCAGATTTGGCCGAATGTAATAATAGTTCTTTGGTAATTCTGCATAAGAAGTTAACTTGGTATAAAGGAGTGTTAATAATCAATTAATGGTAAGGATATTGTTACAAAGTCCTACTATATATTTACTCATCACTATAACAATCTTGATAAAACAAGACATTTTTTTATTCAAGTTAATTTGCCTAAAGTAATCCTTACGTTTGTTTTTTTTTAATTTGCTCCTTTTTGTAATAATACTCTTTGCTCGTTTATAATTTAATTATCAAATATTTTTTAAAGGTACAACCACAACATCAAATTGTAAGCATACATGAAAACATAACTTGAATAACTCAATTATTAGATATTATCCTTTCTATACCTTCACGATTGCGAATCGTTACACCATTCATCGGCAACTGTAGTATTAAATTTACCGTTTGAAACATGAATAGGGCGAACAAGAAATCAATTTTTATTGCTACAGTGCCATTGAATTTCAATTATCAAACAACTTCGAGATAAGACCCCAAGGTGTGCAGACCTGCATTTATCTCGCTTCGCCGCCCGGGGGAAAAAGATTCCGAATGAATCCATCTACCCAAGGTCTGTTGGCTGTTTTTATTAGGAGTGAAATTGTAATAGCGTATTGAAACAGATTATATCGCTCCCAAGAAACAATGTTTATTCACGTCAGTACTATCAATGTTTGTCCTTCGTTAATTGTGTCATCTATTGATTTGAACGTTTTCTATCTAGGGATATTAGTGTATTCGATGTTGTTTTAACAACAGTGATTGATCCGATCTGCCATGACATCGAATAAATAGGAGAAGTGGTGGCAAAAAACAATTTGGAGTTATTCTTGTTTAGGCGCTAGGGAAAAAAATATAAGAGTGAATTTTTACAATGCAAACTGACGAAAATAATATGTGTTTTAACACGTTAGTAAAGAGATATTTAACGACTGACTCCATGATTTTAATTTTAATTGTTTTAAGCCAAAGAAATATAACTTCTTACGATTGTACATAATTATTTAAACATATAAAGTAAACGTAACGGTAAAACACTGCAATAACAAATCTTTTTAAAATTCATCATAAGGCAATTGATTTTCTGGATAAAATTACTAAAATATAGATTTAACTCATGCATGCCGGTTTAATGGACGTATTAGTTAGTTTAGTGTCTGGATTGCGAGGACTCACTAAATATCCATTAAGCTGTTTCGATAGGATTAACTCGTGTCGCGAGGGTTCATTTATTTTGCAAGCGAAAACCGTTCCAATGTACTTTCTAATAATAATTTATAGTACAAAATTATATTCTATTTGGCTGGTGATCCTCATTGATGTTTATTGATACCTTTTTAACCGACTTCAAAAAAGGAGGAGTTTCTCAATTCGACCGTATTTCTTTTTATGTTTGTTACCTCAACTTTCGAAAGAGTGAACCGATTTTGAAGATTCTTTTTTTTATTTGAAAGCTGGTGCTTCCAATGTGGTTCCATATTAATTTCATTGGCATTGGGTCTTGAGCTCCGGAAATACTTAGGGAATTCCTAAAAATTAATTATAAAATGTGCCGATAGAGATATTTGAAGTCGGTTTTGCTTTTCGCTAATAAAAATAGACTTGTTAGTGTTGTAAAGTTAAATGTTTGATGAACGCTACTTTAATGGTCTATTTTATTCAATCACAAAAAATTAAGATATCCGTTAGAGATTTTCAAAAATCTCAACTAATATCAGCATAGATTAAAAACAAAATTTAAAAGCTGTTATATGAATGCGTCGTGCACATCATATCAGTTTGTCTGCTTCTAATGTTCAAAGTGTAAAACATTTCTGTCATGTTATTTATGATGGAAAGCTTTAAGCTGACTTAATTTCTATGTAACATTACTTTTGGGACGACCTTATATATTTCTAAATATACATAGAATGCTAGTCTCCATTATCATAATATTCCGATTAGGTCTCAGAGGTCTCAGTGCTAATAAATCATCCATAAAGCCAAACTATAATTTGTTTTACGCCTACGATCATCCACCGCGTGGGATTCGAACGTGTTTCTTCAAATGATAGTATCGTTGAAACTAGAGCCGTGTATACGATCTATAACCTACCCCTTCAGAGTTTGTGATGCTTTCCAGGAACCAAATTAAACCATTTTTGTCATTAAAAACCTACGTGAAGTACAGTTACACTTCTGCGTTTCGTCTGGTGAGTGAGGTAGCCGGGGCCCATTTTATTAAAGGTGGCAACGCATCTGCAACCCTACGGGTATTGCAAATGTCCATGGGCGGCGGTTATCACTTAACATCAGGTGAACCGCCAGCTCGTTTGCCTCACATAAAAAAGGTGCGACCTGGTTTTAGTCAATTCGTGATAAATAAAAAGACGTGATTCGATGATAGCGACGAGACACCTGGCGGTTCATTGCACTTGATGCGAATCAAATAACACCGCTGCGTCTCCGCACTATCGTTGTATAAATAACGACTTTATAATGTCCCCGGCGGCGGCGGTTCGGGCAAGTTATCGGACGGAAATATCACTTGCGGGCGACATCGCCGTTTCGCACCCTCGACGCGCTTAACCAAGTTATCGGATGCGCGAGCGTCAAGTGCTAGACGTGCGTAAATATAACTACAATGGAGATTAATACCGCTGTGCGATCAAACATCAACTCTCGAGCAGTGTCAAGGGCTTATTAGGATCTAAACATTAAGCTTATGAACGGAGGACATTGTCCATTCGCGTATATTTTTCGATTTATAAAACACTATCGACCCGCCCCGGCTTTGCACGGGTGCAATGTATTATACATTGCCGACAAAAAAAAAACTGCATCGAGATCTGTTGCGTAGTTTTAAAGATCTAAGCATGCATAGGGACAGACAGACAACGGGACGACTTTGTTTGATACTATGCAGTGAAAATTGTTCATACTGGTTTTCATTGTGGTACGGTGATAACTTGATGCATTACAACTATCTATCGAAACAATGTGCCTTCGTTTGCCGTTTCGTCCAAATATGACCTGTTCATACTGGTTTTCATTGTGGTACGGTGATAACTTGATGCATTACAACTATCTATCGAAAAAATATGCCTTCGTTTGCCGTTTCGTCCAAATATGACCTATGTTAAAAAAAATCTGTCGAGCTCTTGCCGTTTCCTACGACCGCATTAGAGTCCTACGGCATAACACAACGCAGCTTCTTAAAGCTACTCAGTGTGAAACTAGCTGAAGATTACGGGCATGGTTTCTTTATGCTCTAGCCGCAGATGATTGATCAGTACCTCTCTGCGCAGAGGCGTCATTACGTAATTAATGTGCTGTGAAACTGCAACGCTCCATCGATTCGCGTGCTAATGTCGTTAGCTGCAGTACACTATACGTCTGCGTCTGATACATAAGAGCAATCGGCCTTCAAACCCTAACGGGCGGATAGTCAGTGATATCATGTATACGCGAGCCCAAGCTGGCAGTAGCCGGGGTTAAGTATGGATACATTACGACGCCATCGCTTCGGTCTGCGTTGTGAGAAAGGTTGCTGGGAAGTGATCATAGGCAACATGGAGAGTAAATAACGGTGAAGGGCATATTAAACCAAAAGACAAACGGAGTTAGTGCCATGAAAGTTTCACTGTCAAAATGAGGTCACGAAATGTGATAGGTTTGTTGTTGACATATTATTTACACAGCGTTAATTAGAATTAAAAATCTAAGTATGTACTGATGAAATCTATGTTTATCACAACATATTTTCCTGGTAATGTGAATCGAACCGAAACCATCAGGCACATGATACATATTCACTATCCACTTAGCCAAAACGGTTTAAACAATAGGCGTGGCGACTGAGGTAACCGGAGCCCACTTTATTGAAAGGTGGCCACACATCTGCGAGCCTAAATCAATAACCGGTGCTATCGCTTACCGCCAGCTAGCTTGCCATTTCCTTACATAAAAAACAATCCAACACTGCAGTTAGAAGGCGCCGCAAATGTCTATTAACGGAGTAGCCGCGCGTCGCGTCGCCCACACGCAC